TTTTTTATAAATATTTTAGGACACATTTTTACACAATTGATTTAAATCAGTTTATTATTTTGAATTTAATTTTTGTACCTAGTTACACTGAGTTACACTGAATTCCTAATTACTTTTCCTAAGCCTGTTACTGTTTGGACGAAAAGCTGTACACTGGGTCTATATGAGACGGTAGACATCAGCTGTACTTAAGGAATTAACAAACATAAATTTCACGCGGAGAAACACCCAGATGCGAAACAATTATCTTTGGGTCACACAAATAGTTGTCCCGTGTGGGAGTCGAACCCACGACCCCCGACGCCAAAGCTACCTTGGCAAATGCACCATGGTACACCTTCAGTTTCATTATTGGATTGCATTCGGGGAGTACCAGCATTAACACTTTTGCGGTTCATTCCATGAGTGAGGTAACCGCAGCCCTCGCAAGGTTGGCAAATATTCAACAATTCCAACTGAGAGGTCGATGGCCAGATGCGACGTTGGTCACTTAACATCCGGTGAACCGTCTGCTCGATGAGTAGAATTAGAAAAGTTTTAAGTATTTAAATTAGGAGAAATACGTGCAACTAACTAACTAAGAGCCGTGATAGCTCAGTGTCCGGGCGCTCGCCTTTAATTCAATATACTCGAGCAACCTGAGTTCGATCCCCGGTGCCGGCACCGATGAAGTTTTTAACTTTAAGTGCTCACTTATTACATGCTCCGCGGTGAAGGAAAACATCGTGAGGAAACCTGCATATTTTCGAAATAATAACAAAAAAAATATATTTCGAAGATATGTGAAGTCCGCCAATGGAGGCCGCGTGGTGGATTACTCGCCGCCTGATACCCTCTGTATAGAGGAGGCCTTTACCCAGAAGTGGGACATGTATAGGCTGTTACTGCACTTTTACTTTACGTGCAACTAGATCGCAATCCAACCTCTAGCCAACACCTCCTTCATTGCTAATATATAACGATGCCCAGAAAATTATATTATACTAGCGGACCTGACAGACTTTGTCCTGTACAAACGTCTTAAATCCGAAAATTTCAACCTTTTTCGATAAGTTTGTGAATCTAAACCGTTCTCGAAGCGACCTGAAGACAAACAAAAGCTTTCATAAAATTGGTCCAGCCGTTTAGCAGTTAGTTGAGTTCAGTGACATAGTACCTATATGTCACGTACAGAAGAATTATATATATAAAGTTTAACGCGAATGTCTACAAATTGTTAAATTAATTTTTTACGTATTTTACTTTAAACTATCAGAAAAGTGGACGATAGGTGTCCTGGGTTAACTTTAACTGGGATATAAACCCCCCTAACGTGTTCCTTGCCGTGTACGCAGTGAAGTCTTGTAAACGTAAAACACGATAACATTAGTGTAATCATGCTAATTAACATTGAAGGGTTCATTTCTAAATACATTGTCTATGTTCATTTTAATGCGAATACTCTTCCTGCCAATCCTTAAGTGATATGGAATATGAATCTAATAAAGCCGTCTTGAGAAAAAATAATAGACAAGCCTATTTACAGAGCAAACTCCTTCGTGACGTCATAGGTCACAGTTGGACGAGTAGAGTAATACATGCCAGCATTGCGTGGTGCACAAGAGTATATAAACCTTTTTCATAAGTCGAGAGCAAAGTAATGATAAAAGCCTTACGATCGTATGCAAAATAACAACCTTATAAAAGACTATCAGCGAGAGTTAAGTGAGAGGTCGCAGGAACAGTTTAAAAAAAACTTTACTTTATATATAAACCTAACAATCCAACTGGTAGCTTACAACTGTCTTATTCTAACAATGGATATCTTATTTGTACTATTTTGAACATGATATATTTGGGTGGGGATACAAAGCTTCACACAGTCCGATCTACGGGATGCTGAAATCATTACACCTATATAAACATTGATTTCTTAATGGGCACTGAAATCGATATACCGTCCGCAATATCCGTATTTCTCCGCTTCCTGGTGATAACGCGTTCGTGGGATAGAGTTTGTTATGGTGACGTAACTCGAGTCGTATTTTTTTCTGTGGTAGGACCATCAAGCTAGAATTATAATTTTGCGTTTCGTCTGGTGAGTGAGGTAGCCTAGGTTCATTTCATTAAAGGTTTTCAAAGCATCTGCAAACACACTAACTGTTGCGGATGTCCTAAAATCGACCCTTTTACGGAGACAAGCTTACTATCCGCCACGCTTGGGAATTCGGTGACACGGCGCCAAATATCACGTCAGGGAGACAAAAGTGGCTTATTGGCTTGATCCGTCCTTAGCCACGTGCAAAACTACCGATTCGCTTCGCACCCACAATTAGTCGAAACAGTCTTAACGACTCAATTGCACCGACAACAGTTTCCTCCGAACTACGAAATTAGTGACGGAAGCAAACATCATTATTTCATTCGTATTGTTTGTAACGAGACAATGACTTAATGAATTGATTACAAAGCGAACGGTTAACATTGGTTAATAGTTAAGCAACGTTATCGCTTAAAACTTAATTTTATCATCACTAATTGTTAACTGAAATCTATTTCATAAATATCGATTTACGTCAAGAGGACATACAACAGTTTTCGTTATTTTATCTCTTTAAAATGCAAGAGTTTAGTTATTGATAATAACCGCGATTATTTTTTTATATTTATTTTGTAACATTTAATAAAAAAGAGAAACTATCGACTAATAAATGGAAAGCACGCATTTTGAACACCAATAACGTGGATTGAAATTGGGGCACATTTTGGGGACAGGTTGATTGCGACAAATATGTGTATTTTGGGAAATCATCTCTGTTTTTGATATTAAACTGTTTTATATTAAAAACTTATATCAGTCCCTGCTTCATTTGGAAGATCAATGAAGGTTGGCGAAGACAAATATGAATATAATGAGCAGTTTTTTTTACATAAAAGAGCTAAAGTAGATGCTTTAGATAACTACAAAGGAAATAACTGTTACTTGAAAACTCGCAAAGTTTTGCTTTGCGATTTTTCTGACGAAGCTGTCCTTGATGGTCGACAATAGGTCCCTAAGTCCCTGGACCTATAGAAACTGGCAGCGGACTAGGATGTCCATTAGATTCTTTGTTGCTAACAGATTAACGCATAAAAGCCCTCAAACATTGCGAAGGCAGGCTGTTTAACTGAGACCTTTCGTCAAATTCTTGTACGCTTAGGTAACTGGGTCAAGTATGATAACAAAAACAAACTGGCCATCGAAGCCAAATAAAAAAGTTAGAACAAGCATTGAACTGGTGAATTAAAATATGTTAAGTAAACTACGGCTACTTTTACGCATTAGAAATACAACCCAGTCAGAATACTGCGAAATTGAAGAATTCAAAACCCTTGCATTTTCGCTGGCGCGTGAGGTAACCGGGCATGACCTTCTCGACAAAAAGAAATGTGATTGGAAGAAGAAACTTAGTGCCGCGATAGCTCAGTGACCGGGCGGCCACTTTTAATCCTATGTACTCGAGCTAACCCAGTTCAAATCCGGGTGGTGCCACCAAGGAAATCGGAATTTGAAATTTTAAGTTCTGATTAACTGCCCAGCGGTGAATGAAAACATCGCGAGGAAACCTGCATATATTAGAAATAAAATAGTGATAGGTTATAAGAAAGTGGCTTTTGCTCAGCTGTTGGACATTTTATGTCGTTAGTTTACTAAACCGCTCTTCATTGATTAAAAGAGGAGAGGTTAGAGTTTGTATCTGTATGTATCTTTCACTAGCTCCTTTGAATTGTCCCTATACTGGTTCGGATCTGAAAACCACTATATTTTGAACTATTACGATAGTTATCTCTTTTTCAAGAACATCGAATTCGTGAGGACGATTAATTAATAAGCTATCATGTCACCAAATTGTTATTGTGATTCTACATCAAATTATAAAAAATGTTTAAAATATTCTATAGACAGTTTTCTTTAAGTGAGACAATACTAAACAAGTCGTGACACAATCGTAAAGAAATATTCACCCGGAGCCACCTCAAAGTTCGATAAGGATATGTTTTCAAGACGACCGTGAACAGTTAGTCTTTTATTGAGCAAGTGTCTCTATCATATATTTGTTAAGACAGCTGCTTTTGAAGTAGAAAAGTATTCAAGTGCACAGCAAACAACTTACCGGAAAATCATATGTTTTACTATAAATAGTCAAATTAAACTCTTTTAGTGTATCTTTACTTGTAGTAAGAAAGAAATGAATTAATTACAATGAATGTATATAGTTTTAGAGTTGGCAAATGTCTCTTTATAGTCCACTTTCCAATATAACTTGATATAATGTAGTTATAAATATTTCAATAAATGATATTTCCAAGCGAGATAACTTTAAACCCCACAAATGGTAATTAAACAAGTTATATACAATAATAGCTCTCGGAGTTTGTTATCAGTTGAGTTTTCTAGGCGTTCCTAATAAACAAGTCAATGATTTTCTTAGCGATCTTCAATAAAAATCTTCACTCAGAAAGAAGTTAAAATATAAGGCTGATCGGGAGAACAAAATATAAGGCTTTACTAAATGAATTTCGCCCGGAGAAAGCTATTTTTCGCAACGTCATAAAAAACGCGAATAAGGTTAAAGTAATGAAATTAGAAAATCAATTTTGAAACATGCTAATCTCGTAGACAACGTGACTTGGGTTTATTTAAGTCACGACTTTCTTTTGCGTCAAAAATAAAAACCCTGGATTTTCTTTTGCGAAATAAAAATATAAAAAAAAGAAACTAGATTTAACAAAATATCCATGTATCGCATTTCCTCAATATTATACCGTTAACGCTGTAAATCACAATTGCATTACGTGCGAATCTTTTCGGTAAATGACAAAATAGAAACATTACCCATGAACCCCATCACTGTACCTAAGGATTTATAAAGGAAACAAAATATCAAACCACTTTTTCTTAGCACACAAAACACCGTCGCATTGATCCGCGTCAAAACCGACGCCAATTGATCGGGAAAACTTTCGCTATCTAAACTTACTTCAAACTAGTTTCTACTGTGGCCGACATTTCCAACTGCACACGACTGGCTCGCGACGCCTAACTGTGGTCACTGAGCGCAATCGCCCGTCGACGAATGTTATCCCGGGGCTCTGTCTGTCGTGATATCACTAGAGCTGTTACTGCGCAAACGATGTTTTTTTTTAGTTTTCGTATCTAAAGGGTAAAAACGGCACCCTGTTACAAAGACTTCCTTTCTGTTTGTCCGTCTGTCACCAGGCTGTATCTCATGAAACGTGATAGCTAGACAGTTGGAATTTTTACAGATGATTTTATCATGCCGCTATAACAACAAATACTAAAAAACAGAATAAAAAAATATTTAAGTGGGGCCCCCATACGACAGACATGATTTTTTTTGCCGTTGTTACAGATTATAGTACGAGACCCTTTGTGCGCGAGTAGGTCACACTTGGCCGGTTTTTTATATCAAACCTCTATTTTTTCTAACGATTTCTGATGTCGTACTTAGTAGGCTTATCTTTTATTTCAAACACTGGTAGGCTGTGTCGAAAAACTCGTAGAAAATATTGTAATACATGGGAAAACTGAGGTATAGTGAAACTTGCATTCTCCCAATTGAAATTTCACGAGGCTAAATTTTAACCTAATTAAATATAACTCGTGTCTCGGTGACGTAGTGGCTTTAGCGCTGGGGATTGTAGATTCAGTTTCCACTCTAGAAGAAATGTTTATTACAGGTGTTGTAGAAATAATTGTGTAGGCTACAACAGGCTAAATCATTAATTTCATTATAAATATATTTTTAACAAAGCAGTTAAAAATAGCGTGAACTTAGAAATTTAATAAACCAAAAAGAACAATTAGAAAAATTGATTCATCGGAAAGTTAGTATAAACAAATTAAAATTATGGGAAACACAAACAAAAGATTAAATAAAAATGTGGTGAAAACATGAAGCGAGGGTAGTTTAAAATAATGAAACTCTAAGTTTAGTCGCAGTGGTATACAGTAGTTTCTACATGAGTTGGCAGACTCGCCTGGAGAAGTATCACAGGGTGATAGAAGATTGAAGTGAAGTGGAAGAGAATTTCGTCGGGTAAGATTAATATCTTACTTACTTTAGTAACGGTGGTACGGCCATGCAGCAGCCTCGGCTGTTGCACGAATGGGCAGGCCACCACGACCTCACAGAAGACCAGCGTAAAGTGGAAGTATGGCAAATACTTTCGCGTTTCGTCTGGTGAGTGAGGTGGCTGGAAATTTCCCAAAGGCATCCAAGGCAAAATTTCCCAATTTTCAAAAGGTTGTCAACGCATCCGTAACCCTCGGGTGTAGCAGATGTCCATGGGCGGCGGTATTCGCTTGACAACAGGTGACCCGTCTCGATCGTTTGGCAACTTATCGCATAAAAAAAAAATACGAAGGCAATTTTCAACCGACTTCAAAATCAGAGGAGGTTCTCAATTCGAGTGTATTTCTTTTTTTTGTTTCTTACCTAAGAACTTTCGACCGATTGATTTGATTATTTTTTTTATTTGAAAGCTAATGCTTCCCGTGTGGTCCCATATTGATTTCATTGGTATTGGATCTCGGGCCCCGGAATACAGAGCGTGGTATTTGTAGTCGGTTTTGTTTTTCGTTAGTAAAAAATGCACTAGTTTAAAGGTTATCATCGCATCTGCCACTATTTAAGTATTGTAATCGCACAATACTACGTGTACCACCTTCTCAAATTATATTCTTCATGGTTTTGTGTCACGGTATATTTACTGAAAATCATGTTTTAATTATGGTACTTCTAAACATATTATAATAAGTGAAAAAGTGCAATATTTGGTCCATGTTTTTATTAATTACCATAAAAGGTGTTATGACAACTCTATTGATATCTTCCGTCATCATTACACTAAGGCTTTAGATAAAAGAAAAAGCAACTGTCGAAGCGAGAGCTGTGGGAAGATACGCGTCTTTACTCGCTTCTGCGATGTTTTGCTTACCGCTTTTGTTTTCTGCGCCTGACGTTTTTAAATCCAAAGTTCACATGCACTTTTATTGACCTATAGTGAAGTAAGTTATATATTCCTAACTTCGATAAGTTGTAAAGTCTGACAGAAAGTTTAAGAATTGTATGCATTTACATGTACGAGTCGATGGATGCAGGTGGCTCAGGATCGTACTTCGTGGCAGTCTGTGGGGGAGGCCTATGTTCAGCAGTGGACTCAAATAGGCTGAAATGATGATGATGATGATGACATGTACGAGTATGTGTCAATAAAAAAAGGTTCCTAGCTTCCATTATATCCATATATGTATGTGTATAAAGTACATTAAATCGATAAGTGTTAATATAAAGTCTTTTTCTTTCCGAGTACTCTACGAAATTTAGTGAAGGGGAAATTAACCAACCGGGATATACAATAGGAAGCCTCCTAATGGTAACTTATAAGGCTGTCTTAGTTTTTAAACGGACTAGCTCGATGCCTCACATTGACCATTGCACCCAAACAGGAAAATTGACGCGGGCAAAATGTTCCACTCTTGTAGCACATATTTCGAAAGGGGAGGCAACCCCGCCGCTAAGACTTACTAGGCTAAACGCATGAGGAGGTATTAAAACAAGTAATTGCTTCTAGGTTCCTAGAAACACAACCAAAAGAGAAATGCTGGCTTCTCTGGGCCTGTGTTAGAGGCTGATGAGGTCCTACCATGTCAGGGTCACATTTAAACATTGCAGCAGGGCCCCATACGATCGAATTTGGCTTTTATATCAGAGAAGAAGTTGATACAGAAGTACCATGACACCTTAGCAAGAATAGCCAAATTCCTTGCCACCGCTTTGGTCCTAGACGCTATGAAGCGCCCGGAGCTTAGGCTCGAGACGATTCGATCATCCCACATTGGGAGGCAGTAGGAGAAGTTCAAAGGTATATTTCGCAATGGAGAAAAGAGAGGATTCTAGGCAGGTTTTTTCGTACAGAATATCCAAGGCATAAATTCCCATTCATTTTCCTTTTTGTTGTTTGAAAACAACCTCATGTGTTTAACTTTATTAAACCTCATATATAACAAACAAATATCTTTATATTTCCGAGAACACACAAATTTGCACATGTCTTACATTGTTTTCCTAAATAGTTGTCATTCGCGACACATTTATAGGCGCATTGGGCTTCAATTTTTATTTACAAAATTTATTCCTTGGACAGGACTAAATTAGTAGCATGCCTGGAACTTTTGACCCCGACTTTCCTTTCCCGAAGTCCTTTTTCAACACTTTACAACTCTTACATTTTGTTGAGCCATACCGGATCGATGTTACGTCATAAATGTAATAAATGGAGACAATTGTTTCTGCTATATTACCGCTTGCATGGAATAATTCCTCACGCGACATTAGTTGTTAATGAGATACAGGACAATTATAATTTTTAATCATTGAGATAAAAAACAATTGTTCTTTGTAGTCGGCTAGGTTATGTGGTGATAAATAATACCCTCTGAACAGAACAGGCCTTTGTCCTGGAACATACATAGGCTGGTATTAAAAATACAAGTCGTGACGACGATTAAATTAGCCTGGTAAATTTTCTAAACAATAATGTGACAGTTAATCTAAAATTATCTTTTCTTAATAGCTTGAAAATTAAACCAATATTTGCAAACGATGTCATCAACTTAACCGTCACTAATGTTCATAAGACTTGTCAGATCTTTACAATTGTCGAACAATGCTCATTTCACTGCTGATATACTCTGAAAGAAATGTAGGAATAACAATTAGTATATCGACATAAACACAGGAGTGTATACACTGCTACATACAAAAAAAGAGTCGAACGTTAAACCAAACATTAAACATTAGACTCAAAAGACACCATCAGTTCGCTTTTCAATGACAGTGTAGTAGGTACCTGTTTAGATTACGTCACGTCAAAACATACCGTGACGAAAGAGTAACTATGAAAAACGCTTACACAAGTTATCTGCGTCCATTAAATAACACGATAAGTAATATAGATAAAAGCCAAATTGCATCGACTTACGTAGAGCAATAGATGACGTCACAAGCATTGTCGGTCGAGATACGTCACGTACTGTACTTCCGCCGCCCTAGCAGCCTCTTCCACCAAAACGTAAACGGCGTTGTAAATCACGAAGAGCATATATAAGTTGAAAACTGCAAGATAACGGCATTGTGTTACTTTTATTAAAACAAACTTTCAGACTCCAACTGGCCAGAGAGAGGTACAATTTTTTCATATCCAGTAAACGTAAATCATTAAAATATCTACAAAAACAGAAGAATATAAACGTCAATTTAAATACAAATGCATTGCCTATTTGTTTTTTAAAATATGACTACAACTAATACAATATAAGTAATGCATATAATTAAAGGTCTATAAAAACGTCGTTGTGTTTGGTTAGCTTTCAAAGGCATTGGACGGTGTCATGATACTATCTAAGGTGTCTAAAGGTAGATATATAGAAAAGAGACTATATCGATTAAAGAAATGCGTACTTTGACATCGACTTTGACGCAAAATAGAATACTTTACCTGTTACGCGAGCTCTTCCGGAATTAGGTTGCCATGATCGTCCATGCCACGGAGCCATCAATATACGATTATTAGATTTCGTTATTACGATTAATTTTATTATTACGATTAATTCTATTATTACGATTAATTTCATTATTACCATTATTAGATTTGTCATGAACAAATTGTGTGGTGTTGCGCTATAAACTAATCTGTACTATGAGCTGTAATGATTTCTTTAAGATTATTATCACCCCGACACACAGCCTTTTTATCCCTCTGCCGGAACACTGTTCGGCTATTTCAACTCGTCTCCATGTTGCCGCCAGATAGCAAACGATACGATCACCTGTCACTGCATCTAGCTTAGTATTGTTCCAAGCTCCAATTGAGATTAATTACCTCACAATACTCACTTATAACGGAAGCGTCAACGATATAGTGAAAGTAATCGTTGGAGTCGAAATAGATGACGGCCAAGCAAATCGCTAGGAAATTGTAGATGACACCCGCGAAGAAATATATCTGCAGCAGCTCCTTTCTTTTCTGCAAAGGGAGAACAACGATAGAATTATAGCGAAATTATACCTATCATGGTATTTGTGTAACTGTAATTAAACATGGCTGTAAATGGCGTTTTTAAAAAAAAAACAGTTACCTTATGTTTTGTGAAAAAGAACAATTAACTAAATCCGCTTTCTTGGTTCTGTCTGCGGTATGTGCAAATATATATTTATTTCGCTGGAGTCAATAATTTTCAATTTAAATTCGGTACGAAGGCGTAGTGATAAGTTTGGTAAACATTTTTTTTTAAATAAAATTATCGCATATTGCATGAAACCACATTGTCCACAAGGGCTAAAATAAATTTTCGTTTGTTTTTTCTTCTAATTTTAAAGTCACCATAGTTTCAAACTTATATAAAATCCCTAACAGTGTTTTATTTAACCACGTTATAATAGTATTCGTTTAGATACAATAACAAAGTTGTTAGTAATGTTATTGTTTTAATGAAGCATTGTAATAACATAATTTTTAAAAGGAACTAATTTCGGCACTAATTGTTTATACTTATGATGTCGCGATTGATTATAAACATTTATAATTAAGGAAAAGTAACTGCAATAATATTATATCCAGCTACGGCAACTCCCCTGCAAAGATTAATAGTCTCTGTGCAGAAGAGTTGCCCAGTCCAACGTGCTATCCCAACTCGGATGGGCAGACATCACAATATGTCTTAGAAATATTCTTATAATTAATACTCAGAAAATATGTATCTACATAAATAAAACAGGAAATCTTCCCTCGAGATATTTTCCTACAAAACAGAGCAAGTTATAAGTCAGCATTTAAAATTGCAATTAACAATTTCATTGATGAAAATTTATAACAGAATTATAAGCGTAGTAAGTAAGTACCACGACCTCATAGTAGACCGGCAGTAAAGTGGAGGTATAATACTTTGGCGTTTCGTCTGGTGAGTGAGGTGGCCGGAGCCCAATTTTCAAAAGATTGTCAACGCATCTGGATCCCTCGGGTGTAACAGATGTCCAAGGGCGGCGGCATTCACTTAACTTGTGAACCGTCTGCTCGCTTGGCAACTTTTCACATAAAAAAAAAAATCTTGGTCCCGCGTGGGACCCATAAGACGCTGGCGTGAACACTGAAACCATTGCGCTGCGTTTTGTTTGAAAGCTCTTATTTAAAACACGTAGAAAAAGTACGAAAAGATTGTCGCCGCTGTGGAAATCGAGCCCACGTCTTCGGCATTCGCGGCCTGACGCCCTAGCCACTGAGCTAAACGGCTGACAGCTCTCATTTACCTAGATCACTCACCTTTTGCACTCCGATCAACAGCATCACAGTAAGTACCACGTCTATCGCGATCAGTGCTACGTTCAGCGGCAGTTGTATTTTGGGCTCCATCGTAATCGGCACAGAGCTAATTTCCCCCGTGGTCCGCGCCTCGACCAGGAGCAGAATGAGGCCCGGGATCGAAACTACGGCGAGCACCTGTAACACGAGAAAGGACACTTGAAGACGGAAGAAGAAAGGAAAGTTAAAGAATTTTATGGTGTAACCGTTCGGGAGGGACACTTGAAATCTTTAACTTTGTGGTGCAACCGTTCGTCTGGTTGATTCCATGGCAACGCCAAAGGCGAGTGTGGCGTTAGACAAACACATTTAGAGAACGCATCGCTGTGCAATCCGGACCATCGGAGATCATGACGCTGTGACTCTTCACTGTTATTCCTACCAAATTTATCACGAGGAAACACGCATGTTTCATAAAATGTAAATGTTTTTAACTAGTAAGCTGTTATTGTTGCTTTCTTATCGTAATAATGTAACAAACTATATAGTGAATAACATTTTTGTGAAACATATAAATTTTGTAGAACTATTCAAGTGACTTGGTTCCAACGATTCCACGCATATTATGGACTCTACAATGAATATATTTTCTTTTCCTCCCCAAAGCCTACCATTATTGGTTTATTGGTCAGTTAATGGTGTCATGGAAAATGACCTATGTTCTTCACACTCATCAGCAATAACTTTGGCAACACATCTACAATATCTCTCATACCAGATCAGTTGCCAACATTAAAAAAGTGGGCCCCCATACTTCGCCCACTAGACGTAACGCGAAAGTATAACATTTCCACTTCACCTCGGCCTACCATGAGGCCGTGGAACTTCCCGGGAGGAGCCTCCCCATTCGCCTAACAGCTAAAGGCAAAATCTTCTACGGAAAATTTGTACAAATTGATTTCAACACTATCAACAGTTTAAAGATAAGGACTAGTGGCTATTTTAAGAGGTAGAGAGGAGAAACAACCAGGAAGATCTACCGGTAAGTGATTAGTCTATCGAGTGAGGTAGCCGGGGCCCATTTTATTATAAGGTGGCAACGTCTGCAACCCTTCGGGGATTGCAAATGTCCACCACACCCGCTCGCTTGCCACCTTCTCACATAAAAAAACCTGCTGTGTGCCTTTAAAATGAGCGATGGCGGAATATAACATTGGTCAATATGTAAATTATAATTTAAAAAAAGTTTATACACTTACCAAACTCACGTAGGCGTATATAACCGCGCTACGGAGTAGAGATACGCAGAAGCAGCATTTTCTCACGACTGGGAAATGAGGGCTCTCGAATTGTAAAAACTTTTTGATCTCCTCCATATCGACAGAGCCCTTGCTTGATCTTCTTGTTTGGACATTGAAATAGTTGTAGACTCTTTAATATTATATTCTAATAGCTGATCCGTGAGAAATTTTCCCACAGTAACGTGATCGGTCACCGAATTAGTAATACAATAATATGTAAGTAATACAAAAATGTCTAGCAATTAAAGGCATTTTATTTTGAATAATAAAGTTAACACTATTTGTTTCTGTTGTCCATTTCATTATCTTTCATTTGAACAAATCGTCAACAGATGGCACTGTCATACATTCTTTAAAAGAAAATTTTTAAACGAAAGTTTGTTTGTGAAAACATTAATTACCTTCTTCTAGGACTATTTTTCGTCAATAGCGACAGTTATAAACTTTAAAAAGGTGTTTGAATCATTAAATTTGATAAAGAATTATGGAAGTTATGGCGTACCGACAAAAAACACCATTAAGAAATAATTTTTAAAAGTAAATTAAGATAACCTTCAAAATTGAAGGCTTATATGTTTAGTGGTATATTAAACAGGTCCCCAAATCGGTTTATGCAGTTGCTTTCCTTATAATCGTCGGTGTCACAGATCGTATGTTTGATTGCCACCCCGAGACAATTAATTAATTGACCTTCCAATTATTGTTCAGGATCTGGGAGTGTCGGTATAAGATAACGTTATCCTACACATACGCGTAAAGCATCTTAATGAATATCAGAAAAAACATTTTGTACATTCCTTTACATGAATTAAATTAATAATCTAAGCACCTAGGTAATGTAAAAATTTGTAGTTAGAACCTTCGCAAAATTTTGAAATAATAGAAATATTGGACGTTTAATCTGGAGGGCGTAGAGTCAAGTGCTAGCAGCGGCAAAAATTTTGCGAAGTTTTTATCTACATTTTTTAAGTCTCATCCCAAGTTCAAAGACTAGCAGTAAATTAAAATAAAAAAAAAATAAAAAGTTACGGATTGCGATGGATTTTTTTTCAATTGGTCGATCACAGTGGTACCTATATTTTATTTAAATTATTGATTAAAATTCTAATATGATTTGTAGCATTCTTTTAGCGCAGCGAGTTTTTTTTTCTGCTGGTCAGAAACTGTCTCCCAGACTCAGCCTCATTGTGCTTAAGGGTAACTATATTAGCGTGATATGATATGGATGACTACGTTGAAGTTCCACAGTATTGCAAAGAGTTATCCAGTAGCACACGTATCAACGAATTAGTGTTACCACCATGACTATCTAGAAAGTCATTGTGGTGACACTACAAATCTTTGTGGCGTCATTCACAGCCAGATACACGTTATGAGAAAGGGTGAAAGGTGGCTGGTGGAAAGTGTGATGAATATGAATGTGGTTGGAAGGTGTAAAGCCTGAGGAATGACCGAGAAAGATTTGGGAGGACTGTGTCAAGAGTGATATGTCTGTAAAAGGGGTGACTGCTGAGCCGGCTGATAGAGAAAAGTAGAAGGACAGAACATGTTCACACAGATTCTATAACGAGACATTTATATAGTGAGAAAGTAACAGAGGAGCTTCATACGAATATGAAAAATGTTTTACCTGATCTTAAGCACATGTAAGCAGCACTCGTGAATCATGCATCAGCCGCAAGAGAATCCCATATAAATTTGTTCTACACTAAAAGCATCTTAGTATATCATAGGTTCAGGTCACACTACCTACACACGATTAACCTCTAAGCCATGTGTAAAGAAAAATAAACCAATCGGTTGAATAATTAGTAAATATTTTACAAAATATCGCCACGAAATAAATAATTCAATGGAAAGATGGACCGTAACTTCCAAAACCTCAAACTAAACTGTCAGGATTAAACGCAATTCAAAAATGAAACCCCTTGAATGTCTTGAAGACATAATTTTATTTGATTGGATACTTCCTCGTAACCTCTATTATAAACTATAACGATATTGCCAGTTTTTTATACAAATCCGCCCGTAAATAACGCCCTTACTGATGTTTCATACATGAGCAGCAATGTATGTAAAACAATAAAAAATGTCATCAAACATCGGATAGCTGAAACAGTATACAGCGGTTGCTTTTGCATATTTGTGCAGTTAGTCCATTTGTTAAGGTATTAATAAATTACTACATAGATATTTAAAAAGTACTAGTTTCATTACTAGTAGTTTCGTTTGTGTTTATTTCAATTAGATTAAAAGTCGGTCGCAGGTGACAAATTAAAGTTTCATTCGTCATATAGATTATTTTGAAAAGTTTTAGGAAGAACACATCTTTATATTACTGTGACCGGTGTCTAATCTGTCCGAAAAATAATAAAGTATCCGCACAAATTGGTGCGGTTTATTAATTAATGTATAATACTTAAATGGTCTTTTTTTACCATGATCATCATCGGTTTAGCCTGTTAGAGACCACTGCTGAACCTAAGTCTTCCCCACAGACTGCCACTATTATAGGCAAAAATAAATAATTTAATCATAAACGTTTAAGTATCCCAATTATCGATTTTACTAATGAACGAAAAACTGGAACAGCACATGTATGTACAGTCTCACTAGATCCCATAAAAAATAAGAAATTTTTCATTTAAAAATTCGGCAAGCGACCGGCCTGTTTACATAATGTTAATTGACTACCGCCGCCCATTGCACCTACTGTGCCCAACATTTTTAGAAGTGCTGATGAGTGAGGTAACTGGTGACTGGCCTTCTGTGAGGCCGTGATACATCCCCGGACGAATCAGCCCGTTCTTGCAAAAGAAGAGGCTACATTAAGTTAAATATTATAACGCCTCAAGAAAAGGAATAGCAAAATTAAAGTAAACAAACTGACTGGCATTTAATATACACCTAAATGTAATTTACATTTACAAGCAGGATAGACATCAATTTCTTATTAAAATTAATTATATTATGTTTTTAAAATAACAGTTGCCAAAAAATGTCATTAGGTTTATGGGAAAAGAAACACATTTACGTTCGTGTAAAGTAGGATATAATTTAAATTTCTTGGGATCGCCCAAAATTTGTTCAGTAAATGTTGATTTCATTTTTTTTCATTTCACATATTTCTAGCACTCAAACGTTTTCTAAAACACATTTTGAATCGCTCCCGTGGTTGTAGAAACTCAATTGTGTGCTGTTCTCTAGTTTCAAGATTTCATTTTTAATCAAGGCCAGTAGATATAAATTCAACACTGTAAACGAAAAAGACTGTGTAAGTTAAATGCAAAGAGATTTGAAATCACTTAGTGTCAGCTATTCACTTAGTATCATGGCCTATGATAAATTTTATCATAGGCCATGCCGCCTGATCGTCATCACTTTCATGAAAAGTACGGCATAATGGGGTAATGCCGAAAGAATATTAAAACGATGCAGTTGATTATGACTATTCAATATGTGCATATTTAATATATGCAGATGATTATTTAATAATCATCGCTACCCACAACCTCCGCGGTGTATTCTAGTTAAGTAGCTGACCAGCGAAAGAATAAACACCTCCAACTCACGCTGTCCAGATCCTGGTAGTTCGCCGAAAGAGTCAGGCCATCATAAACAGAAGATGCTTAATCATTCTAAGAACGTTCGACCCATCCCAGTGCAATTCCATTGGCATCTACCTACTGTATTAGCAATTATTCTTTAAATTACCTTCGTTTTAATGTTACTCATCTTGTCTGTATACTCACAAAGTGTGCCGGTCCCAAAGGTGGCGATTTCGAAGACGTCATATATCATGTAAAACTGCGGTGAATTGAACCATCTCGATAAATACATGAAGATCTGCATAGCCATGCCGAAGAGGTAGAAAAGGAAAACAATAACAGTAGTTCCAACAGCGTATTTATAGTAAACTCTCAACAGCTTGGGGTTTTTCTGGAACAATTAATAGTGATTAAAATGACTAAAGTAGAAAAGTATTATCAGCATATTATATATATGCACATCTATAAACAGCATGGCGTTACAACCACTACAAGAAATGAACTTAATACTTCTAAGGCTACAAGCCAATAATCTTAAAAAATATAAAGGTTAAAAAAAAAACCATAACTAAAAAAATAATTTTCAAACAAAGTAAATAAAAAGAGAAACAAATTTTTAACAGTTAGTATTATATAGGATGACAACTACAACTGACTGATTCATACATTCCGAGACTTATTTACAACGTGGCTTTACAAGTATCTCCTTCTAACAGTATGTTTTATCTCTTTTAAATTCATTCAACCAATTCATATGCTTTGTGACCTTTACAAATTAATTTTACGTTACAGTTTTATGCGTACGGGGTGTTCTAAAATTATCTGCTTTTTAAAAAATTAATAACTGTAAATATTGATGTTTAAAGAAAGTAAATTTTAATATTTTTATAATAAGTTATCCATTACATGTGTATTGATTTATGTTCGCGTAAGTAACAACACGTTGTATTTATATGAAAAGTCAACCAATTATTATTATTAACTTCAAATAGGCTAGAACAATTTTTTATAATTGGTGCTAACCTTGTTAAGCCGGGGCGGGTCGCTAGTGTTCAACCAACTTAGATTTAAGAGCCATTTCTGTTTCCTCGTTTTCCCAACTTAAACGACCAAAATAATTATTTTGAAGACTTTTACACAGTTTCATGTTTTCTAAACCTTTTCCTTCCCACCCTGAACGATCAATAATTATGACTTGTGCGATATGCGTCTTTGGCTGATGTTTTTGCTTTCAGTTCGTAGACTGTTAAAGCTTCATGGAACACAGGCGTGCATCTCATATCTGTGCCTCCTGTGATCAGTGATACAACTCGAGTTGTACCCTTTTTCTGATTTTTACACATAAGCAATCAGTAAAAAATAAGCTAGCTTTGGGTCTGACTCACGTGTTTCTATCTGCTATAGATCTCGAGATAATTTTGTGCAAAGTGATATAACTAATGGGATTTTGGATGAAAAAATCGTGAATTTTGATTTTAGTCTTGATATAGCACCAGTAAAGTATCACTCCACACATTTTTTTTTCGTACTTTGTGGTATAACTACTATAATATCAATTTTCACATTTGATTTTCTAATGATATTTCGTGAATAATAATTTTATTCCAGTTACATCAACTTGAACCTAAGTTTATTTTTTGTTATTTGCAGGGTACAACTTGACATGTACTTACCGATCTGAATATTAATTTCGCCTAATTATGTGCTGAATGATACATCTCAACATGCATCATTTCACACAATATCTATTCTTATCTGAACACTAAAATAAATTGAGTTGTATCTGAAATGCAAACATGTTCTAAAAAGTATTTACTACGAACTATAGTGTAAAATGATACAAATTAAAACAAGGTAAGGGTGGCGGTTATGTGCGGGAGTGAAGTGACTGACTAAGCCCACTTTATTAAAAGGTTGCAACGCATCTGCCACACTACAGGAGTTGCAAATGTCCATGACCGGTGGCTATCACTTAACATAACGTGGACCTACAGCTCGCGTGCCACCTTCTCACATAAATAAACTATTTTGTAACACTGCCTCGAAATATACAACAACATCAGGAAAAACAAGAAGAACTCGTGACTTACGTGATCTAAACAACTATGTCAGAAATGCAAAGAGAGACTACCGTTTCATTTAAGGAACACTCTGTTCAAAACATACTGGAGTCATGGAATTTCAAAAAAAAGACGTCCAAATATCCCAAGAAAAAACGGAACGCTAGATTTTTTCGATACTTCTTTCACGGGTTTGATCATAACAAAACACGCAATTTGTAAAGGATGTTTTTTGAAGACTTTTGACTAAAACCACAAGTATCTTCAGACTTTATGCGAGAAACTTAGAAAACTTAATATCTGATATCAATTACAATCCATCGAACATAAATTTCTAGTACCTAGCCATACTGACATGGAAGCAGACAGTGACCATGCGCTGATTGAGCATAAAAAGAAGCACATGGGCATAGATATTCACCTGCCAAGAGATTGGTAGATAGTGGTCTGCACAGCTTCAAATAAATCTGCAAAGTTTACTGTGATCGAAATGACTCTGAATATGTTTTACGACTTCGGTATTTTTTTAAACAATTCCTTCCCAAAACAACTACAGACATTAAAAAGTTTCTGTAGTCTGATGTCATATCGAGTATGTATCTTTAAGGCAACTGTATTTCTGTTTTTTTTCTTCCCTGTATTTCTTACAAAAAAGGACTCAAAGACGGTGGGAACATGAATGAATTTATCGAAACGCGGAAAAGTGTACTATATGGTAGGAATTTATACCGTGCCAAAAGCTTACCATTCCAAGATTCCCATTTCAACAGAAAAGAAGAAGGATCTAGTACAATTATTATCCATGAAAGAGCTCATGAATTTTATAGAAATCTAAACTGTAAGAGTGACCGGTGACGTTCAATATCACGGTCATTTGGAAGGAAAAGCCAAGCTGGCTTCTAAAAAACTCGGTATCCTAAACCGAGCGAGACAGTATTTCCTACCGGCACATCGTTTGCAGCTTTACAAAGCACAGATTCGGCTGCACATGGAATACTGTTCTCACCTCTGGGCTGGGGCACCGAAATACCAGCTCCTACTACTTGACCGCATCCAACGAAGAGCTGCTCGAATAATCGACGACCAAATTCTGTCCGATCGTCTCGATTCTTTGGCCCTGCGAAGGGTTGTTGCATCCCTTTGCATTTTCTTCAGTTGATACCTGCAGGTGAACTTCACCATCGTACAACTCGTCAAACCGCCAAGTACCATCGACACCACCTTGATGGTTGGCGGCCCACCACTGTGAGTTTTTCGCGAAATTTTGAATGAACTACTTTGTGGAACGAGTTGTCGCCAGCGGTATTTCCGGACCGACACGACTTAGGGACCTTCAAGAAGAGAGCTTATTCCTACCTTAAAGGCCGGCAACGCAATTGCGACTCAACTGATGTTGCAAATGTCCATGGGCGGCGGTGACCACTTACCATCAGGTGACCCGCATGCTCGTTTGCCTCCTTTTTCCATAAAAAAAAACATTAAAGACTCTCTTCCGGACAATGACGATGATTCTGAGTAGTTGTCGTTTATTTTGTCGTTATAGTTTCCCTTTATTCTTGGTTTACGTCTAAAGGTGATTTTACTCATAGATAGGGTGCTTATAGAAAGATAAGAAGATTCTGTTGTGTTTGTTAATTTCTCTATATTTATTAATCTATTTAGGATTAAGATAATGATCAAAATATCCTGTAAGTACTAAAAAGTACCTATTGTGATATCTGCTATGACTGATCCTAGATATATAATTTATAATTTTTTATTGAATCATGAGATAAGAATAATTTAGGAGAAGTACAATAAATTTTTTATTATTTTTTGAATAGTTGTATTAATTTACACAATCAATATAATTTTTCAAGTCAGGTATAATTTGACTTGTATCATATAACACATGTTTCAAATCACGAGGATTTTAGCTAGTTGATACAATTCAAAGAAATTATCACAACAGGGGGATATACACTATAAAAAATGAATCTAGATGTTTCATTTATTTTTTATTTGGTTAAACAATTATGATAGGAAGAGGTTCTTATAAGTTATTTTTGTTTTTATACTACACGTATATCAGTTTTCACAAAGACAATAATAAGGTGCAACATGGTTTAAATCTACTCATATCATGTAACACATCTTCTTTGCCAATATTTTACTTTACAGAGGTACAATTCAAAAGTTTTTTTCGAGTTACTGATAAATTATATAATTTTTTAACAAAACTGTAATACAGGATGAAAGAGAATGTTATAATCTATATGAGTGTGTACAAAGTTTTGTCCTAGTCTATCCACTTCATGAACTAGAATTTTTTAAATCTTGTTTTTGCTCTCCTGTAAAATGTTGATTTTCGACTTGTATCACTGATCACAGGAGGCACAGATATAATTATTTTTTATATAAATGACCAACTAGCTGGCGGTTCACCTGATGTTAAGTGATAACCGCCGCACATGGACATTTGCAACACCCGTAGGGTTGCAAATGCCTTGCCACCTATAAATAGTGTAATAAGTGTGCCCCAGCTACCTCACTCACCAGACGAAACGCAGAACACTTGTACTTTACACCGGTCTTCTGTGAGGTCGTGGTACTTACCCGGGCGGACTTGCCCATTCTTGCAACAGTGAACATTGTCGCTTGGTCCTACCACAGTTCAAAATACTCCGACTTCAAAACATACAACTGAGCTCACTGAATGTCATAACCTTGTTCATTCATGTCCGTAATAAACATCAAGTTTTACCCGAGTTGAACTATGTCCATGTCAAACGCTTTGCCTAAGTTAGATTTGTCGCGCTAGTCTAACACCACTTTTTCTTTTTTTTTAACATTAGTCACTCTGCTAGGAATAACCTCCTTAGGGAATGAATACCCTGATTTACTTTTTATAGCTAACCCATTTCACACTAGGGTAAATGTAACTTTTCATTAGCGATTGATCGTTTTCAATGTCAAAGTCGAAGTCAAAACATCTTTATTCAATATAAGGTTAACTTAAACTCTCATGTCAGAAAATTAACAGCCACTATACAAATGTTTCAGCTTTAGAGATCGATGACCTACAATAAAATACAAAGCAGGAAGACAGTTTACCTTGTGTGCGCCGACTATGAAGACAAGAGTGATCGCGATATCGAATAAAAAGAGGGCTGCGATCACCGCTTCCATTGTGATGTTCGTGTCTGCAGGCTTCATACGCCTCACGGTGTTCAAGATTTTCTCCAAAATCAAAACCGTCACGAGGATGCACCAGATCTGGAAAGAAGGATGCCTTTTCGTAACTAAAGTGACAGTGAGCTTTCAAATCAACTCTTGAGTGGAGGTGGACTAGCACGCTCACTGGTCAGATGGATCTGAACGAAACTAAGTAGCTACAGCATTAAGTAATAACCGAACTAAAGTCAAGGTATTTCGCGTGCACAGAGGTTTGCCGCAAGCTAGTTACGACGATAAAGACAGCGGTCTAGCAAATGAATTTGATACAATAATCTTCCAACTATGAGAAGGTGGTAAACGGAGAAAGTGATAACCGCCACCCATTAATATTTCTGACACCTGTAGGGATGCAGATGCGTTGACACCTTATAATAAAGTAGGCCCCGGCTACCTTACTTGACAGACGAAACGCAGAAGTGTAACACTTCCACTTCACGCCGGTCTTCTGTGAGATCGTGGTACTTACTCAGTCTGACCTGACCATTCATACAACAGCGAAGACTCTTGCATGGCCCTAGCACTCAGATGTTCTAAAGTAGTGCACTAAAACTGCATCATTTAAGTCCCCTCTCCCCATTCCATCATCGGACATCTAGATTATCTGCAAAACTCTGTCATTTTACTGTCGACATTTCACGCCTTCGAGCGAAGAGCTTCGTCTCCTCTCTCGTAATGTGTACAGGTGGAACGTGGAACAATTTGCCCGCGTCGGTTTCAGTTAATAAATAGGATGTTACTGTGCTAGTTTATATATTTACTTACCATCGGGTACGATTGTATTTTCTCATGGGTCGATTTTCAGAATAAAAAATAGGATAAGTACCACGACCTCACAGAAGACTGGCGTAAAGTGGAAGTATAATACTTTCGCGTTTCCTGTGGTGAGTGAGGTGGCCTGAGCCCAATTTTCACAAGGTTGTCAACGCATCTGGAGCCCTCGGGTGTAGCAGATGTCCATGGGTGGCGGTATTTAATTAACATCAGGTGAACCGTCTGCTCGTTTGGCAACTTTTCACATAAAAAAAAATTAAGTAACTCTTGTATTGTAGATATTGAGTAATTGATAAACATACCCGAAGGATTTGATCTTAATCTACATATATGTAAAACGCCTCACCACAAGGAAAACATAACATTTATCATATAGTTTTGCCCATACTGCTGATCGAACTTGCAACCGCTGGCGCAATAGACGTGTCCAATACCCACTATGTCAATCAGGTCATCGATATCCATTACATGACACTGTTTTAATCGAATAAGTTGGTCAACGAGCGTGCGATTAATCTGGTGATAAGACATCCCTGGACATTCACAATACATACGGGCTTGTCGTTGCGTTATCAACCTTCAAAAGGTCACCCGTTTCCAAACTGACCAGATGAAATCGAATGCGTAATTACTTCCACTATGTTGTTCTGTGAAGTGTAAATGTTCTGAACGACCGTACGTATATTCATGCAACCAAAAAAGCTGCATCGCCACTTACCACGGCAGTCAAGTGCTAGCCAGTTTTTGAATTAAAAAAAAATACTTTAAGCTGAACACAAAGCGAGAGTCTTATTATAATTAGAATTCTCGGCTGATAAATATCAATCAACTAGCTGACAAACGTTGTTTTGTCATATAAATGATTTCTATCGAATGTGTATCTCAGAAAAAGAAAATGAATTTTCTGAACGCACGCATAAAATGTTTGGTAAGAACAGTTTGTACGGGGAAAATAAAATTGTTGTTATTTCGATTTTCCATGCAATATTTTTATTATTTCTCATCGTTTAAACCTACCCTGGACTGCCACAAATATTTCAAAACCAAAATTAGTCAAATCGGTCCAGCCGTATTCGAGTTTTAGCGAGACTAACGAACAGCAATTCGTTTTTATATATATAGATATTTCAAATACTTCTTTCTGAGTTTCATAAATATCTTTAACAATTGAAATTTAAAATCATTAAGTTGCAGTTAAAAAGTTAATTTTAACAAAGTTATTATAATGGATAATATTCTTCAAATATTGAAACGAAGAACGTATAAATTAATTAATATACTATAACGTACCCCACCATGACAAAAACATTAAATAGCCTTTTTTCTTAAATGAATTTCTTCCTAACATGCTTTTGAGGGATTTATATTAACAATACCATAGGTGTTGGTTTTACATTAGGTATACACGGGTTGAAAAGAATAATAACCTAATAAAATCTTGCAATGATACTGACTGAGATAATCCAGGATTTTGTGCTCTAATTACAGCCATAGTATTTAACATACACGTAAATATGAGCATTACTGCGTTAAAATAATGCAAGTCCATTGGGCGTTGTAAACGGTTCGAAACTTATAAGTAATGAGGCAATTTACTAGTGTTTCAGTATTTATTTAATCTTTGTATCGTTTATTGTTCCTTTTGAAACCCTAATAAAAAGTTTAATTTTTTTAGGGTTTATTTAAATTTAATTAGACAGTTAATTTTTGGTTAAATTATATTATCGATAAAATCCATAGAAGTTATTAATCATTAAAAAAATAAAGAAGTATTATCGTTAAACTAGAACTTTGCTCAATTATCTCTCTTATTAAATAATAAACTTGAAAACATTAAAATAGTGTCAATTGTAGCTTCCATTATAGGATCAACTTGAGAAAGTCTCAAGTGGTCACAAGGAACTTACCATTTTAAGGTACGCCCACACAAGGAGCCCATACCTAAGCGGCAAGCAGAAGCAGCAACGCGTGATTTTCGGCAGATCCGTGTACATTGCCAGCTGTTCGTTATCCTTCGGCGTATTAATTCCGAAACACACGGTAATGGAACAGGGGAATGAAATCAAACAACACAAACCACCCCGAATCAAACGATCTCCGCCGCCTGACTGCTGCTATTATAACACTGTATCTGTGTTATAGTAATGTATAAAAGCGTGATAAATTATTATTTATACCGTTATCAATCGTAACAAGCAATGGTCATAGGTCGAGGAGTTTCGCATTACAACGAAGTCACGCATCACGCGGAACTCGATTTGACAATGAGTTCAGATGTGCGGGAATTCGATGGATACGATAATGGATAGATAATATATAAAATAAAATAAATAAAATAAAAAGTAAAATATCCTCCAGAAGCCGTTACTCAATGTAGCCGCCACGGTAGCTTTAACTGCCGACTTACCACGTGCTATACGGTGAAGGAAAATATTTTGAAAATCTAAGAATCATGGTGAACCGCCGGCTCGCTTGCCATCTTCTTACATAAAAAAACCCCCACGTCTTTTAGAGTCAAATGAGGTAGACAGACACAGAAGAAGCCATCGAAATTACTCTGAGGTATATAGTTTGTGTAATGTGATCAGTTATTGATTAAATAAAAAAAAACTACAACTGATTCTTATTTAATTCAGAGTCAAAATACAAATTTGCTTTAATTTTCAAATAATATTTATTTATTTTGTACACATCGCTTTGGTCCGGTGTTGTTTGTATCAATTCAATTATGTTGTTGTAGTTTGGAAATTCCAAACTATAGCTAAACTCTGTTATCACAATGCGGGCGTATCACTTCCGATTAAAGACACATAAATTTATAGAAAAAAAGAATGTTTTTTTTAATGTTAATAGGGGGATTTTCCCGACAGTGCTTGTAAATATTTATGAAGCATCAAACATTTTGCATAAATAATATTTCATTAGAATATTTCATTAGAGCTTATGCCCGCGACTTTGTATCCGTGAATATAGTAAGGATATCAGAATGACAACTTAAATTTCATGTTTGTGTAATAGGTACAAAAAACTAATAAATAAAATTATTAAACGAAATTAGAATTAATTTAAACTACTGTAAATGATATTTTTTGCGTATAACGATCTGGGGTTTCGGGATTGGAGTGAAAGAAACGCTAGGTATTTGAATCTTTACTTTATTTGTACTGAAAACGTGCGGGACGTCCCCCTTAATAACGCACAAATCGTTCACTACTACACTCTTTCTTGTCCTCTTCTCTTTCCTTGCTCTTCGAGTTCCTCCGCTGAACTGCCTATCTAATTCGGAGTTGCGAGCTGAAAGCCTTGTTGCGAGTCTTGGGGGCTCTATGCCAATTACTCGGGTATGTTTTCTCAAACGACAATGGCCGATTGGTTGTGACCCTTGAAAAGGAGAAGATAAGATATTTAAATTCAGCATTATTACAAAAACTCACATGTTATACAAGTTTTACACTTTTGACACGCGGCATGTTGTAATTGCATTGTGTAGAGCGTGAATAGGATTGGGCCCAACACCAACCCTTGAGGTACCCCGGCTCGAACGGGATGCATTGAAGAACACACCTCCTCGACACGATAGCGAAAGGTTCGATTACTTAGGAAGTCTCGTAATATGGGTACGAGACGATCTGGCACTCCATACTCGTATAAATTGTATATGAGCCCGTTTTGACAGACTTTATCGAAGGTCTCATCGAGGATCAGCGCTCCGGTGTTGAGTCCTCGTTCGCTTTAATTAATACATGCTTCGTGCTGCGGTGCACTTGATGGTTACACGAATGTTTGGTTCTGAAGCCTAACTGTTCGGGGATGGAGAGAACTCAAGAGTCCATAAAGGATCGTAAGCAGGCTAATATAAGCCGTTCAAACATCTTCCCTACCGTTTTGAAATGACTTATTGTGCGACATCAGGTTGGCTTGTGAGAGCTCGAATTGCGGTCTCCGTATCCTGTTTGGTATTGAGTTAATCGGGGATTGACTCTAATTGGGACGGATTGTATTCGTTAAGTTTGGACTTGACTTTATGCCAGCTAATAACTGTTTTGGTTTAGGGAACGGCTATTCCTGAGGGCCCTAGCCGAAGTAAAACTGGTTGGAGATCTGAGTGAAGCTCGTGGATCACTTCAGCATCGCGTATGGAGAGATTGATATTTTTGATAATCGTAATATCAAGCACATCCGATGAGTGTACCTCTATGTAGGGAAAATGCTTGTGTTTGGCTGGGGCTACGACTTCGACATCGAGCCTGTCGGATAGCGTGTCAATGGCGGTGGTTATCGCTTAGCAATAGTGAACCGCCAGCTCGTTTGCCACCTTCTCATATAAAAAATTGCAATAGTTATTATAAAAAATATATCATAACTTATTTATAATAATTACACTGTAGTTTAATTAACATGTTATTCTCCTGTATTGATTATTTATGTCCATTCCTCGAAAGGTGGTTGTAAGAAGCATTCCGGTTCCGACGTGTGGTTCACAAATTTGAAATTGCAACTCGATTCGATCTTGGCAATATTACTATGCGTCAATATCAGAAAGTAGACGTGCATAACTGAAAAGATAAAAAATAACGAGTTAATATCTGAATATTTCGTATTGATTAACATAGTTGTAAGTAAAGAGAGTAAGGAACAGGCATATATAAGGAACAGGTATATACATAAGTGCTTTTAATAGGCGAAGGCCTCCTTTGGACTGAGGTTAATAGAACATAGGTATTATACAGGTTTCCTCTATACTTATTCATTCTCCGGCCGGTACGTAATCTGTACCTTGCCCCGGTTGCAATTATTCAATTAATATACACTAAAATATCTTCAGATGTTTGAGGATCATCAGGAGGTAAGGCATAACTTATCACAGCTAAGCATTGTATAGCAATGTTGTCAATGAAAGTTGGTTTATATTTATTGCTCGATAAATGCATGACACAGAAAACAATACATAGAGCAGCTACCCTTATATCAAAGTCCACTCGATACTGATTTGCTGAATCCGACTCTGGTGGTTAAGAGACTTAAACGGGATCATCTTATTTAATTGGCAGGCGCGGCGTTTGCTACCCCACCAGAAAAACCATATTATCACACAACAAATTCACTTATGGTGTGGCGACCGATTGCAAATTTACCAAGAGAAAAAAAAAAATGGAAAATAGAATGCATTGTATTTGTAAACCAAATAAAATGTCTAAAAATAAACTTACTCAAAATTGCTGCTATAATCGACGAGGCAGTAATAAATATATCCCTCGTACTTTTGAGTGATATTGTCAAAGAGGTAACTTCATTAACGAACCAAATAAGGCCCAAGACTACAATGAGCGCAGCAAACACGATACCGTATCGAAAATATAGGCGCAGCATCGATGTATTTCTCTGAAACAAAAAGTTATTAAGGAAGCTTATGAAGCGTATCACAGAAACCAGCCAAGTGCGAGTCGGACTCGTGATCGAAGAGTTCCGTACCATTATTTTTTTATTCTGTTTTTTAGTATTTGTTGTTATTGCCGCAACATAAATACATCATCTGTGAAAATTTCAAGTGTCTAACTATCATAGTTCATGAAATACAGTCTGGTGACAGACAGACATACAGCGGAGTCTTAGTAATAGGGTCGTGTTTTACCCTTTGCGTATGGAACCCTAAAAAGGCTTACTAGTAATATTCAAGTATGCATGTAGTTTGCATATGTATTTTGTGTGGAAAGGGTTGGGTTGGAAGTTTATATACATTCCAACGCTTTACATACATAAATATAGATTCGAAACAATTATCTGTGAGTCACACATATAGTTGTCTCCTGTGGGAATCGAATCCTGAAACATGGAGTCATCCAAAGGACTATGAAGGTCTATGTACTTTGCAAGTGATAAGAAACTTGTAAAAACTATTTTAACTCTTTTAATTTTTTTGTTTTGAGAAGGAAATGCAGCATAAAATCTATGATTAAAGCGGTACCAAAATCCGTGGAACTTTACTTAAGTTTCTGTTTACCCTAAAGTTTCGGCTAAACCATGTAACCCTTAACTATCGACACACCACTCGTCTGTATGTTCTTCGTACTAAATACATTGGCCATGTTTCTTTCATACTATACCATTACAAATTTTGTTGATTTCTTGTATTTACGTAAATCCTATACGAAATTATTTTACGGTTTTCGTGTTTTATTTTCATTTTAAAGTCACGACGTTTCGAACGCCTTATTGTCCTTTGTCACAGGTGTGTCATTTGGACAGGTGACCATGAACGCGGCAAAGTTTTAGAAATATGAAATCAAAACAAAGCGCGATAAAATCGCGGTAAAACACTTTTATTTTTAGCGACTACGTCTGCGTAGAATAGGTTGAAGGCGTAACATTCAGACAGAAAGACAGATACGAGTATGCGTAAAAATATGTATAAATATTATAGCCTATGTTTTATTCTGATGTATAATATTATTGTAAAGTTTCATTAAAATCCATTCTGTAGTATTTGCGTGAAAGAGTAACAAACATCCATCCATATACAAACTTTCGCCTTTATAATATTAGTAATGATCTAACACATAGACGAGAAAACAAATGAATATCCCCTAAAATAGTAATAGTAATAGTAATTAGTAATTTAACATTTAAATCGCCTTTTCATTTGCTTACTTTGTGTACTCCAACGATGAGTATGACGACGAATGTCACGTCCAGCACCAGGAGGGTCGTTGTCAAAATCATTTCTGATATATAAAAGCTCTCGTATGGAGCAAACGCGAAGTAAATGAACGTCAACACCAGAAGGGATCCAGCGAGGACGATGTTTGCTAACTGCAAATTGGGATAAGAAGAAGGCATAAGAAGTGGCTTGACCCCCAACCCTATACAACGGAATGCGGCCGAGGTGCCCGCAATAACACCGAGAACTCATCTTGCTTTTTAAACGAAGGTTAACGTAAAGGACATTTTTTCTCTATAGTTCAAAATTTATTTTAATTGCAATACGCACCCGTCAATGTCCTATACATTACCTAAACGAATACGCAGAGGGGCGGGAAGCATATTTTTTTTATTTGTCAACTCAATATTCATAAAAATAAAATAAATAGGGTTCAACATTTATATAAATGTCAAACTGACAGGTTAGGTACGTTAGATGTACAATAAAAAATATATATATTATAATATAATATGTACTTTACAAATATATAAAATTATGTATTATACAATTTTATATATTAATAATTACTTTAAAAAACTTTCAAGTTAAACGGTTTTATTTTATGTTTTTTTTTTGTTAAATTTTTTTTTGTTAATATTGTATTTTTGTCATCGAAAAAAAAAATTAAATGTGTGGCTCAAATTTCAGATCAATCTGACAACGGCAAGGTGCTTAAATTTCAATTTCTAATTTTGACCCAAATAAATAAACAAACAAATTCCGTACGGGTCGAGCTAAACGTCGAGTTAAATATTTTGTTTATTTATCGGCCAATCGAACTTCAATAACATCATAATTAGAATCTTCAGTCACGTAAACAGTTTTAATTCATTAAACACATCGACGCTTAAACAAATAAAGTTTGAACTGAGAAAAACAATGCTGTGACATAAATATCTTGTTTCTCTTGACATACTAGAACATACAAAAGATAGGTAAGATGCCTGTCTCGTTTCTAACAACATAAACTGGAAATAAACATGATCTAATCGCTATAGATACTCACGATCTTTATATGGGCCAATAACAAAAAGCCTAATCTCAAAGGTACGCAGAAGCAGCATCTAGAGATCTTTGGAATCTCCGTGTACATCACGGGAGTCTGCGAAAAGAGCGATAATAATAATAGAACGAATAACAGCGATGATAATCAGAGAACAGATTAAACCCGAAGATACAACCGAACGCATTGAGTACTAAATGCCGACTGCTGGCTGACTGCTGTCTGGTCTGTCGTCTGCTATTATTTTGGTGCCGAGACAAGGTCAAGTCGCAAATTGACACAAGATGTACCGTCGGCGTTGCAACTGTGATGGCACCAGAACTTAAAACTTCATGCTTACATATTTACTACTAGCTTTTCGCCTGCGGCTTCGCTCGCGTTGAAGTGTTTAAAGATATATCTTTCTTTAAAAAAAGATATTTTCAACCTTTTACAACACATTTTCCAATTAAAAATAGACTATATCCTTTCTCAGGCTCTTGACTATGTGTTGATTGTGTACCAAATTTCATTTATTTATTTATTTGAAAAGTGCCAAGCGAGCAGAAGGTTCACCTGATATTAAGTGATAACCGCCGCCCATGGGCCGAGGGTTGCAGATGCGTCGACAACCTTTTGAAAATTGGGTTCCGGCTACCTCACTCACCAGACGGAACGCGAAAGTATTATACTTCGCGTTCCGTCTTCCCGTCAGGATTATTATAGGCTAAAAGCAAGAAAAAAACAACATTTTTTTCCCAACATGTGAATCTATACGTTTACTCTTGATGCCCTCGGAAAACTGTCATGCAGCATACAGCTATTGTGTTTTCACATAATAATCGAATTGACATTCCAAACTAGTAACAATTAATTAGTATCATTATCACAAAAGCATCACTCTTGTCCGTTTAAATCATTCAAACAATTCCTACTTTCGCATGCGATACGTGGTGCCTCCATGCAACGATGAATAAAGATCGACAGACTTTACGTGTCATTCATACCTAGTCTTTCCTAGAATACATCATCGTATGATGTTATTCTTCACCTCATCTGTTAGTCTTGTTGTTATCCAGGAGTAAACTGTCAAAGCGTTGTAAAACGCGTCAAAATACATTGCAAAACTGCCAGTGTTAAAAATATAAATTTTCGCCTATAAGATAACAAAGATAGGCTTTTATAAAACATTGGTTTTTTCACCAAAGCTTAATATTTCTTTGAGAAAATCGAGAGTATTAGGGCATAGTCCACCACGTGGCCCCACTTGAGATTTTTTAATTTCTCTAAAAGATATAAAATAAAATCATTTTAAGGATTTAGTCCCTGTTTTTAATTCCCAACATTTTGAAAATTTTACTGAAATAGGGTTGTTTTTTTTTTTATTTTATATCCTCGCTCATCCTTGAGAGAAATCAGGGTGCTTTTGCGAGGAATTAAGGTTAATTGACTCTTATATAATGGCCTAAAATAGGATGAAAATGCAATGAAATACTTTTATTAAACCTAGTGAAGTATTCACATTAATATCGTTATGGGACATATAATGAATCTATAGTTCTGTTATATATTTTCAAAACATAAAACTCCTATCCGTTAGGACTGCTCTAGGTTGGTTACTCCAAGGATTTATTAAGTCAATTCGAATTTATCTTTATTGATTTTTCAAACTGCACGTAGCTTTATAAATCTACTACTCATCGATATGTGTTTGGTCCAATCGAACGTCCTTGCCCATAATAAAAATGTTTCCCAAAATGCACTGTGGGATTCCCCGCGTGTGGGTCGTTTGACGCGAATCCGGTTTCATTAACGAGGCTAACTTTTACTTAGCACTAACTTTCGGTCAGAATTTCGCTCGCGTATAATCTTCAATGACACATTTATTTATAATAGTATTAAGGTATCAAACCCCGAGTAAATAGATTATGTTATTCAGTAGATTCATCTATTGAAAGTCAAAATATTTTGTTGAATTTAGAGGCTTCTTTAAAACACTTACGGACGACATGTTCTTACACGGATTTATAGATTTTAGATATCAGACTCGTCCAAAGAAGAAAACTTAACGAATAACGCTTATCTTATTTGGAATTTTATTCAACCAATTGCTGCAAGTTTTTATTTTTAGTAGGTACTAGGTAGTTTAGTACGTATTTTTAGTAGGTAGGTGGTAGGTAGGTTTTTAGTAGTAAACCTCGTTTGGGTGACTTATACGTTCATATGCTTTTATTTTAATTCCACTCTAAATTGAAATCCTTTTAAAAGTTTCCCAACAGCAGTTTTTACTAATGTTACAATTTTTTTTACAAATAAATAGCATTCAGGTAGAGCCCTAAAGAGATTTTGCCAAATTTAGTTTATGTAATAAATTATACATCCGCAAAAACCGATTCGACGACGACATTTGGATTTTCTTTGGATAATTAGTACCGCCTGCAAAGTCATTGTGGTATTTTTTCTCGCAATTTAATGTTTCAGAAGAGAAATATAAAACTAATCTAAGCTAATAAAAGTTTGCAAAGTAATCGAAACGCGAACCAAGACATTATCGCGTAGATGGGGATGTGTGTGTCTCAAGACTTGCTTACACTTCAAAAGCAGTCTCCTTTCAGCGTCCGACCCAGTCGCGCGTGTTATTCCATCGATCGCGCGACGTTTTACGTCCGTCGAAATTTCTTTATTCAGTAAAGGCTCATTTTAAGCTCTTATTGAACGTCAAACTACCACCGGTTCACTAAGCCAGACCTGTACAGAGGAAGCGTCAAAAAACCCCGCGGTCTTGTCACTTCTGTGAACGAAGAATGTACACGGAAATGCCGCCGATAAAGAGGTGCTGCTGCGCACCCGCGGGATGTGAACTCCTCGGGTGGGCGTATTCTAAACTGGTGTGTTTGTTGATTCCGTTTTTAAACGTCTTGTTTTTTTTTTTGCCGCCTAGACTAGAGCGATTAGGTTAGGTTGAGGTTTTATTGAACATTTTTTTACCGAGTTGATAGTTGTGTGATTTCGCATTCGCGATTATACCCCAGGAAAGAACTTGGGAAATAAAAGGAAACGGTGGTTGGAAATTCGTGCATATCCACTTTGCTGTAACCGATCGTGTTTGCTCACTGGGTCAGTATTCCCTGCATTTATCTTTAAGGGGTACTGGACCCCTTAAAGATCTAAAAATCGACTATTGAAAATTCGAATGCTATTTTCAAGATATTCACCCGGATATGATTCTGACTATGACTCCGTGGCGCAGTTACTAAGGTATTGGCTTCGGCGTCGTGGGTTCGATTCCCACACGGGAAAACTATTTGTGCGACCCACAGATAGTTGTTTCGCATCTGGGTGTTCTCGTGCAATTTATATTTGTAAAAAGTCCTTACAACACATATAATGTTATCCCACAGTGAGGGCAATGTTTTAAAAAAAAAAAACTAAAAGTAATACATTAACAACTGTCTATTCTATGGAGTGCTTTGAGGTTATGATAACTTCAGATTTAGATGAATCAGTACGAGGAAATTTAGGAATAAAATACTCAATCCTTTTGAGTCTCTCTGTAACGAGGTCTTGGCACGATGACGCATGGTGTCACATATTTGTTTATGCAGTTTGTAGTTGTTGTGTGCATAAAATACAAATAACATATTATTTTACCTTTTTATTGTTAAAATAGCCGTTTCGTTGTACTTTAAAATTAGTGATTAACCGATCCAAATAACATTGAATGAGCGTATAGGTCACACTATTGAACCTCTTGTACTATTATTGGCAATTCTGCATCAGCAGCACAAGCTATGAACACAAGCACGGAATTATTAAAGTTTCTTGGAATGAAATTTCTTAATGCGGCTTGGGGCAGATGTGTGTTGGCGGACATCGTCTCTTAAGGAAAAAACGTTAAGCTCCCCATGAGCGATTTGCACAACAGCCTTCATTATACAGCGTGTCGTTACCATCGCGACAATAAATGAACACACGTCTAACGCTACTTGCCAATAATCATAAAAAAATATTAACGTTAAACAAAATCCATAATTAAAACAAAATATTTTTCAAACAAACTAATTAAGTAAAAAAGAAACAAAATTTGTATCATCCTATACAACTCGCGCCACAGCGTCGCATTATAAGCTTCTCCTTCTAACAGTATGTTTTGTCTCTTTTAAATTCATTCAACCCATTCATATGCTTTGTGACCTTTACAAATGAACTTTACGTTACAGTTTTATACGTAAGGGTGTTCTAAAACTGTTTGTTTTGGAAAATTTAAATAACTGGGTTAATATTGATGTTTAAAGAATGTAAATGTTTAATACAATTTTAAAAATCCTCTATATGTGTGTTCATTTATTGTCGCGGTGGTAACGACACGTTGTATACACGGTTATAATTTATATTATATACATGGTTTCAAAAGATTAATGACCATAAGATAAAACAGGGTTTTGTATTTTATTTAACAGTGTATTTCTCTTTATGAAGTTGCTTGTTGAAAGCAGCTAAAACCAAATGTAATTGAAATCGAATCTTCCTCCCAAAGGTAATGTTTCACTTTATCATGTCGAATGTTGTTATAAAACTAGTATAATTATTAACAAAAAGAAGCTGACTGTTAATACCTATAACATTCAATGATGGCCCTCGATTTCTCTGGGATGCCATCATCAGATCCGGGTTTCCTTATCATGGTACTACCCTTGGGATATCTCCTTTCCGACAAAAAAAGAATCATCAAAATCGGTTCATAAACGACGAAGTTATCCACGAACACACAAAAAAAAATATATACGGTCGAATTGAGAAACCTCCTCCTTTTTGCAGTCGGTTAATTAATATAAATATTTTTTACATTTCATGGAGGTCTTTGTTTTATATTATGATATGCTTATAAAAGAAAGAGATGTCGGTGAACAGATCATTTAAAGTAAATTTTTTTGCAGGTTTTCAACATCCTCTTATTTGGCGGTGCTTTGATATGGCTCTCGTTAATTTTTATGTTAATATTATTTACTTCACACGCCATACACTTCATTTTAATGATAGCAATCGTGATGATTTTTGTCTTGCTTGATATATTCTTCAGCATAGTACTTATTGTCGGCGTTCGTAAGGTAAGGGAATACTTTCCAAGGTAACATTACCTCTTTTCATTGCTTACACATACGTTTTGTCACATTTCAAAAACTGACAGAAATACTAAGTAGGAAATGTGTTCAGTTGTCTTATTTTACTATTTGTAATCGAGAACAAAACATTTTCAAATCAAAAGTAATTATTTAAATTAGTTATTTAACATTAACATTAACTTTACACCAAATTCGTAATGTTTACCGGACTTAAGTAAGCCATAACTGAGAAGATGGGTAACCATTTTTTACGATGTAGAAAGTTCAAGAAAACCGGTGGGTTAAAAACTCGCAATGATCAATCAATCAATCAATCAAATACAATTTCTGAAAACCTTATCTTGTCAGTTTGATGAGGAGTTCACAATTCCATTTGTTTCGCTTATAGGGGTAGTCGGAAATCAATAATAAAATAAAACCTAAAAGCAAAGAGAAAATTCGCTTACCAAATACTTGAACGTTGCTATGGATAAGAGAACTTCTAAGTCTGTATTTTCTTGTCTAAATTGCAAAACCACTGCACTGGGAAATAATTTTTGCCTTGCGGGATGCGGGAGAGACGAGAATCGCTGGCACATTGTACACTGTTGCAATTTTCCGATGTCAATCTAACAACGCCCCATAGTTGGCCTTTGTTCAGCAGTGGACTCAAACAGGCTAAAACGATGACGATGAAGAACACCGACATCAGTCCGAGAAGGGGAGTAGTATTACAGATTTTTACTAAATCACTGAACATCTGTTTCGCCCCGTCTCCGCTTAAAACCTCTTTGGAATATAATTATTGTTAAAAAGTACACTTTGCGATGGTTGTGTCAATGATGACTCCGTGCCGCGGTTGACAAGGTATTGCCTTCGGCGCCGGTGGTCGTCGGTTCGATACCCACTCGGGACAACTATTTGTGTGACCCACAGATAATTTGTTGATAATTAAAAAAAAAAACTAAACTATGTTGTAAGTATAATCAAATTACTTATAAACACTAGCGCATACAGGCCGCATTAAGTAACCTTTTTTCGGGAGTAACTTTTTTTTTTCAAAATGGAAAAAAGACTCCCATCGACTCTTCTAGATTTTGCTTTCTGCGTTGCGTTATTCAGCTTATAAATCGGCTTCGATTGTTTCCAGAAACGCACAACCCTGATATGCCTCTACTACCGGTACGGAATGGTTCAAGCGGTGCTTTTAACGGCACTATTTCTTCTGAGTGTTGGGGTTTTTTGGGTCACTGTCGGCGATATTTCTCAGGACTCCGGTGAGGAGCATATCGTCATCGTCTCGTCAGCCATCTACTTTTTATTTCTAAGTAAGTTAGCCATTTTAGTTTAACCCCTTACTATTGCGAAAAGTTTAATAAGCACTTATTTACTCGTACCGTTTACTTGGGTGCCTTTTAAACATGCTAGTTACTGAATACGGCTTTGCTAGAATACATAGGTGGAATTTTACACAAGAATGGCTTGAAATAAAGAAATTGAATTAATCTCTCTGGCCCATCTAAGGAAACCTGAAAAAATTCGGAATATGAACTATCCCTATGCGTAGAATATCTTAATCCATTCCTGCATAAAAGATGGTTACAAACGAAGCAGTACACTATATAATTAATAACATGATAAAAGACCACCTCTAACTCACTTGATTCATAAAGGCACAAATTATTTTTTCGGGATTAAAGATGTTACGAGTACTACATTTCAAACTGCATTCACACTTCTTCGACCTTAAACGTGTCAATTTAAGACAGACTCTTGAACGTATTTTCAGTGTCATGAACTAGGTAAAACTTTCGATTCAATCGATCATATGAAAATGAAAATGCTTGAAAGCGTATCGACAAAATCTATATAAATTGAATTTGTTCCACTTGTTGCAGTCCTTCACGTCTACCTAATGTTCTTGGTGCGCAATGAGGTTATGAAATTGAAAGCGAACGGTGAGTTCCATTTCGTGAACCATGCCGCAGACCCCACGTGCGTCATGCAAACCATCGATTTCCCGCCAACTGTCGAAAACAATGTAGGGGTGACAGAAAAGATTTTATCTTAATCGTGATCGGCCGATCAGATCCATGTAATTATAAAATGCATTTAGTTATAATAAATTAAAATTGTTCCATAGTCTTTGTGTGAATATCGTCACGACAATAGTAAATATTAGAAGTTGGTATAATCCGTTAAATTAATCAAACAGATTTAACAATTGCCATATTTTCTTATTAATATGTAGATAGACAAACAAACACTTTATTTTTTATTTTATGTGAAAAGTTGTCAAGCTAGCAGACGGTTCACCTGATGTTAAGTGAATAGTACCGCTGCCCACAGACATCTGCTACACTGGAGGGTTGCAGATACGTTGATAACCTTTTCAAAATTGGCCGCCGGCCACCTCACTTACCAGACGAAACGCGAAAGTATTAAACTTCCACTTTACGCCGGTCTTCTCTGAGGTCGTGGTACTTACCCGGACGAGCCTGCCCATTCGTGCAACAGCCGAGGCTGCTGTGTGGCCCTACCACCGCGAAAACTTACATATTTATCGTTATATTTCAGTCTTTTTAGTTCTAGTAAAAAAAACGCACCAGGATCCGTTGCATACTTGATCTAAGCATACATAGGGACAGACAGACAGCAGGAAGACTTTGTTTTATACTATGTAGTGATGATTAAAGACTGAGTGCGGCCGTGAAGTGACAAATTCATAAGACCGACGGTGTCTAGTACATCACACTTCTTACTCCTGCCCTTATTCCACACCAGGTGGACTTCTTCTAGGTCCTTCCACTTTCTTCTGAGACAGTCGGCACAACACATGTATCATGTTGTAAGCGGTTTTGTTTATCGTCTATGTTTTTGCCGGCCGCCTGATGTCAACCTTCCTTGGAAAATGAACACCCAGATGCGAAACAACTGTGTGTCACACAAATTGTTGTCCCGTGTGGGATTCGAACCCACGATCCCCGACGCCGAAGCCGATACCTTGGCAACTGCGCTACGGAGTCATCATTTATATTGAACATAATATGCTAATAAATATTTTCCAAGGAATCCAAGGTTTTCCTCAAGTCATATTGCATCGATAAAACTGTTATCGGTAAAGTCCAAAAACTTTGCTTTACGTTACAGATATAAAATGAATAAGGTTTATAGTTTTAAAATTGAAAAAACTTTTCACCTTTTCCAACAAATTATTGATACATTTTTAATTTTGATATTTATACATAAAGCATAAGAATACTGTTAATAATTCGTTACTGCAGAGAAGATTAAAATTATTATTAGATATTTACTACTTACATTAAACATAAACATTCGGGCAATATTTAAGTTAGTAATAATTAGATAAGTACTAAAACTCAATTGTATTTAGGTATATGTTTATAAATTTTGAAAAAATATCTATAAAATGATCCTCTAATTTTAACTAATGCAATGACTTCGGAACTTTATTTATAAGGTCATTTGTATTATTTACACTTACGTGTGTTTTAAATTTACCATGAATAAATAATATAAACCCGTATGTAGGGTTCTTGTTTAAATCGGTCAAACAATACTTTACAAATGGTATATCAAAGACTTTTATATAAGTAGTTTTAAAGTAGGGAAGATGAATTCCAGTTTCTTCATCTCATTTTCCTTCCTCATAGGACGGTTGTAAAAAGCATTCCGGATCCGACGTGTGGTTAACAAATCTAAACTGGCAGCTCGATTTCATCTTAACAATGATACTATGCGTCAGTAGCAGTAGATAGATGTGCAGTACTGAAAGTCGATTAAAAATAAGAGTCAACATTAGTGGGTGAATGTTTCGAGTACAAGATAAGCAGCAAAAAATGTAAATCGATGTCTGTGTTATAAACTTTTATAATTCATCATTATAATCGTCACTTCAGCCTGTTCAAGTCCAATTGTCCACACAGGCTGCAAGAAAGCACGACCTTGAGCCACCTTCCATCCATCGACTTCCCACACATTTATGCCAATTAGATTTTTGGATTTCCAAAAAAGTCAGTTTAAAAATATGGAAAACTTCGACGCATGTAATATAAGTTTCTCAAGGCAAGTTGCGTTGAATATTTTGGAACGTGAATGTATTTGTATTTTTGTGTAAAAGAACAAAATCTATGAACTCACTCAAAATGGCCGCTGCAAACGACGAACCAGTAATAAGTATTTCCCATTTGTTCATGAGTGATCTAGTCGTAAAGCTTACTTCATAAACAATACAAATAAGGCCCAGGACCATGATGAGGGCAACACACGCGATGCCGTATCTATTGTAGAGACGCAACAGCGAAATCTTTCTCTAAAAAGAAAAAGTTTTCCTTGTAACATTAATACCACTTATTTTTAAGGAATAGACTGCTAAGTTGGTCACCTTATGTTAAGTAACTTCAGCTGACCATACTACACTTCTTCCACCAGACTAAATCCAAAAAAAATATGTGAATACTTATGTACGCACGTGAGAAGTTAAACTTCTTTTGCGTAAAAAAAGAAGTATAGCTTCCGAAAGAAATCAAAATTTAAATAATTCCTTAAGTTTTGCCTTGAGCCACCTTTTTTGTTTCTACGAATTTCGACATATGGAGCGACCTCGAGTATATCTTGTGTTTTGTGTGAAGGGGTTTGGGTAGTACCTGTGGGTCACACGGATAGTTGTCTCGTGTGGGAATCGAACCCATAAACCCCGACGCCGAAGCAAACACCTTGGCAGCTGCGCCACGGAATCGTCCACCTGAACTAAATGTCCTTCGTACAAAACCATTACATTTTTTAATGTGAGAAGGTAATTAACGAGCTGATGGTTTAACTGATATTAAGTGTCGCTTACACCTACTAACATTTGCAACACCCATAAGGATGCAGATGCGTTGCCACCTCTTAAAATATTGGGCTCCGGCTACCTCACTCACCAGACAAAACGCAGAAGTGTAATACTTCTTCTTCACGCTGGCCTTCTGTGAGGTCGTGGTGCTTACCCGGAGGGACCCGCATTCACGCAACAGCGAAGACGTGGGTTAAGTGGGTTTGATTCCCACACGGGGCAACTATTTGTGTGACCCACAGATAGTTGTTTCGCATCTGGGTGTTTGTCCGCGTGAAATTTATGTTTGTAAAACGTCCTTACAACACAGGATAATGTTATCCTAAAGTAAAAGCAATGTTTATAAAAAAAAAGGACAGTTAACATTATTTTTCTTACTTGTTGAGCTCCCACGATGAGTATGATTGTGAAGGCGACGTCGGCCACCAGGAGGGTAATTGTGAAAATCGTAACTGCCGTGTACACGCTGCTCTCATTTAGAACGAGTATGACGAAGAGTAACCCCAGAGCCAGAACCAAGAGCGAGACGTTTGCTAACTGAAAATTGGAATGCATAGAACAGAGGTGGGTAAGATATGACTATGAAGATATAGCAGAAGCTACTACACTGATCACTTTCCATCAGGTGAGCCTCCTGCCCGTTTGCCCCCTTTTTTAACCGACTTCAAAACTTCAAAAGGAGGTTCGACTGTATTTTTTTTTAATTTTTTATGTTTGTTACCTAAGAACGTGAACTGAGTGAAACGATTTTGATTTTGATTTGATTCTTTTTTTATTTGTAAGCTGGTCCTTCCCATGTGGTCCCATATTAATTTCATTGGTATTTGATCTTGGGCAGAATTAAAATGAAAATCAATTATAGAATGAATACAAAGCGAGATAGTAGAAGTGGGTTTTGTATTTCGTTATTAAAAAAATGGTTATTCCATAAAAATAAACTACACCGTGACGTACGGTAGCCAAGATGCTCGCATAGCACCAAAACTAGCGAATTTTACCAATAAACACAAATTAAGCGAATGTTAACACGAAGCGTGAGTCGTTCGTTTTCTGTATGAGAAGGTGACAAGAGAGCGGGTGGTTTACGTAATGTTTACCACCGCCCACGGGAGTCACAACCAACAGATGGGTTACAGACGCGCGCTGTGGAGGTCCGGCTACCTCATTCACCGGACAAAACATACAAGTTAAATTTATTATAATCTACGGCTACAAGTACATTTTACTTCACGTCGATCCTATGTGAGGTCCTGGCACTTTCACGAGACGAGCCTGTCTATAAGTCCAACATCAGGAGCTATGCATGATCCTACCACATTTATAATAGTTTCGGGACTGAAAGCAAAAACATCAGTTAATACAAGATACCACATTTAAAGGTAGTGTTACCTAATGTATTGCCGTTGCATGAATGGGCAGGCCCGCCATCTAGGTAAATACTCATAGAAGACCGGCGTGAGGTGGAAGTGTCATACTTATGGGTATCATCTTGTAAGTGAGGTAGCCGTCGCATTTGCAAACTTATGGGTATTACAAATGTCCATGGGCGACGGTTGTCACTTAACATCAGGTGCGATCTTCAATACCTGAGGTTTTAGATGCGCGGCAATCGGAAAGGAGTTGGCTCGTGTTACCAAGTGAGGTGATTAGAGGACACAGTTTAATTGCTTCACAAAAAAAATTGTTTCATAGTTGTAGAACAAAGAAAATTTTATTCATTGGTTGGCCAATCTCACCTATCATCTTTAGAATTTTCATATGATATCTGTCCGTTTTATGCATTTTTTTATATTTTGTCATAGTCTCCCATTAAGTAAATAAACAATTACTATGAACAAATAATTACTAGACGTTTCAATGAAGAGAAAACTTAATGAAAACATATTACGTCTACCGTAATATGCTTCTATATTATAAAAAATGTTCAAACAATGTTCAACAATATTTACCTAAAAAATATGGTGTCTTCCTGAGTCATGTTCCTACATAAACCTGGAAATGAAATGATCGGTTCGCTGGTAGCCCTGGTAAAAATACTCACAAGTGATAAATAGGCCAATAACATAAGGCCAAATCTCAAAGGTACGCAGAAGCAGCATCTCGTGACGGTTGGAATGTCTGTGTACATCACAGGAGTCAGCTCCAAAGTAGAAACGCGCATACATGCGCACGCATTGAGTGCTAAAGCCAGACTGCTATTTTAGTACGCGGCAAGGCCAAGACGCAAATCGACACAAGATGCATTTAATATTTTCGCTGAGTGGTAGTATGAGATCGTGAATTGTTTTATAAGTTCTGATATACCTACTTAGCTAGGCCATAATTATAATGCTTTATAATATAGCTGTTAAAACATTGTATGAGCATAGGATGATAGTAAAAATTCAAACTAATGATAGAAAAATTTTAAACGAAGGTGATATTAATATTATTATATATTTTGTAATATATAATACAAATATTTTAAAACTGAAATATGTATAACTACATATAAAATATATTTTGAGAAACAATAAACGAAAACTTTTCATACGTTTTTTTCTGCAAATGTGCAGAATTTAATTTTTATAGTGAGTAGCAATGTAAAAGTTTAAATGCACTGAAAGTTTGTTGACAAGGGTACGAAAAGTTTTTCGTTATATTGTTTCTCAAAATATTTTTTTTAAAAGAAAACGTGCCAAAATCTGCATATTCTTAAGTTCAAAAGAAATTTTAATAACTGCTCAGAAATATTAGCAGTGGCCAAAAAATTGTTCATTGGTTAAATAAACTTATTTTAAGGATTTTATCGCGTTTTATTTTGATTTTTAATTCCCATCGTTTCGGTAATAACTCATGTTACTTTATGTATACTGGGTATTTCTCTATTGGTTTAACCCTCGTTATTTGGGATTACATTAAATGTGTATATCATGCGACGCAGGATGAGATAAATCTTGTTAAATAGATGACTCATGATATTTATAGATACATTTATAATGTAATAGCTGTGATGCCTACATGATAAAGTGTAAGTTATTAGCCTGGTATTAATTAACACAGTACAGTAATAGTGGAAAGGCCCCGCAGCTGAGGCTGCTATTGAACGAATGGGCAGACTCGTCCGGGTAAGTACCACGACCTCACAGAAGACCGGCGTGAAATGGAAGTATAATAATTTCGCGTTTCGTCTGGTGAGTGAGGTAGCCCAATTTTCAAAAGCTTGTCAACGCATCCTGAACCATCGGGTTTAGCAGATGTCCATGGGTGGCGCTATTCACTTAACATCAGGTTAACCGCCTGCTCGCTTGGCAACTTTTCACATAAAAAAAAAGTATTTTCATTTTTTATTAGGAATGTCGTTCAGTTGATAGTAACTAACTGTGGGAGGGGCACGCAACAGTTTTCACTGCTGAACGAATGGGCAGGTCCGTCCGTGTAAGTACCACGACCTCACAGAAGACCGGCGTGAAGTGGAAGTATAATACTTTCGCGTTTCGTCTGGTGAGTGAGGTAGCCGGAGCCCACATCGTTAAAAGGTGACAACACATCTGCAACCGGTGTAGCAGATGTCCATGAGCGGCGGTTATCCCTTAACATCGGGTGAACCGTCAGCTCGTTTGCCACGTTCGCACATAAAAAAAGTACTTCCCTAAAGCACTTCCCAACGGATTGGAGTAGCACTTTTTAAATAATAGGTAGGTAGGTAGGCCCCGGTTATGTTTACAACGCAAAACCTTAAATACTTCACAGAACAACGCCAGGCGCGGATCTTGATCGTGCGGATCTTGAAGAAGTTTTTGAATCTAATTGGATTAGTAGATATGGATTTTAGACTGGTTGATTTATTTAGATTTTGGATTTAATTAGTAAGTAGCTGCTGCCAGCGACTACGTCTGCTTAGAATAGGCTGAAGGCGTAACATTCAGACACAAAGAGAAAGATACATAAAGATATGTATATAAATTATAGCCTATGTCTTATTCTGATGTATAAGCTATATTATTGTAAAGTTTCATTAAAATCCATTCAGTAGTATTTACGTGAAAGAGTAACAAACATCCATCCATACATACAAAATTTCGCCTTTATAATATTAGTAAGGAGGAAGTAAGGCTAACTACAAACGTTCGACAAACTCTAACAAATCCTTACTATGGATTTGTCAGAGTTTGTCGAAGACGCAATCAGGAGATCAAAGTCATTATCAAAAATAAGTAAAGAAATAGTTTATTTTTTTACATTAAAAAGGTTCTCTTTTACCGTCAGTCCGTAATAGAAAAATGTAAGTAAGGTTTTGCGTAAAGAAGCATACGTTATACTTTTCAAACGAAATATGCATATAGAAATTAATTGTAGATTCTAGGTTCGTTCCTCAAAAGAAATATATTCTTTGAAATTCATTGTTTCCTTCCTGTCTTTAAACCCTTTTCGAATTTTATTTAAATGACGAATTATATGTATTGTCCAATCAAAGGTCGTTGGCCACAATAAAATGTGTTCCCGAAATACGCTGTGGGATTCCCCGTGTGCATTTCCTCCGACGCGAATCCAGTTTCATTAACGGGGCCAACTTTTATTTAGCGCCGGCTTTCAATCGCAGATTTGCTCGTGCGTTTGATCTTCATTGAATATTTTATTTGTAACGGTATTAATCGATAAACCCAGGCCGAAGCTTTATATTTTGAAAGGCAAATTAGTTTTTAAATTTAGCCTTGCTTAAAGTACTGTATATACGGACGGTATTACTAATTTCAGGGATTATTTTGTTTCATTCCTAATGACACGGTGAAGGAAAACATCGTGTGTAAACCGGAATATTTTCGAACTAACAACAAAGAAAAATATTTCGAAGATATGTGAAGTCCGCCAATCCTCATTGGTGCCGCGGTGGATTATGCCCTGAAACCCTCCGTACATAGAAGGCCTTTGTCCAGCAGTGGGATATATAATAAAAAACTGTTACTTTACTTCATACAAAAGGTATTGGATTAGCAATTTTTAATAACAGTGATTATTATCTCTGCTCGAACTCAGTTTCTCGTCATCGTCTCTTTTTTCTAATAATAATCTGCCTAACAATCCTATATGCCTATCAATTAAAAAACACCACCTAAACAAAGATCAGCCTTAGAGAAAAAGTAATATTTATGCATAGTTATTTATAACTATAGTGTAATAATAACATTTATTTTAAATTGTGTACAAAGAAAGTCTTATTTTATTTATAATTCATTTTTATATCGGCACTGTGACCGACTTCATCGACTTAAATAAAATACTTTAATCGTTGTTTTCAGCAAAATTTATGAAAGAATAAAAAGAATATGCACAAGAAGAACATCGTTATATTTCTTTAAGAGAAAGAGACCTGAACAGAGAAGAACCGGCAAGAAACTGCTATCTTGGTATTTCTTTTTTGTTTTTGTGACACAGTTATGCAAACTTATTTACTTATGTAAAAAATTAGAAGCAGCCGGGATTGCAAGTGCAGACCAAGATTATCAGAGTAGATTAAAACTTGATACCATTTACCTTAAAGTGTACGCTCTGTTCTGCCCCTCGTTTTGAGAAGCGTTTGTTTGTCTCTTTGTAGCGAATGATAAAAGCGGCGGTGTTATCACGGCCGCCCCGTTTCATATGTGATACTGGAATCAGTCTCCTCTCCGTTTTCGAACTAGTCGCCTGCTTTTTCGTCGCTCGTGCGATACGTTCTGTGTGCGATTGTGAACAGAGCAATGCACTCGGAAATACCGTCTTTTAATAGGTGCTGCTTTTGCGCACCCCTTAGATATGGACTCCTCGTGTGGGCCTATTTGAAACTGGTCGGTGTGTTTGCTAATTCCATTTTTAAATTAGATTTTATGTTGTTATTTTCTTTGTCAAAAGGTAGGTATGTGGAATGGTTACGTGAGGTTACGGTTATAGTTTTATTGACATTTTTTGCATGTTGAGAATTATGTGATTTTGCATATTACGTAAGACATATGTGATTATATAAAATACGCAAAGTACTTACCGCTGCCTAGTCCATTTTAATTACTATTTTTAAGTCGAATTAATTTTTATTCACTGTTTTTCGAAAAGATTTTGTATGTGTTAATATCGTTAGATATCTTGTCATAAGTATTTGTAAACATAGTAGGTAAACAATGTTTTATGTAAATAAAGTACTTATTATAATTTACATTAATATTTTATATGTCATACCGAACGCAAGTTTTATACTTATTTTCTTTTTACAACAGCTTTTACATTTTTTAAATAAGTCAATTATAATTAACATAATTCATATCACCTATCTAAGTGGTCGCTTACTATTTTCTTGTTTATTTAAATAAAGAAATTTACTGATGAATCTAGATGATCTAAACATTTACCTTGACTTCTACTCATCCATCGTTGACTTTTATGTAATATGAGCCGCAGTTTAGAACTTTTCACTATGATGAGGTCACGAAACGGCCGTAGCTGTGTAACGTTACACAAAATAGAGTAGTTTTTAAAAAAAAAATATTTGTGTACTTATATACGCACGTAAGAATTTATAATTATCTAGCGTAACAAAAGAAAAATAATTAAGTTTTTTTTCTCTTGTGCCAGTATTCCCTGTTTGTGAGAAAGATGTTAAATGATATTGGCATGTAACAGTTTAATTAAATAACTTAGAACTATAGGTAAATAAAAAAAGTTGTTATGGGTTGCCATGGCAACACCGTGAAGTTTGTAGAAGTTGGTCACTTTGTAACGAACTTTATCATGTCGCTTTTAGCCGTCACAGTCCGCGCGCATCGTATATATTTCACTCTTATATTTCTTTCCAAACGCGCAAACGCTGTATAACTTCGAAACCTAAAAGACTAGCGGATCATTTTTTTAAAAGTGATTACATCCACTGTATAGAGTGGAGGATTCTTATCTATCGCGTAAACTCACGGGCGTAATTCAAAAGTACAAATATTTTCACTTTACGCTATTCTCTATTGAGCCTATGGTATCACCATATATTCTTAGATCTTCTTCTAGATCTGTTCTTTCTAAAAGAACTGCTACATGTCTCACCTACGGAAAACGTAGGGTTAACTTTGTCTTCCAAGTTGAATCCCAAGATTTGATGAAAATTAGCTTTGAAAATAATGCTTTGAAAATTATGCTTGAATTCTGTCAAGCATTTCATTTACGCTGTAAATGGAGTTTAAATAAATTATTGAGACTTCAATCCCTTATGAAATAAACATAACCAATCGCAAGGTTTGGAATAATCGATAATAATGACATAAAACAGAGCAATAGATTCTACTTCAACGCATTATACGCGGCGCTTGTGGAATACTGCTTAAAACAACTGTTATAAAAATGTTATCTTCCAATAGATTACGATTTATTTTATTCGATAATAATTTACTGTCCAATGTTAAAATAAATAATAAAAATTATATAATTTTAATAACAATAAACTTTTAACATTGGACAATAGGTGTGGACCTATTGTCCAATATTAAAAGTTTATTGCCGGTCTCGTCTCAACAGAAAGTGCTTTCCGAAGCGTTGGTACCTACGAACTTATGTATCAATTTTTATGTTCAATTCGACGTTTCATGAGAAAGCGCGAGCCTTAATTTTCATAAAGATGTTTTGAATTGGAATTTGAATCCATAGAATCACGTGTAAAGATTGACTTCATAGATTATAATAATTACAAAGCTTGATTACTTTAACAAGCAGTCATATGTTTGTGCTCTTACTATAAACGACAATTATAAATAGATCATTAACCAATTCTTTTTGTTACAGGTGTTCAACATTATCTTTTTTGCAGGTGCTTTGATATGGCTTTCATTTGTTGCCTTGTTTATATTCATGTCTTCGAATGCCGTATACATTGTTTTAATGATAGCGTTCGTGCTGTTATTCGTCTTCTTTGATATAGTCTTTTGCTTTGTACTGATTGTCGGTGGCCATAAGGTAAGGAAAAGAATTATATATAAACATATACGTATAATTTTTACGTATAAATGCTTAATGTAATAAGTCGTAAAGTAAAAAAATATAAAAAGAGAAAGCGGAGGTAATATCACAAATCTTACGTATGATGATACAAATCACAAATCATTAAAAACATTTTTTTAATAAAAACGTAACTACTTAATAAGTTTAAATTTAATGACATATGTACTGAATCCAAGTTTAAGGAATTCCTAGTATGTTGATCGGATTTAAATAACCGAGAAGAGAACACATCCGAGAAGATGTGGAAAGTTGGATAGAAAAGCGGTGGATATAAAATTTATAATTATCTAATATTATGATCATTTCATAAAACTTCTGAAAAACTAATCTTATCTATATACATAGGTATTCATGGTGACATATAGATGTTCATGATATAAATATTTTCGCTTACAGTGGGATCGGAGGTCCTATTACTTTAAAAATCTAATATTAAAAATAAGTTTAAGTATTTATTTTATTTTAAAAACATTGCTTTTACTTTAGGGTAACAATATCCTGTGTTGTAAGGACGTTTTACTAATATACATTTCACGTGGACAAACACCCAGATGTGAAACAACTACCTGTGGGCCACACAAATAATTGTCCAGTGTGGAGATCGAGCCCAAGAACCCCGACACTGAAGACAGTACCTTGGCAACTGCGCCGCGAAGTCATCAAATTTTCTATTCAATTGAAATCTCCCTCTCTCTTTCTCTCTCCCTCTTTCTCTCTCCCCCTTTCTCCCTCTCAATAAACTTTTCTTACTCTAGTCTTGTTATTCAGCCAATAGAACGGTTTCTTTTTATTCCAGAAACACACCACTCTATTGCGTCTTTACTATCGGTACGGGATAGTACATGCGGTTCTTTTGACGGCTCTTGGATTTGTGAGCGTTGGGATTTCCAGTGCCAGTATCGAAGACATTCTTCAGAGACCTGATGAGTGGCATTACATCTTAGTCTTGTCAGCCATCTATTCCTCGTTTCTAAGTAAGCTAGCCAAGTTTCGTTTATCTCTCTATTTATTTTACGTGTGCGGCCACAAAAAACGTAGGTGACTCAAGATCGTGGGGGAGGCAGTGGACTCTAACAGGATGAAATGATGATGATGATGTGGCCCCAAAAGTTGTTCTTAATAGATAATCGTTGTGGCGTTTATTCGGAGTGCCCTTTAAAGCATAATAGCTTATGCTTTCACTTTATAAGTCTTCACTGTCTTATTCTCATGTATAAGCTATATTATTGTAAAGTTTCATTAAAAACTATAGTATCTAGTATTTGCGTGAAAGAGTAACAAACATACATCCATACATACAAACTTTCGCGTTTATAATATTATTATATAATTTTATTATTTATAGTAAGGATAGTTTATTTAAATGTTAGTATGTAAGTTTATCATTTACACCACCTACCGTTGTCCAAATTAAAATATTTTTAACCACAAGATTGTCTGGAAGAGATCGCTTCTTAGCGATAAGACCGCCTTATTGTTTATACCTCTTAAGTTTATAGTTCTGTAACATTTCCTTTTATGTTTTTTTGGTGTTCAATAAAAGAATATAATAATAGTAAGGATATTATGTCTCACATGTTAACCCTTCATAAATTGAGTAAGCGCTTAATAATGTGTCCATTTGTTGCAGTCCTTCACGTCTACCTAATGTTGTTGGTACGCAGTGAGGTTAGGAAGTTGAAAGCGAACGGTGAGTTCCGTTTCGTGAACCATACCGCAGACCCCACGTGCGCCATGCAAACCATCGATTTCCCGCCAACTGTGAAAAACAATGGATGAGCGACAGTAAAGAATATAATTAAACGACGATAAAGGCCACTAAACTTATTTATCCCACTGGCGTAATTATAATGTGTTACTATAAGTTTATGGTATATATAGATTAATAAAATATAACAAATACAAATTTTTTGTTGTTTTTTTATTTATCATAATTATTTTGATAATATATACGTACTTATGTGGCCTGCCTCATATTTAATTTCCTCTGTACGAAAATAACTAAAAAGTTATGTTTAAATATCTTGACCACAATTTTTGTGAATATTTGATGTATGTTAGATACATTGATAACGCAATCTTAACAATGATCATACTACATTATACAATGAAAGATTCAAAATTAAATCAATAATTGTTACATAAAAATATTAAGATTGCTAGCTTTAATATTACTCTTATTTGCAAAGGAAACAACTCGTAATAGTCTTGAATAATCTGAATAATTTAATAGAAATATATTCAAATTAATTTTCAAATTTCAAATACAAACAAAGGATTGAATTTTACTGCCATATAATATTACTACTTACTTAATACTTTAATTTAATTTCAAATACAAAAAAAGGATTGAGTTATACTGCCATATTTATATTTTTAATTTGTCATTTTTTTGTGTCACCGGGGATAGTTATATAAGGAAAGTTCTTTTATTTATATGTTGAGTAATATTTAAAAATATCTAAAACACTCACTGTGTGCTTTATGAATATTTGTAAATATAATGAGTAACTTTAGATTTAGTAAAGCACCGATAACAATGAATATAAAGATTCAGAATCTGATTATTAAGTAAGAACTAATAATCGTTAATTTTATACGTTTTCATTTTCCAACACGTTTACGTTTTATTTTAAATTAGTCTATTATAAATAACACAATTCATGTCGTCTATCGAAATCTTCACTGTAGTGAATCTTATCCTTTAAACGAGCGACTGTTATTATATATATATATATATATATATATAATCGGAATCTCGGAAACGGCTCCAGCGATTTTCATGAAATTTACTATGTGCGTAGATTCGGGGGCGAAAAATCGATCTAGCTAGGTTTCATTTCGCCGGTTCTCAGCGTAAAGGGGCACAACCGCAACACGAGTTTTTTTCACTTGTATGTATTTTAAACGACAAAAAATCATACCCATTATATAAATTATAAAACCGAAAATCTACGGAAAATTCCAGATTTTGAGAAAATAAAAATTTATCTTGCAATTTTACACTGAAAAATTAAAAATTTTAAAATTTAATGACGCTGCTTGGTCTATAATTTTTTTTAAAATTTAATGAGTCAGATATCCGACACAGAGTATTCACACATGGACAGGTTAGGTTATTTCGTGGTTATTTTTTTTATAACCACCCAGAAACTGGAGCTCCATGTAGCCATTTAATATTTTTTATGATAAGTAGGCAATATTGTAGATTTTTACTCTAAACATCTAATTACAGCTACGTTTTTTTATCATTTAAAAATATTTAGAAGAAGAAAAAACAGTCAACTTAACCCTTTAGGTTAATGCTTTTTTCCGTACCGGTAGTAGTGTTTTTGACAATCAATAAATAAGTGTGTAATTTTTCTACATTGAGTAAAGACATTAATAATGTTTGAATTTGTCAATATAATACATATATGACACTTCTCAATATTCCCGATTAAATCCCTTATTCATATAATAATATTCTTGGAGACAAGATTTGATTTCTGAAATGTACAGTTACGCGTACCTAGTCGCTCCTTATTTTCAAGAAGAACATTGCCTCTTGTAAATAAAAAAAATACCATCATATCAATAACAATGTAGAAAGAAGGCGTTAAGATTTTCGTCGCTGTGGCTATCAGCCGTTTATCTCAGTGGCTAGAGCGTCAGGCCGCGAATGCCGAAGACGTGGGTTCGATTCCCCCAGCGGCGACAATCTTTTCGTACTTTTTCTACATGTTTTAAAAAATACCAGTTAAGTCTTTTAGATATTATTATGATTATATGATTATGATTCCAGAATGATACTACTCTGATGCGCCTTTACTGTCGATACGGAATGGTTAATGCGGCTATTTTGACCTTTGGCTTTGTGAGCATTGAACTTTATTGGGTCATTGTCGGCGATGTTTTTCGTAAACCTAATGAGTGGGAACACCTCATATTCTTAGCGGCTATCTGCTTCTTATTTCTTGGTAATTAAGTCAAGTTTCGTTTGACTTATTTTTGTTCCTTTTTTCTTTCCGCATGCGATCAAAGAAATTCGTGCTCATTATATTTTTATTATATACCCTGGTAACAATATGTTATCCCTTCATAAATGCTTTACATGAAAGTGTCTTATGATGTCTATTTATTTCAATCCTTCACGTCTACCTAATTTTGTTGGTACGCAGTGAGGTTATGAAGTTGAAAGCAAACGGTGAGTTCCGTTTCGTGAACCATGCCGCAAACCCCATGTGCGCCATGCAAACCATCGATTTCCCGCCAACTGTCGAAAACAATGGAGGGGTGACAGAAAAGATTTTATGGTGATAATACTTGCTGAATTTAAACCGGCCGTGTTATCATACCTATAACTTTTGATAATTATACATGAATAAAATTCAGTTAAACATGAATAAAATTATACATGAATAAAATTTTTTTATTGCTGTTGTTTTATTTCCATAAACGATTTTTGATAATCTATAGTGATACGTGATGTGACTTGTATTTAATTTATTATTAATAACAGATGAACCCCCGTTGCGTGGGGTGGACAGTTCCTAATAGATATTTAGTAAATTTATGTTTAAATACTCTCACCACAATATTATCTTTATATATTATATAATTCTACTGTACGTGTGTATGTCACTGAACTACCAAAAGCTGGACCGATTTTATGAAAATTATTTGAACAGGTCGATTCGAGAATGGTTTAGATTCACAAATTATTTTTTTTATGTTTCTTTAAACTTATCGGATTTTAGAAGTGTGAACAGGACAATGTCTGCGCGGTCAGCTAGTTAAATGCAAATATTAAAAATATTTTCATAAGGAGCCAAAAGGAGCCTACCTATTCGTGCAACAGCAGAGGCCTACCATACTGAAAATGTTAATTTACACATTTTAATAATTTTTAATTCAAAAGTCAAGAGCATCTTATCCAGTTTTCTAACTTAAGGTTTCTTAAAATTATTAACGTGTACTATGTTTTCGTGTCGGCGCCCATAAAGTAAGCGAAAAGATTCAACTACTATCGCTGATTAACTCTATATAAATGTACATATATGTTTTATGTAAAAATAAACTTAAATAACTTTCGGTGGTAGGGCCACGCAGCAGCCTCGGCTGTTGCACGAATGGGCAGGCTCGTCCGGGTAAGTACCACGACCTCACAGAAGACCGGCTTAAAGTGCAAGTATAATACTTTTTGCGTTTCGTCTGGTGAGTGAGGTGGCCGGAGCCCTATTTTCAAAAGGTTGTCAACGCATCTACAACCCTCGAGTATAGTAGATGTCCATGGGCGGTGGCATTCACTTAACATCAGGTGAACCGTCTGCTGTTTTGGCAACATTCACATAAAAAAAAGTATTATAACTTTTGCCTACATAACCTACATTTTATAGTAGTTGTTTTTTTTATTATGTCAAGGTGCAAAAAAAACACACACTAAGAGAAACAGACATTACAGATTTTTTTTTCAAATGATGTTAAAAAAAAAATTGCCCCGCTGAGTTTCTTGGGCCGGTTCTTCTCAGTCAGTGCCTTTTTTCGAACCGGTAGTAATATTAAATAATTTTTATATTTTTCTTATTATTAGGTTTTATTTATGTAAGTAATTTATTTGTTACACTTTCACGCCAAAATTACTCAACCGATAATAATAAAACTTGGTACAGATATTCTTCGTCTGGTGATTATGATATGTATGTTATGTTACCGGCCAATACCGATTTCAGCTCGGTAACTAGTTGAGCCTAGTCGAAACTAATTTGTCCTAAGCCCGATAAGATAGACCAGTTTAGGCTAGGTCAAACTAGTTGATCCTGATATAAATACGCACACTCTAGGATAAACTTGTATGGCCTAGTCTAAACATTATAGTATATCTACAATGTCAAAATAAGTAGATAAACTGAATTATATATATATGTCAACAAGGCTACATGAGCTAGGTTAGTGAAATGCCATTAGTCAAGGGCATATAAATTACAAATTGATCTTAAAAAAACAAACGATATTGCATTTAAAAAGATTCAACTTTATTTTATCAATGATACACACACATTAAAAAGTTATTGGCACATTTAGATTTAAACAGGATTAACATATCAAGCTGTCTGTTATAGAAATAGCATACTAGTGAAAAACTTGTTATTTTAATTAATATCATTTAGGCTGTCGTTGGAGTTTCTCTAATATTCGCGGTTTTTAATTGAGCAGGTAGTACATACATTCTCAGAATCGTAGCTCTTCATGACGATTAGGTAAAGGACGTTGATCACTGAAACACAAAGTTGATTAAACTTATTGGTCATTCGTAATAGTTCTTCATCATTACTTCGTTCTTCGTACATTCGTTCTCATCGAATACTTTGAACATGTGAGAAAGTAAGATAGAGGAAATTACCATGGGCCATACGGGTTAGTAATAAAGTGTGTGAGCGGTGGTACCTCATTGTCCGGGCGCCCGCTTTCAAAGTCAAGGTCAAAGTCTAACAATGACATAAAAAAAACTTGATAACAGAATTTCGTCGAAAGATTTGTTCTATGATGTACACATGGGTGTCTATTGTTGAAAGATAAAAATTTTTAATATACGAGTCTGTCTAAATTTTGAAAAGTGCTAAGCACATTAAAACACGTGATCGTGAGTCCGATAATAGCTTGCGATTACCCCTTTTACAATAGATAACGATATTAACATTTAACTTTAACACTGCATCTCGAGCCAGGGAGTTCAAATTGCAAGTCGACATTTTAGCCACTGGGTCACCGTGCAATCTATGCACATTAATGTCTTATATTATTCATTCTAACATCAAGGGTCAACTATATGAGCAAGACGATGTAGGGGAAAAAGGGGTAATAGGAGTCAGTGGGTAATGGTGGGTGACCCACGTATATACAAATCTTCAACCACAACTTCCCTACTCCGCTATGTGCCCCTCACAATCGTTGCGAGTCGGCTGCACCTGATGGTATCGGCATCGGGAACAAGAGGTCATATTGTTTTTGCGGCTTGCCGGTAATTTCTTCTCTCGCAAAATAAACGGTAAGTATCACATTTATTGATCTACTTGTTTGTAACTTTAGTACGCCTTTATTCGGATATTCAGTGTAACGATTTCAAACATATATCACGTGTGCGGCAAATATATATTTTGTTTTTACTTTTTTTTCTTCTTAGAGTGCTTGTGGGTAATGAGAATCGGGTGACCCCCATTGCCCACTAGTGACCATTACATGCATTGTAATTAGCGTATACTAATTTTTTTGATTTAATAAAAAAATCTTACTTGGCACCACATTTTGGATGGCGGACTGTGTTTAGCCTTAAAAAAGAAAGGGATTTGGCCGACTTCATAAAGAAGATGGCCAATATTTTTTATGGATTTATGCACACCTAATGAAATTAGAAAAGTGGCATTTGAATATGCTGAAGATTTAAACTTAAAACACAATTTTAATCAGTTTTCAAAAATGGCTGGACGTGATTGGTTGTTGTCTTTTACCTTGCAGAGAAGATCACGCCTTATGAAGTAGCATCCCTATTGCGGAAGACATTTAATAACGTTTCACCTATTAGTAAAGGGGAATCGGGATTTAGGGCTACTGGTATTTACCCAATAAACGACTTGTTGTCTGAAGAAGATTTTCTGCCAGCCTGATTGCTCCAATCGGAGACTACTGCTATTCAAAATTATGAGGAGTCAGATGCTATTGATGACCCAGCACCAAGAAGAATCTTCAATAACTGGCATATCAATGCATGTTGGTTCACTGCCGTCACCACCACCAACTTCTAGCGCAGTTGATTGTCTAGGCTGGTATATGGTTGAGATTTGTGTTAGATTTTTGTTTAATCCTCATTGCACACAAGGTGACCACAATTACCCTTACCTCGGTGCAATTGGAGTCAAATCTATTTTTTTTATTTGCCAAAGTTAATTATTAATTTGATGACCATTGATCTCAAATGATAGCCAAGTAAGTAGACTTTGTTAAGAGGCGGTTGCAATAAAGATTCTTTTTCAAACTTTTGTATTATTTCAACTTTCACTTATGTGACCCCCATTACCTCTTTTTCCCCTAATTCTAATATAAAAATGGTCTTACAAATACTGAGCACACGTTGAAGATTGATAATTGAGTCCGTGATGAGCATGGATTCATACAGGAAGTAAAAGTAGATGGACGTCACCAACATAAAAGTAGAAAATAGTAAGTAGGCCTTGACGAGCTGGTGATTCCTCTGAAAATAGAATTTGAAATTATTAATGAAGTTGAATGGAATCATTTTTCAAATAAACGTGACTTTTTTTAGTAATCATTCCCTCTTCAGGCGGTAGGTCAAGGCTTTTGGAATAAGACTTTGGTTGGAGATGACCTTCCATTAGTTTATTTATGGATAAAATCCTTTCCACCACCGCCGGATTCGCAGGTTACGTGGATGTCACGGGTAGAGCGGGTTATGTCATGATTTTATTGTCACAGTTATATGTTGTATTGCTACTAAACTGCAATGGGGCCCCCATATTAATAAGCTGGCGAGTAGACTTAGCTCTGCAACTTTCGCGGTTAAAAAATAAAACAATTTACTGATGTATATACGGCTCACTTGGTATATTTTAGTTATATCCACAGTATAATATCTTATGTCATTGTAGCTTGGGAGTAACGCGGACGAGATAAATACAATTTTCATCATCCAAAAGAAGAAATAGTTCTCTTTTGGATGATGAAAATGATTTGTCCGGGCCCCAAAAACTCGCTTAGAAATTTGTTTAAAGAGATAAAAGTATTGACTTGCTTCTCAATACATTTTTGAAAATTTTATGTATGTCCATAAAAATAAGTATGAATTTTCAAGACATAATAATGTTCATGACATAAATAATAGTAGCACACATAAATTGATCCTACACACAAGTAGACTGGGTAGAATAAAAAAAAATTTTAAGGGACAATGTACATGTTTCTACAACTAAATCCTACAAAATGTTCAAAATGCATCAATAGCTAAATTTAAAAAAGTTGTAAAAGAATGTTTGTGTGTTAAAGGCTATTATAATATTGGTAATTATTTAAATGATAACTCTGGTAACGAATTGATCACTCCAGGCTAGTTCAATTGGACTTTTATATATTCATGTCACACAATGTATATCAGAAAACGGAAATAAAAAAGTAGCCCGCTGAGTTTCTTTCGCCAGTTCTTCTCAGTTTAGTTTTTAGTTGTTAGGCTTTTCCGTTCCGGTGATATTGTGACTATCAATAAGTGAGTGTAATGCCCCCATATTGAATAAAGATATTTGGATTAGAATTTAAATTTGTCGATGTAATTAACAAAGTTCTCCTTCGCGCTTTATGGTTTTAGCCAGAGTAAACTTCGGAACTTCCAGTGTCAGCACGGCCACGACACGATGTGGTAATGATTTGATAATGACCTTACTCAACATCATACCATAATATTCCAATTTCGATTTTGATAAATTATTTTTATTTAAATTTTTAAAAGACTTAATTATATCGTTCGAACATATACTTTAAAATCTGGTTTAGAAATATTGATATATTTATCCAGATAATATGTATCTGTATTCTGTGGGACATTGTTGCAAATGTCTAGTAGATTCCAAAGTATATTTGTGAAGACATTAAGAAACTCATTTGCAACTCAATAATTTTCTTTTATAACATTGCCATTTACTAATGTAAAATCTGCCTTTTTTCATTATTTTTCCCAGTTTCCTTTTTTATAACATTCCATATAGTTTTAACTTGTTAAGTGGTTTGTTTTGGTTTTTTGTGTTTGCTTTAACTAAAGTACAGATGAAAGGATTAGGATCACACGATAATGTTTAATCCTTACAAATATTATAAAGTCGAAAGTTTGTATGTATGGATGGAGGTTTGGTTCTCTTTCACTCAAATACTACTGAATGGATTTTAATGAAACTTTACAAAAATATAGCTTATACATCAGAATAAAACATAAGCTATTATTTATATACATATTTTTATGTAAATAATATGTCTTCCTATCTGAATGTTACGCCTTCAGCTTGTTCTACGCAGACGTAGTCAGGGGCAGCAGTTAGTACCGTATAAATCGTATGGCCTATCTCTGCTCTTTTTAATTCCTTTAGTTGCTCATTATCTAAAGCATAGTTTATTGCCTAAAGTTACGGTTTTTATTTTTGGCATTTTAGTAAAATATCTAGAAATCATATTAAATAAGGCATTGAAAACGCTATAGGTATATTATGGCTTAATTGTAACAAATGTAGCTTGTACTTAATGTTATTTATGGGTTTCTTAAATCTGGTTTTAGTTACGAGCGAACATTCATTTATACAAACATTATTTCTGTTATTAATGTGTAGGTCTATTTTAAGGCTTTATTGTTTCAGCTAACGCCATTCAATATTACTTGTTCAGTAATTTTACAATACACTTTAATATTATCTGTATAAGAGGTACAGGATGGGATTACACTTATTGGTTAATTGAAGTGTTTTTTAAAGATTTTTCTTCCGTATCGTCTCAGTCTAGACCAGCACCAAAGCCACCTAAGTTCCCCATCACTAATTAGTTCAGCAATAGTAACTTATAGTATCTGCTAGCCCACCTTAAACAAGCTGGTAATCAGCAAGACCGAGCAAACCGCCATCGCGGAAGCAAGGAAAATAATGAAGGAGATAGCTCCGGAGTAGATCACCAAGCCAATCCATATGTTTCTGTTGTTCGGAAGCAACATCTTTAAGACCTTTTCATCGAGGGCGTACGGTAGAAGTATATTACCCACACCTAATACGTGGCTGACCTGTAATGAAAAAAAAAAATGTACATTTAACACGTGATAAGTCTAACCAGTTGAGATAATTTAAAGTGAAAAGTCGACTTTCCCTGACCACCTCTTTAATATTGAAAACTTGCTTAAACCATTGCTCCTAACTCATTTACTGTTTCATAAGGAACACTCATTGTGAAATCCTTTTTCAAAGAACGACCACGGCAATGTCTAAGGCATTGAAACAGTATCATAGAATGGAGATAAGGTTGCTCTTTCTGTCTTATAAGGTGAGTAACACGGCCCGTGACTCTTGAGCTTTAGTGAACAAGTAAGGATGGCAACACGAATAGGTTCTGTCTTGCTGCAAGCCAGTGAATTAACTGAGGGTGTAAATATATTGGTATTGGTTGAGAAAGAGGTTAGGTAAGTTTTTTGGTCTTCCGGGTGATGTGGGTTCAATTCTCGAATTTACTCATTGACATTGCAGCGGAACCGGGCCACGCTGCGCTGTTTTTTTTTCTTGTTTTCGTCGTAACTTCGAATTAAAAAATAGACAAAAGTGAATCCTTACCGTCAAGATCTGAGCCATCACCATGCTCACAAACTGCAAGGCCACCCCGTTCCAAACTTTATTGGCAAACATCTTAATAATTAACTTCTTCTTAATCTTAATTAACTTCTTCTTAATCTTAACAATCTTAATAATTTGTTCTCTGAAACAATTGTTTTAGCTTTTAAGGATTTTAATATTCTATTCCGGCCAGAGGATCGGTATGACAGTAGTCTGTCCGGCTAGTTTCATAAGGGTAGAGTATTCGATCCGGCCTTCCTGGAGCTACTACAGTTAGTTCACATTAACCAACCGTCACAGTAGGTATTATCTTAACTTAATTTGGTCAAAAATCCTAACGCTAGAATATAATAATCCCATCATCTTTCTCAAATACTAACGCTAATAATCTTTAAAAATAATAATCTGATCATCTTTCTCAAATCCTAACGCTAATAATCTTTAAAAATATTAATCCCATCATCTTTCTCAAATCCTAACGATAGAACTCCCTAAGCTGACCTCAGGCAGGCAGCTAAAACAAAGCCAATAACTAAAAAAAAACAACGGTTCCGAAAATAAACTATGTTGATAGGAATAGGGCGTACCCCCGAGTTGACGAGGCTATAATACTTTTTGCCAGTTTAAATAGTAAACTCTTTATAAAGTTATCCATTCGTTTATAAGTGAAAACTGAATAAAGTAACGGATTTCATTAGCAATTCGCAATTAAGGCTTTTTTCACACCAATGATGAGTCTTATTCTTTGTACCCAATTAATTTGCTTCTCTTAATTTCACTTTATACAACGAACTAATTCTTCAAGCAACGGTATATGTAATGCATGCTTGTGTCCAAATTGGTGATATATGACTAGACATGTTTAAACCTTAAAAATCAATAACTCTTATCGAAAAAAAGGTTACGTCGCGCTTGCGCTTTACAGCATCCTCTCTTAACTAGTTTTCAAATTATACCCTATACACTACCAGCACCAGCAATGCTGTTTCTATACATCTCAAGGTATTGACAATCAGCATCGCAGTAACTTTTTCTTAACACATAATAACAATTCATTAACACAATTAACAATCGCTTAATAGCTAATAGCACCATTATTGATTTTATCACTTACATTGTATTGGGTCCGGCAGACGTTTTCACGGCAGCAGTTCACCACTGAATGGCAGGTGCCTGGCGATTCTGCGCCGGGAGTTCCAGAAAAGCTCTGACGTTGATTAGTGATGCGACATTAATAGCAGTCACAGCGTAAATTGAAGCGAAAACAACGACCTTTTAGTGACTTGGATTCGTTAGAAACGTGAATTGATTGTGAGTTGAAGAGTGGTTCACAGGTTCACTCGAGAACTGTATTGGTAAAATGTAGACAATATAACATACTACGGAGCTATCGGCGATCGAGAAATGATTAGTAAAAGTTCCATATAAACACTTTAAATGATAAGAAACGAAATTTGACTTAGTCAGACTTTGCTACTTTAATAAGAGTGTGGGGCCAACAGATAAAAAATGACAGTATAACAAAAGATTTTTTTTTAATATATATTTTTTATGTATGTTCACCGTTTTCTGAAATGGACTGAATTATAAACCCATTCTCAAAATACTTTTTTTATTTGAAAGAGTATACTCCTGAGGAGGTCCCATTAGCACCAAGTCAGGATCTGATTATGGAAACCAGGTAAATCGAGGGAGCCTTCTAATGTTATAGACCATACAATGTTTTTCATATATTTTCTAAAACTTTTGAGACATTTGCGTATAGTCATCATCATCTCATAACGTTGAGCTGATAAAGGAAGGTACAACTCTTTAACGGTTAGGAATTAGGTGATTTCTTGTTCTAGAATATTGTATAGAGAGTTGTCGATATCGATGATTGATTTCTCTGGGGAGTGGGTACTAGGAACTAGAAGTATTAATTGATAACACATCATTTTAACGCTCTTTAAAAGAGGGTTAAAATGATGGTTATCAATTCGACGCATATTTTTAACTTGTGATTTCAAAAAGAAGGAGATTATCAATTCGGATGTTTATATATTTTTTTTATCTATTTCAGGCATAAATCCGTAAAAGCTAAAAATATAACTTTTAAAAAACAAACTTTTATTATGTTCTTGTAATTATATAAAATTATAACTTGTATTTATAATAAAAAGTAAAAAATATAAATATAATAAAATTTTAAAATAATAATTTAAACCTAACAAGAAAAATATCATTATACAGGGTGGCTTTTCTAAAGGTGGCCAAATTCACACAAGAGGTTCAGACTCTGTAATATAATCATTTATTGAAATAAAAACAATTTTTAAAAAAATAATTGCCATTCCATTCCCTACAAAACAGAACTTGTTGACAATGCGGTACTAATTCATAAATGCGTCGTATAGTTTTGAACTTACGAACTATACGAATGCGCGATCATTCATAACTAACACGCACACGGTGTTAGTTATGAATGATCGCGCGTAAAATAATTGAGTTGCCCATAAATCACGCACTTTTTGAGATACGTTCAAGTGAATGTTAATTAAGAGTGATTTTAAATATTTATCATTTTTCATATAACATTATTTATGTCTCGAATTTAATTAAAAAGAATGGATACACTTAGAAAAGCCTCCCTGTATAGGTACATACAATGCGACCTATAACGATAATTAACCATAATCGTCTACGTCACAATAATCCCATATTGTAAGAACGTAGGTATAATAAATACCATACCAATTAAAAATATTTGTGTTTTATCACAACCAATTTTTACACATAAAAACGTGTTATATTGTGATGGAGCATTAAAGAACATTTAGCAAAATAACACCTGCATTATTTTTCTTTTGCAGTCACCCTATAACAATGAATTATAATCACTATAACAATTTTTGATAATCTTTAGTGATAGTGTGACAGTGTGACTCGTATTTAATTTATTACGGATGAACCCGCGTTACGCAGGGTTGGACAGTACTTAATAATCGATTAGTAAAGTTATGTACACATACTCTCACCACAGTATTACTAAATTTAAATATTAAATTATTTTCATAATCGTTTCCTTATTTCAAATACTAACAAAGGAATGTATTTTACCTCTATATAATAATAAATATACTTAGATAATAATTAAGGTATATAATATAATATAGTAAATAATATAATATACGTAATAGCTTCTCTTTGAGAGATAAACGTGTGTAATGCTATTTTAGCGTTATCTAAGGACCCTGACCCGATCTTAACGCCAAATTCATTGCACTCATTAAATACGATTGATGAAGAGTACATAACAATGAGAATCAAAAAACAATTACTTAGTAACAATAATAATGGGTTACTCTTCTTGTCAGCCGGAGACTCTTGGTGCAGTGGGCGTGTTTGCTGAGGTGGCTAAATAATTGCCCTACAAGTGTTTACAGCCCATCATGGTGTATTACCACTTTCCGAAATTACCCTTTTTTACATCGAGGGCATATAGGTTTCACAGGTCATTTTAATAATTTTTCATCTTATCCAGATTTAAAGTTTCTCAAAATTACTACCGCGTACTACCTTTTTATAAGATTATATGCTTGTGATTTTCAATTTGCAAATTATATAAATTCCGCCCACTTCAAATACTACAGACCCGCCAAAGTACTATTTAATTTTTACAGCCAATTCTTTAAGTACATACTGCCACATATAATTTATTTTTGACAATGACGAAAAACAGTTTACTGTGAGTTTTTTTCAGATAATAGACTTTTGCTGTCACGGACTATTTTGTAGAACTTTTCTTTCAACTTTACATAAAATGCTAAGTTAATTTCTGATGCAGCCCTCTCTGAGCCAGCTATCAAGAGGCAAGACCTCCTTAATAAGTTAAAAAAATATAAATTATCATAATTTGTATATACAGATACATAAACAATACATAGCCGATGTCCATTTGAAATTATGTACCTTTGAAATTGTAACAAGTTTTTTCAAGTAGAGTTTTGCCGTATCGTTACTAATATTATAAATGCCAAAATTTGTAATGGATGTTTGTTACTCTTTCACGCAAATACTACTGAATGGATTTTAACGAAACTTTGCAATAGCTTATACATTAGAATAACACATAGGCTATAATTTATATCTTACATATTTTTATGCACCCCTTCAGCCTATTCTACGCAGACGTACTCGCGGGCAGCAGCTAGTAAACATATAAATTAGATTGGCATATTCTGCATATCAAAAAAGACTACTAGGTGGCGCAGTTGCTAAACCATCGACTGTGGCGCCTGAGGTCGTGGGTCCGATTCCCACAAGGGGCCAGTGTTTGTTTTACACACATAATTGTTGCTGATCAGGGGATATATTGCGACGGAGGATTGAGTTCAGGCAGGCTGCTGGTCGTAAAAACCAATTGTACTAACAATATTTATTTATTTATTAATGCTTATCAACTAAATAAATACAGAAAATTGACATACAAATATATTTAACTTAATAATAAAGTTGTAACAATATATGTACATACTTAAATTACAGGTAAACACAACATTATGATATTAGAGACAGATTACAGATTAAATAAACTTGAATTAGAGAACAGAAACTTAACTAAAAAATTCTCTTTTATCTCTGAGAAAAAAAAACTAAGAAAGTAAGAACTAAACCTAATACGAGTTTGATTCACATGTTGTCCCACCTAGGTGGAATATAAGCAAGTAGTATTTTTTTTAAACGATGCCCTTAATTTAGGATTACATTATTCTGTGCTGTAAGGACGTCTTTACAAACATAAATTTCACGCGGGCCATCACCAGGATGCGAAGCAACTAGCTGTGGGACACACAAATAGTCGTCCCGTGTGGGAATCTAACCCACGACCCCCGACGCCGAAGCCGATACCTTGGCGACTGCGCCACGGAGTCATCAAAACAAATCACGAACGGTACTTTATCATCTAGAGGGGGTTCCCTGCTTCTTCATCTCGCGGCACGTCTACAACGACTTCCGCTACGTGATTTATAAAGCTTATCTGGCTGTTCTGCCGCAGCTTCTTAAGCTCCGTCCTGATCAACAGTAGGAGGTAGGCTTGCAGAGCTGAAAATACAAAAACATCACCTGTGGTAGGGCCACGTAGCAGTCTGCGCTGCAGCACGAATGGGCAGGTCCGTCCGGGGAAGGAACACGACTTCACAGTAGGCCGGCGTGAAGTAGAAGCATACTTCTGCGTTTCGTCTGGTGGGGCCGGGGCCCACTTTACTAAAACGTGAATGCATCTGCAAGTCTACGGGTGTTACAAATATCCATGGGCGGTGTTTTATCACTTAACATCAGGTGAAGCGCCAGATCGCTTGCCTTCTCACATAAAACCGTGCGAGTTGGACTCGCGCACGTAGTGTTCCATACCATTCTTACTAATATTATAAACGCGAAGGTTTGTATGTATGGATGGATGTTTGTTACTCTTTCACGCAAATACTACTGAATGGATTCTGATGAAACTAGACTACAATACTACAATAATATAGTTTACACATCAGAATAAGACATAGGCTATAGTTTATATAAATATTTTATGTATATCTGTCTTTCTGTCTGAGTATTGCGCCTTCAGCTTATTCTTCGCGGACGTAGTCGTGAGCAGCTACTTATCTATAATAACGGCAAAAAAGCATGTCTGTTGTATAGGACCCCTACTTAAATATTTTTTTATTCTAATTTTCAGTATTTGTTAGTATAGCGGCACAAATACAGCGACAGAAATACATCATCGGTGAAAATTTCATCTGCGTTACTATCACGGTAGACAGCGGAATCTTAGTAATAGGGTTCTCATTTTCCACATTGGGTACGGAACCCTTAAAGCGATCCGCTCGGTAATTTTAGTTAAAAATTAGTTAGACAGTTGAATATTTTCACAGATTTATTTCTGTTGCCACTATAACAACAAATACCAAAAGACAGAATAAAAAAATATTTAATTGGGGCTCGCAAATACAACAGACATGTTTTAGCTGTTATTATAGATAATGGTACGGAACCCTTCATGGGAGAATCCAACTCGCACTTATTTATGTGTGAAGATGGCTAGTGTTCATTGCATTTTTAAGCGCTGTTAAATTTTTGAGCAGAAACTTACCAAACCCGCAGAATGCTAAAGAGCCCTCGAGAACCGAGTTCGCCCAGTGTGCGTTCGCGTAATGGTGCGCCAGCGAAAGTAGGGTGACCAAAGACGCCAGAGTGGTCGTAATCCCGTAGTAAAAGTACACTCGCAGTAGACGAGGTTTCTTCTGTTTGTTTGGAAATTTTCCAATTTTAGACAGCTAATGATTAACAGAATGAATACAATACATGAATACAAAAAGTAAACAGGTCATTCATGGGGCAAAGTGTGCGCATGTATAATAAAATCCCACAGTCGATATTAAGTCTGCCACTTGATGAATTTAAACGAAAAATGAAAAATAAACGTATGGCTAAAGATATACTATTGCTGAATATCTTGACGACGCCAATGTGTGGTGTTAATACTGTTGAAGCTCACGTAGGCTAAAACAAGACTATTATACCTGCAACATTATATAGTAAACTGACCTTTTAAAAAAGAGCAACTGTTGAGTTTCTTGCCGGTTTCTTCTCAACAGAAACTGTTTTCCTAACCGGTGGTAACTTACGAACGTATTAATTTCCTTGTAAATTTCAACGTTTCATAAGAACGCGCAAGAAACTACATGAATAAAAATATTTTATTGTAATTATTATTTATTATAACCGTTATTTACGACCAACGTACCGCAGTCTTAAATGATAAACCTCAATGGTTTCCCCAAGTGAGGGCAACTTATTTCGAGGTTGCGTCACTTAGAAAACTACTGTGGTCGACGTCACCTAACGGTGGGTCGTCGCTCTCGTCCAGTGTAGCACTATCTCTGGGAACTGATTATGCTCCCCCAACAACCCCTAAGCGTGATCACGATACCTCAAGAGCCAGAGCCATCGACGTTATCAGCACGTTCAGGTGTTCCACGAAAATCTATTTACATCCCGTTAAAACGTGAGGTGTCTATAGTTAGTGATAGTTTATAAATGAAAACTCGACAATGGGTAGATAGATTTTCATCCAATTCATAACAACTTGTTACTTAAATTTTACATAATTTTATTATTAATTAAAGACAATATTTAATCATTTATAGAAATTTAGAATGGTCTTAATTGAGTCTTTAGTAAACAACTGAAACACGACTAAACTTAATAGAGAAGCTGTAACTGAAAACAGATGGCGGAGCTTTTTAAAATTTACTTTATGTAATTATTAGAACGCATTCCTCGAGTATTTAACATTATAATGTTTACTCTATACAGGGTGAAATTGAAGTCATGAGCATGCTTTTAAAGTAAGACCCTATAAATTATTTACGCATTATTAATGTAAGTACGGAAATCCTCAAAAATCTAGTTAACATTGAGTATAACATTTTGTGGTGACATAACAATACGTTTTTATTGCTTATAATCAGGAAAATGATAAAAACACGTAACGAAGAATTGGGTCAACAAACTGAAGTGAAAATTATGTAATTCAAGTTCAAGGCCCTTAGGTACGGCCGGCCCAGCACAAAGCAAAAGGCGCGCCGTCGTTCTTAATGTAATGTATAGGGTCTTAGTTTAAAAGTATGCTCATGACTTCAATTTCATCCTGTATAAAACAATTCTAAATACTCGAGCAATACGTTAAAATCTCGGTGCCGGCACCAATGAAATTATCAATTTTATGTGCTGACTTATCAAGTGTTCAGAGGTAAAAGAAATCCTCGTGAGGGAACAGCATATAAAATATTTTTCGAAGTTCATCTTCTCACGCGTGGGAGTGTACCTATGTCCCAAAAACCGTTGTCGTTTCAGGTAAATAACTAAAAAAAAATATACCCCATGCGCGCCGATAAGCAGGACAATGCTGAAGACGGCTTCAATCACGTACAGTAGCATAAAGAACCACAACTGCGTATAAAAGGAGACGCCCCTGTAGAGGGCCATAGTGTGCGTCGAGGTCACTCCGGTCACCGCCAGCCATGTCTCCAAGCTCAGCACGAACAATGAAAAGATCTAAATGAAACACGCAACTCATATACGTTCTTTTTTATGTGGCAACGTGTCAAGCAAGCTGACGTTAAGTGATATCCGTCGCCGTTGAGTGTCATACATTGACATTTGTCAGCATCCGTAGGGTTATCCACCTTTAAATTAAGTGGACCCCGGCTACCTCACTGACCAGACCGGTTACATACAGAATATACTATATATATATAGTATAGTAACACTTCTACTTCACGCTAGTCTTCTGTGATGTCGTGGTACATTCGTGCAACAGCCGAAGCTGTTGCATGGCCCTACCACAGCAAACTTCAGAGCATCAAGCTGTAACCCAACTGATTGCACACAAAATACAATAGTAAAACTATTCATGACACATTAATTTGGGAGAGAAGGGAGAAATAATATGGGTAGTCAATGTAAAAACAGAATTAATTCAGAACGTAGTGTGGGACCGCCTTCTGCACGATGGACTGACGACTTAAGGAAGGTGGCGGACAGCGGATGGATGTGGGCTGCCCAGGACCGGGATAGTTGGCACACTTTGGGGGAGGCTTACGTTCAGCAGTGGACGGCAATAGGCTGATATTGCAAAACAGAACTTGTCACATTTGAGTGATTGCTATTTAGTTATCTTCGAAGACTAATAAACAAGAAAAGAGTAATAAGTACAATACAAACCCGTTAAAGACGAAACTAGATTAAACCTATACGTGTCGCATCGGAAACATCCATTGATACCAAATGTATGAAAAGCGACGCATTACGAATAAAACTATGTTTATTACAAATAAAGAGACATTGAACGAGATAAGGCATTGATACGAGTAATAGCGTAAACGGTTGATACAATTCCGCGTATTCGTTAGTTTTAATTAGTTATTTACTTCGAATAACGATAGTATTTTCCAAGTTATACGCCGTAATTATATGAAGTAAACATGGGGTATCCCCAAGAGCTATGGGGCCCTATGCTATAGACAATAATCCAATAAATAAAGCCAAAATTGGTATTTTGGCTTTATTTATTGGATTTGGGGTGGTCTTTAGACGTGGTCCCCTTTAGACTTATTTCTATCTTTATTCTTTTTCTTCTTAGCTACAAATAAGAGATAAGCTCTCAGGTGTTTGAACACTTTCTTAAGTGTTCAAACACCTGAGAGCTTGGTGAATTGAGATTGCTCATCCTGATTGGAACAATTTACAAGGGCTTTTAAGACTTAAACTTGGTAGATGGAACAAAGGTCTAGCCTTTGTTCTCGGGGAGTCATTTTTGTACGCGAGATATCCCATGATAAATGAGCATAGAACAGATTAAATTCAAAAAAGATTTTTTTTTTTCATAATGAAGTATACGTATATTGTTTTCTTGATTTTACGCGAATAGTAAACATATTAAATGAAACTAGTTTACGGATTTTATGGCGTTTTAGATTTTGATTTGAACTCCCGACGTTTCGAACCCTTTCCAGCGTTCATGGTCACGGGACAGGTTTCATTTAAAGTTATACGTAATAATTATATTATCGTTATTAACGTGTGTTTTTATTCCGTCTTTATAATCTTTGTATCAGTTTTTTTCTTTCTTATTGATATTTGAATCTCTATCGAATTCTTTCTAAAGGGACCATAAAATTTGATTTTTTGTAGACTTGCGACTTCTGGGTAAAGTGCCCATTTAAATGTTTAATCGTTTAGATATCTTTTATGGACAATTCTTAACTAGTGAATGGATGTCAGACGTGGACACTCATAAGAACTTGACCAATACGGGTATGTTTAATACAAGATCAATTTCAAGGTGTTGGCTCTCGTCGTCGATATTTTTTTAAATTTGGACCAATTAAAACAAATATAATATAACTGACACTATTATATGTGTAGTAATATGATATAACACTGTCATGTGGAGATTTTACGAATTTATTATTATCCGAAATTAATTTTAAGTGAACATGTGCGTATTAATAATAACATTATTCGCTGTCATAATTATGAACTTAATGCTTTCTGAATTGTATCTTTATATATTTGTTTAAAGAAACGATTGTTATTTCAAACACAAAGTACTTACGAATACACAAGCAAGTAATCTAAATCAGCCCCATTTTATAAGAAATTAGAAGAAACAAGCTTGCCCAAGTATAAACATGAACTAGCTACGCTGATGACATCATTCAATAAAGACAGCAAGTACCATTTAGTTACAATTTATTAGTTGCATAGAACAGACAATGAAATAATATGCACAATACATACTACAATATCCTTAAAAATGCAATGTTATGCTTAAAGAGTGCAATGTTATTGAATATTTTACATTTTAAAATGAGACTATTTTTAAGGATTATAGAGCGTTTAAATTTAAGAAAATGATCACAGTGTGAATTATGGATGCACCTATAAAGTTATCGGAGAGTAGTCGGGAATTTTAATTACAGATACATAAATTATAGAATTACTTTGTAATTCATTTGCTATCTTAAGTATTTTTATATCATGACATTTCGCTTATAGTACCTAATTAATGAATAGCTTTTTTTTATTGCTTTAGCCGCCATTCTAAAAATCATACAAAAAACTATTATCTAAATATATTAAAACAATATTCTAAAAACTGTTAATAAAAAATATCAGAAAAATAGAAATAGAACTGAACAAAACACAAGGATACGTCCTTGGAGTTTTGTTGACAGCAATTTAGATAGAGGTAAACAAAAAAAACCGTTGATAGATGAAAACAAGACTGTTTTTGAATTGAACGTTATGTCAAAGATTAGAGCAAAACACCCAATATTAGACCGAACATACCAAATAGAGATAGCCGAATGCGATGATGCCGCAGCGGAGAGGTAGGCAGCAGAAGCACCTCCTGCACTCAGGTATCTCCAGCTGCATCGTTCACCTCCGGGTGACGTCTTATCCGAACAAATCCAACGCATCCAGCATCTTCGCGGTGCCGCAAACCCGTTCCCGTCTACGGCCGCACTAAGATACGACCTACGGCCATCGGGCGTGTTGCAATCATCTTATTTGCCTGCCTCGTATCAGGAAATGTGACATTACGGCACACATAGTATCCGAAACCAGACGACGGACGGCTGGCGGTTTCTAAGTACGCTTGAAGGTCAGTCTGGACTATCTTGGTATAAATTAATACGGAACGCTCGTGTTACGTCCGTGATACACACCGAATATATGATTAAACTTATTTCAATACATATTTTTTTCTTATATAACTTTCGGTGCAATGTCAGTCTGTAATATCACTGTTTGTTTAATTGCTTTTAATTTTATTAAATGTAAATATTATTATTAGTATTTAGTTTTTTTTTTAAATTAATTATAACCAATAATTTATTAAAACCAATAGCCGATGAAATTTATAAACAGTGTAACCAAATTGAAAATTTAAGTGGTAAAGAATGATGTTCGAAAAATGGTCATTACATTCCGTTCAGGGATGACAAAGTAGTAAAATTTATAACTTTTACGATAAACCTCGTACAGATTTTCTAGTTTTGACGTCTGCGACTGCAAGATTAGACTAGGCTTTTACTGAACTTTGTTCTTACCCCTTAAAATAATTTAATGTAATATGAATTAGTTCACTATCAGAGAAATAGGAATTACCCACGTGGCAGTTAGCAATTAAAAAATATATGCTCAGTTGAAAACAAGAAATTGAATAGTGAATGAATTTAATTATCTTCCATAGGTATTTATACTGAGAAGATGTTTTGAGAGATTGTGGTGAACAAGTAATTGATGTTAAGTGATTATGGCCACCCCTGGGCATTGTCTGCGACAGCCATGGAGATTAATGTAAGAAGTTAATAAAGGATGCATTATAAACATATCTTTGTCTTTTTTTTTAAAAAAAAGGGGCTATCCCAGGTATTCATTCTAGGACCATTTCTATACTTAGCTTCAAACAATGATTTTACCTACATGGTATTAAATTAATTCCTATTAATTTCTATGTATAGAAAATAACAAATGTAAAAGCATCCTAAGAATACTGAATGCTGTATCAAACTTTATTTTTTGACTCTTGGCTCAGGGCTCTTGAACTCATGAACACAATTTACATCATCTAGCCATTCAGGTAATTTATATTAAATATAAAATTGTCGGAGACTTCCACAAGCAACTGATATGACATAAGTAGCAGTAACAGTAACTTAAGAAGAAAGATTTAAATTAATGAGACTTTCATAACAAAGAAAAATTAATTGAACAACGACATATACGAAAATAACTTGCTACTACGTTACGTTCACTAGCTATTGCCAATTTTATACTAATATTCATCTTTGTATAAAACCATTAGAAAAAAGAAATAATATCTATTCTAGTTATTCTTTGGACTGAACTTATTAAATCACGTATTTATAAATCATACAAAATGAACGATTTCTTATTTTTGTATGTAATATATATTTTATACATAAAATATAAACAAAACATGTAAAGTAAATCCTTAATAAAAAAAGAAATTATTAATAATTAAATTATTAATGAAAATATTCACGTGATCAAAATGAACACCATACAAGTTCGTGTGCTTACATTAATACTAGGTTGGAATCGAAACCGTGCTATCTGCTACGATAAACAATCAGAGCCTTTGTTTAATTGCATTAAGTAACTTACATTAAGTACTGTTAATATTGTTCCTTACAAAGTTACATCATATTAATCACAAAATATGGCCGTTTAATGTGCCGTCATCAGCCGTCTCCACAATGTCACATGGCAGAGGCAAATTTTATTCCTTTCAGTTAATATTAGATAATTATGTACCATTTTAAGAAGTTTTACTTTACACTGCGAACAATAGCAGTTTATTTATAATCACATGAGATGAAATAACATTTTATAGACAAACAACCGCCTGATTAGTGGCCAGACATCCAATTAAATGCCGTCGACTTCAGCGCCTAAATAAAAAAAAGTAATTTGATATTTAATGTTACCTGTATGCACATTCAGATTGCAGTCGCGACGTCTAGTATATAAGTGAACCTTTTTATTTTTATTCTATAATTAATATAATTATAATTTAATCTGTTCTTTAAATACTTTCTTGCGAAAACGAGGCCGCAGATAACCGAAGAAGCATAAGTCTTTCACGTGCAATTCCTGCAGTGCAGATATTATGTTCGAGTTCAGTTCCTGATACGGACTGTTAATCTTTGTCATTGACCTTCTCGTGATCGAGTGACTTGAGAGGCTATCAATTGGAAACATAAATACGTCATATATGAAATAAACAGAAAGCATTAAGATAAACAGTATATTTCTTTACGTATGTTCGCAGTTCAATGTTTTATCATTGATATATTACGAGTACATTATTTATATTAAAATAAGTCAAACATATTTAAAAATCCCCAAATGTATTTTAGATCTTATAACCTAGTATTTACAAATATTATTGTTCTCTTAAAAAAAACAACATTAGTTTATTAAATGATAAAAAGCTCCTTGACAATTCAAATTCTTTTTCTGTCGATCAAGAAACGAAAACTTTTCTATTAAAAAATTAACGAAAGAATAAATAATATGATTAGTCAGAAAATAAATACAGAAAATATAGAAAAAGTCATTAAAACACATTTAAATAGCTGGTAACACGGTAAAAAAATAACTTACTGACTAAGTTGATGACTAGCTATATTTATTGACAATATTTAAGTGCTACAAAAGCTAATAAATCGGACAAAATTAATATAATCTTTACATTGGTAAAATAATCCGCTTAAACATTTAGATTCAAAGAAACTTCCAATAAAACAAAATAAAAAAAGGTTGACAAGAAACGGAATTTAAACTTTTAAAATGTTAAAGTAAATAGCAACTATGACGTAAAACTCATTCTTTGGTCATTTTAATTAATAATTTAACTTAAATCAAAAATAATTATATCATTTTTTCTTATCAAATAACAATTTAATTATATAGTCAGAAGTAATTACATATGACAGCACATTTACTGTTTAAACTTTATTTTACAAAATTGACCTTACCATACAATCACGGACAGACCAGATGATTAAGAATGTAGTATATTTTCAAGTAAATTATTACTATAAAATCTGTGCCTCCTGTGATCAGTGATACAAGTTGAAAATCAACATTTTACAGGAGAGCAAAAACAAGATTTAAAAAATTCTAGTTCATGAAGTGGATAGACTAGGACAAAACTTTATACACATTCATATAGATTATAACATTCTCTTTCATCCTGTATTACAGTTTTGTTAAAAAATTATATAATTTATCAGTAACTCGAAAAAAACATTTGAATTGTACCTCTGTAAAGTAAAATATTGGCAAAGAAGATGTGTTACATGATATGAGTAGTGTTAAACCATGTTGCACCTTATTATAGTCTTTGTGAAAACTGATATACGTGTAGTATAAAAACAAAAATAACTTATTAGAACCTCTTCCTATCATAATTGTTTAACCAAATAAAAAATAAATGAAACATCTAGATTCATTTTTTATTGTGTATATCCCCCTGTTGTGATAATTTCTTTGAATTGTATCAATTAGCTAAAATCCTCGTGATTTGAAACATGTGTTATATGATACAAGTCAAATTATACCTGACTTGAAAAATTATATTGATTGTGTAAATTAATACAACTATTCAAAAAAAATAATAAAAAACATATTGTACTTCTCCTAAATTATTCTTATCTCATGATTAAATAAAAATTTATAAATTATATATCTAGGATCGGTCATAGCAGATATCACAATAGGTACCTTTCAGTACTTACAGGATATTATGATCATTATCTTAATCCCAAATAGATTAATAAACATAGAGAAATTAACAAACACAACAAAATCTTCTTATCTTTCTATAGGCACCCTATCTATGAGTAAAATCACCTTTAGACGTAAACCAAAAATAAAAGGAAACAATAACGACAAAATCAGAAAATACTTAAAAAAATCAGTCTTCAGTGTTAATAACATATCTGTCGTTTTCGTAAATCATATTCTATAGAATAATCGATTATAAATCGACTATCTAATCTACTTAGAATCATTGTCATTGTCCGGAAGAGAGACTTTAACGTTTTTTTTTATGGAAAAAGGAGGCAAACGAGCATGCGGGTCACCTGATGGTAAGTGATCACCGCCGCCCATGGACATTTGCAACATCACTTGAGTCGCAATTGCGTTGCCGGCCTTTAAGGTAGGAATAGGCTCTCTTCTTGAAGGTCCCTAAGTCGTGTCGGTCTGGAAATACCGCTGGCGACAACTCGTTCCACAAAGTAGTTCATTCAAAATTTCGCTAAAAACGCACAGTGGTGGACCGTCAACCATCAAGGTGGTGTCGATGGTACTTGGCGGTTTGACGAGTTGTACGATGGTGAAATTCACCTGTAGGTATCAACTAAAGAAAATGCAAAGGGATGCAACATCCCTTCGCAGGGCCAAAGAATCGAGACGATCGGACAGGATTTGGTGGTCGATTATTCGAGCAGCTCTTCGTTGGATACGGTCAAGTAGTAGGAGCTGGTATTTCGGTGCCCCAGCCCAGAGGTGAGAACAGTATTCCATGTGCAGTCGAATCTGTGCTTTGTAAAGCTGCAAACGATGTGCCGGTAGGAAATACTGTCTCGCTCGGTTTAGGATACCGAGTTTTTTAGAAGCCAGCTTGGCTATTAATTCCGAATGACCGCGATATTGAACGTCACCGGTCACTCTTACAGTTTAGATTTCTATGAAAGATCAATTTAGATCCTTCTTCTTTTCTGTTGAAATGGTAATCTTGGAATGGTGAGCTTTTGGTACCGTATAAATTCCTACCATATAGTACACTTTTCCGCGTTTCGATAAATTCATTCATGTTTCCACCATCTTTGAGCCCTTTTTTGTAAGAAATACAGGGAAAGTTGCCTTAAAGATACATGACATACTCGATATGACATCAGACTACAGAAACTTTTTTAATGTCTGTAGTTGTTTTGGGAAGGAATTGTTTAAAAAAATACCGAAGTCGTAAAACATATTCAGAGTCATTTCGATCACAGTAAACTTTGCAGATTTATTTGAAGCTGTGCAGACCAGTATCTACCAATCTCTTGGCAGGTGAATATCTATGCCCGTGTGCTTCTTTTTATGCTCAATCAGCGCATGGTCACTGTCTGCTTCCATGTCAGTATGGCTAGGTACTAGAAATTTATGTTCGATGGATTGTATTGATATTAGGTATTAACTTTTCTAAGTTTCTCGCATAAAGTCTGAAGATACGTAGTCAAAAGTCTTCAAAAAACATCCTTGCGAACATCCTTACAAATTGCGTGTTTTGTTATGATCAAACCCGTGAAAGAAGTATCGAAAAAATCTAGCGTTCCGTTTTTTCTTGGGATATTTGGACGTCTTTTTTTTGAAATTCCAAGACTCCAGTATGTTTTGAACAGTGTTCCTTAAATGAAACGGTAGTCTCTCTTTGCATTTCTGACGATAGTTGTTTAAGTCACGAGTTCTTCTTGTTTTTCCTGATGTTGTTGTATATTTCGAGGCACGAAATATCATTAGAAAATCAAATGTGAAAATTGATATTATAGTAATTATACCACAAAGTACGAAAAAAATTTGTGGAGTGATACTTTACTAGTGCTATATCACGACTAAAATCAAAATTCACGATATTTTCATCCAAAATCCCATCAGTTATATCACTTTGCACAAAATTATCTCGAGATCTATAGCAGATAGAAACACGTAAGACCCAAAGCTAGCTTATTTTTTACTGATTGCTTATGTGTTAAAATCAGAAAAAGGGTACAACTCGAGTTGTATCACTGATCACAGGAGGCACAGAAATGTATTAACGTTATACAGGTGGCTTTTTAAAGGTGCCCAAATTCACACAGGAGTTTCAGACTCGGTAGTATAATCGTTTATTGAAATAAAAATAAACTTTTTTTTCAAAAAATTGCCATTCTATTCCCTAAAAAACATTTCCATTCCCATTTATAAATACGTCATATACTTGTGTGCGTGTTAGTTATGAATGATCGCGCGTAAAATAAATGAGTTGCCTAAATCACGCACTTTTTGACATAAGTTCAAATGAATGTAATTAGTTAATTACGAGTGATTTCAAATAGTTATCATTTTTTATATAACATTATTTATGTATAGAATTTTAAAAAAAAATGGATACACTTAGAAAAGCCTGTATAGGTACTACACTTTCAACTAAACATACGCATTAAAAACAAGATGGCGAATAAAACGGCGGACAATACCGCATCAACTTAAGTGTTTGGCAAATATCCTTGCTACGCAGTGTTGTTCGGCACTACTGTGCTTGGGTACACTCCGTTTCCGTCAACCTTCAATTCACCACTGACTATCTGTTGCAGTTGATTTTCATACGCATGGGAATCTGATATTTCCAACTTGATTAAAAGACTCCTCACCACGATAATCAAGTATACGTGTATACCTGCCAAACGAAAGATTAATATAAAGGCTGCGAAAACACACAGACGCATATTTAAAAGACAAACCTAAATTAATCCCAAGTTTTAAGTTTCTAGGACACATTCCGTGGTGTTCGGTTTCGTGTATCCTATGGCTGTTTTCCAGTATTTTATATTTTAAGACTTTAATAGTTGCAATTCACTTGGGTTTTAAACACTTTAATTTCAACTTCTTAGTTATCTAGGTATGTAGGTGACTGTGATGAACCAAAGCAATATCTTGAATTCTTGATAAGATGCAATACGTTGGTGTACGCAATCCTAAACGTTACAAGTATGCTATGTATATAACATACATATAAAATCATTTACTCTAAAATTTAGTTTTCTGTTATAATTCTTTGTTTTACACAGAGTATAAGAGAAAACAAAAATTACAAAAAACAAAGGCGAGCTTAACCCTAACACAAGATTATCAACAAATTATGATAGATATGTGTGTAAAACCAGATATACTCTAAACACTAAATATATTAAGAAAAAAAAAATTGAAGTTAAGAATTGTTAGTGTGTTTCTTGATTACAAAATTTTTATTTAAGTCTTTATCAAAGACTAGGCATTAAAGGTCTGAAACAAATGTAATTAAAAATGAAAATATTAATATAATACTCACAAAGACCTGTGCAAAACAGGGCCATCATTTCGATAGCCAACCCGAAATGCGTCGAAGTGACTATTCCCATTATCTGGAGGACGAATGTCATCAACGTTGTCGTGATCCCATAATAATAGAAGGCTTTCATGATCAACAAATTCCTCTGAAACAAAATCATCAATGAAACAAACACATCATTACATATGAATCAAACATCTTTAAATATGTACCGTTCATACGTATGGTCTATTTTTCTAGCACATTAAGTATTTCCGTAATAAATTCGCGGAAAGCACAAAAGCCTGACTTTCCTGTCGACAAACTTTTGAGACTAATATAATAATCAGTAATCAGATATTAAAACCCTTGGAGCCTGTTCTCGGGTACTTTTTACGGGAGGAGTTGAAAAAAGTGAGCGTTTCTGATTACTGCTGGATATCAATTGTGTTACCGGTCCTTGAAAGGTAACTTCAAACACCAGACGAAACACAAAAGTAAAAATTCTGCTATGTCACGCCGTTCTTCTGTTAGGCTATGGTATTTTTCCGAAGTTGTTTCATGGATGGACATAGTAAAAACTTCCGCAACCAAATTTCTCGGCGACAAACTAACAATTCTAACGTAACAATGTAGTTAAGTCTAGCGAACAATTTAAAAAAGTATGTAAGTACTTATGTACGCAGCTAAGATGTTATACTACTTTTGGCGTGAAAAGAAAAAAAATACTTAAAATTTTAAATTCTAAAGACATTAAATGCAATTCATAACGGTTTAATTAAATAACTTAGAATTATAGGTAAATGTCAAAAAGTTGTTATTCGTTGCCATGGTATTACCGTGAAGTTTGTCGCTTTGCAAACAACTTCATCGTGTCGCTTTTTGCCTTTAAAAATATAATATCTCATAATTTTTACCAAACGCGCCAAGTGAAGTATAACATAAATATTCTAGAGAAACAAATGACAGAAATTATTTGGAAACCTATACGACATACGAGGTCTTGAGACAAGAGCCGTGATAGCTCAGTGTCCGGGCGCTCGCCTTTAATTCAATATACTCGAGCAACCTGAGTTCGATCCCCGGTGCCGGCACTAATGAAGTTTTTAACTTTAAGTGCTGAATTATCACGTGCTCCGCGGTTAAGGAAAACATCGTGAGGAAACCTGCATAGTTTCGAAATAATAACAAAAAAAATATTTCGAAGATATGTGAAGTCCGCCAATCCGCAGTGGGGCCGCGTGGTGGACTATGCCCTCATAGCCTCTGTATATAGTAGGCCTTTACCTCGCAGTGGGACATGTATAGGCTGTTACCTTTTACGAGATCTAAGAAAACGGAAAATTGACTGATAAACGGACAGTGAGTTCATTGTTTTTGTTATATTGAGAAAAAAATTAATAAATAATATTTACTTTACACACATGACAATAAAACGATTGCAAACACGGATGCATGATTATAACATATCTGACCGCATGATTGAGTTATGCCCGGTTGCTATATTCAATGAACGGCCGTTAGTTACATAGCTTCCTAACTTTAATAACGACTTGTAGTTAACAAACGTGTACACCCGGTTCATATATTAACAAAACGAGGCGTTTTCCTTACGAGCAGTTGCTTTACCTACGGAAAGTGAGTTACTAGAGTTCTTTTAATCTACAAGTCGTTATGAAAGTTACGAAGCTATGTCACTAACGGCCTTTCGTTCAATATAGCAACCGGGCATAACTCAATCATGCGGTCAGATATGTTATAATCATGCATCCGTGTTTGCAATCTTTTGAATAGATTCACGTTTTAACAATGACAACCGAACTTTTAGTAAAACTGTTAACAATTTTGCAAATATACTGTTTTTTTCCTTTATAAAAAATATACATTTTCAAACGTAAATCAAACAAATTTGAAAATCAAAATAAAAGACGCGATAAAACCCGTAAACTAATCTTATCCTTAGCAATTCTTGTATATATATATATAATATATACAAGAATTGCTCGTTTGAAGGATTAGATATACAATAATCGGAATCTCGGAAACGCCTCCAGCGATTTTCATCAAATTTAGTATGTGCGTAGATTCGGGACCGAAAAATCGATCTAGCTAGGTTTCACTTTTAGAAAATGTCCTTTTATCCCTGTTTTCAGGGAATGAAAAATATCTTTCGAATATGACGGTAAATTTCACCGAAAAAAAAAATGTTATTATAGCTCCGTCGGTAATCGGGCGGCCCCGAAACAGAAGGCCGTGGTTCGTGTCACGATCATTTACATACTTATTTTTTTCCTTTTTTTCGATTCCAGATCATTGCTTTCTTTATTTTTTATTTTGGTCCATCCAGATGATTTTGTTCTTTTTTCCTTTTTTTTTAAAGTTCTTTCTTTTGTGAAAAGCATCAGTTCATATTTTCTTGATCTATCTTTCTATATTCTTCTATCGAAAAATATTATGCATATTTCATTACTCAGTAATTTGTATGTAAATTTAATTTACAAAATACACGATTTACAAAAAAAACCGAGCAAAGCTCGGTCCTCCAGGTGCTTTCATTTAATATGATTCACCCTCTTTAACTTACCACATGTGCCCCGTAAACCAGTAATATGTTCATCACAATCTCAACGCAGTAGATTCCGATGCACACTGCATCGTCCAGATCGGCGGTTGAGCCGTGGAAGACAATCGTCAGCCCGACATCCTTGTGTACGGAGTAACTGTACAGCCCCACCATTAACGCAGAGAACAGCTGCAAGAAGTGACATCACTAAGAAATTTGTTTAAAGAAATAATAATAGTAATAAACAAATATTATCGGACACATTTTTTTACACAACGTTCTCTGCTCCCAAACTAATGTGGATGTTGTGTTGCCAACCCTTAATTTACTTTAATATAAGGTATTTGCCTCTTCGTGTATGTAAGCTATAGTTATAGTTATGTAAGCTCTTTTGTTCTACTTTATGCTTTAAAACGCTAATGACTAAGGAAATCAATAAGGTACCAAATGTAATTACTTAATTTATTTATTTTTTGTAATTTTTTTATTGTAAAGGCACTACATAACATACTTATCATATGCAGATAATTTACTCGCTATAAATATTGCCACATTGTAGGCCTACTATGAGGTATTAACATTGACACAACGAAATTCTACACGCACTTGAACCTTGTATACGTAAATTTATTCCAAAAATATGTTCACATCACGCAATTGTATTGGCCTTGTTTCTAAATTAACAAGAAGAATTAAAAACGGGTGTCTTAATTGCTATTAACAATAGCACAGCGTTTATATGTGTTAAGAGAGACAGCGGCAGACACGATCACAAGCCTTCTTCGGATATGATCGTTGACCTACTACATACATACTAAACATAAATATAAGATACCAAGTCGCCGGAACTACCATTTAGTTCGTAGGTCAGTGCACCCATCCTCGAATTATCAGTATAAAAAGTATCCTCGAGTCCCATACCACTTAAACAATTCAGTGCAATACAGTGCTGGACAAATAACCAGTGCACGATTAAAAATATTTTTTTTTATTCTTATTTTTTTATTATATTTATCTTATTTAATTTATCTTATTGGTAGATGGAGCGATAGGATGAATGACTATGTTCGTATATACGTTTCTGAACCATTGATGCGATTGTGACAAAAAAAAATCGGTGATTTGTTCTGAGTTATAATAAAAATATGGAAGTATTTATTTTCTCCGTCTATTTCGTTTTCTATGCAAAAAATAAACATCTATTGATAACACTTTCTTCCCTTTACGCGGTAAGTTGCAACGTATGTTTCAAATTAAGCAGTATTTCAAATAAAATGAACTACAACTACAATCTTCTCTTAAAGGACCACGAAACAAAATCTTGTTTCAATTTAAAAAACAACTACATGTTTCACCTAAACAATCTAAATCTAAAGATCACGTTAGTACACTCCACTGGAGTTTGAACTAATGATCTAAGGTCCCAATAAAGACTTTCAGCCACTGGGCTATCAGCGACTGAGTAACAATATCAAGTGTTTAATATCAACACTGTGTCACTGGTCGTCAGCGGACGGGTCATCATCAACTTATCTTAATTCTTAACATGTCACACAATTATAATATTTCGTTTAAACAACTGCGTAGTTAAAGATGCTGTGCTAATTGACGCACTGTTAATTATAACAGCACATCACTTTTAATGATTAAATAAAGCGAAACAATAGATTTTTGCAAACAAGAATGATGGTTGCTCTTCCGAAGTCTTAAGTGGATGAATTGAAATAGAAAATATTTAAGTTGTACAGCTTACGCCTAATACTTTGGGACATAGATATATTAAAAATATATGAAGAATAATGAAAATCTAAAGCACTCAATTAGTCTATTACAATGATGAAGTTTAACATTCTCGACATCCTGAGGCAAGCTTATTAGTACTTGTAAACTAAAGCAAATTCCTCAGTTCAATAATTTCTAAAACATACGAAGAATTCCAACATATACACATATAATTTCAATGTGGTTTATGTCTGGAGTGATTAAACTTAGTGAACCGGTGATAAATTTTTATCATCACCAAAGCTTGAAAGGGATTTAATGCTTATATTCTTAAGTGAAGTTATTTAGACTGAACTTCGCAAGCAGATGAATTCAATGTTAGTTAAGGTCACTTGATACTTTCCGGTGATGATACCAACAAAATAAGGAGTATCCAATCGATTTTGGTGACGGTAAGGCAAAGATCGTGAGTAAACTTTTGTGGATTGGATCCGACTTCTACAACTCAGCGGCTAATCTCGATAGAGTTCATATAAACAGCGATTTTCGAGCGCACTCACAATGTTTATGTATCCGAAGATCAAGGTGCCTTTCCTCAGCGGCAGGCAGAAGCAGCAGCGCATAAGCCTCGGTATTTCACAGTACATTTTGACAGACGGGAATCGGAGCACAGATAACAAATACGCGCGAGTCCAACCAACGCACCAGCTCGGCGTATCTAACGCAACTGACCAGGAAAGCGTCACGCGGACGTATTTATGCGCAACTGACGCCCCGGTATATTTATAGACGTTAGCTAAAATCAATTGTTTAATAGCAAAAATGGAAATCTCGGGAAATACGGTATAATAACGCCATCATACGGAAATTGTTCGTCCGCTGATATGTCTCTTTTATAATAAACATGCTCAAAGTGGGTTGGAGAGACTCCCCATTTCTCTTTATTTTTTTGGCGTATCGCTATACTATTTTTTGGACGTGCATGTTTTTCGAGATTCTTTTTACAGTGAAGGTATCCCATCCTTCATCATAATCATCATCATTTCAGTCTGTTTTGTCCACTGCCGCCTCCGCATACTGTCAAGAAGCACAATCCTGAGCCACCTGCATCCATCGACGCACATTTGCACATCTCATCCTTGAAAAAAATTAATTATGGACTATCAACGAAATTGACTTTTAAATGTATTTATAAGAAATGTATTTATGCCCAAATAGGTATAATAAAAGATGGTTTCTCATTATCTCCTCCGAAACATTTTTAACATAACAAGCTGGCAAACAAGCGGATGATTCGTATTTTGTAAATTATTGACCGCCCCATCTGAAACACCAGAGAACTGGAAGCGGGTTACCAACCTCATAAATATGCGTCAATTATCATAGAAAACATAAACGTTTAAATATTTTAACTTCAAGCCGATATAGTATTTTTAAAGGATATCAATTGTTATAGTGCCATTATTATTTATATGGGATATTTATTTATTTTCTCATCTGTTTGGGTTTATAAATAAAAATAAACGTAATAAATAATAATTTAATGCTGTATATAATAAATAAATAAATACATAACCAGACGAAAGACCTCGGCATGGGAGACCCAACGGCCGAGGGTTAGGGCAAGAGGGAGAGAAACCGGCAGACGGTATCTAGGAGCACAGCCTTCTGTATTTGAGCTCGGAGCGGTCCGTCCTGGAGCCCCCGTCACCTATTACTATTACTATTATAGATATCTCGGAGTACGCATGCTAGAATCCTCGCTAAAAATCTTTCATCCATTTTTCTACAACTTTTTTTTAAATTTCATCTTGCGGAGAATATCATTATATAAATTAATGTCCATAGCACAGGTCTCATCTCCAGTTTCAAATACTTTATTAGAAAAGTTAATGTAAAAGTGGTCATATGCTGTAAAGGAAACAAATAAATTAGACGATGACAAGATAATTAGACATTACAAAAAAAAAAACAGTAATAACGGGGTAGATAAACCACTAAGATTTTCGTCGATGTTAAGATACGTCGTTTTACTCAGTCGGGCGCGACTTCTTCAACTTCTTCTTCGTCTTGTCTACAAAAATTTATAATTTATCGTTTTATCTTCTTTGAATAATTTAACTCCAACAATACGTAATAAACTATACTTAATAAATATATGTGACACATAAGATTCACCGAATGATTTATAGATAAATTCATAGCTATATATAAAAGATAATAGCCCTACTAAACTTTCATCCAGTAAATGTATACAAAATGAACGTATTTTTATGAACGGTTTTTGCGCTGTTCTCTTTTTTTCTATTTTCTCTTTTCAAACATTTTATTCTACTGAAGAAGGACTATGAAAAATATTCAAAGAAAAGGTATCTTTGATCCAGATATTATTGAAGAATTGTACAATCGAGAAATAACAACACCTTAATTCAGGATCAAAACATTAAATGTTTATATGGATTATTGGAACATTTAAAACTCCGAAAACAATACAGTGATTGCATGATTTCTTGTGAAAACAATGTGACGGAAATCCCAGCATCACACACCTCCTTTCTCGATAAGTTGTGTTTATCAAGGTATGTAACTTATCAGCCGTATTTACACATATAATTATAAGCGTAATAAATAAAGTTATGTTATGATATAGCTATAACATTCATTGGTTTGTCATGTTTTGTTAAGAATAATAAACTCTATGATAACGATTTGTGGCAACGGGTTTTTATTATCGCTCCTTCCTACAAAACATACATTATAATGTTGTATCTGAACACCCATGGCATTTACCATGAATCAGTGATATAATAAATAATTTAATGTTTTATTTAGTAGTTTTATATCCGCTAGTTCCAACTTGAAGCCCGAAGAAAACCTGCATATTTGTATCATATTATTTTTACAAAACGAAAAATAATCTGATTCAACGTTGCAATCACAATAATGAAAAAAAAATTAATTTTTCAAATAAGAATATGACGTTATTCACTTAATATTATGAGAAAGGTTTAAAAAAAAAAAGCTTTATGATTCGCACCGTGCGTAGAATAACGTTATTTGGTCACATAGAATTTGATTTTATCGTCGGATAGTCTTAATTATTGTGTACGCTTTCAGATAACATAAAAATTTTTTTCTTCTGACTTATAGATATTGAGATTCAGAATAGAACAACGTTCTATCTGATTTGTGCTCCTCAGTACAAGGACGTATGTACGTTTAGACACTGTTTTTTTGTACTGACTAGCTAACCTTACTGTTAATGTAATAGACGAGTGTAATATACTCTATTAGAGTCAATTTATAATTATTGTACAATCACCCACTTTTTTATGGATATTTCGTTGAAAACAGTGCTACATGCGTTTATGTCATACGTATTTTCTGAGTTTTTAGTAGAACAACCTTATAAATGACCGTGTGACCTATTATTTTTTGGAATGTTTCGTTGAACAACGTTATATAAACGTGTATATGTGATCTTGTGACCCATTAATGTTTGCCATTTTCCGTAGGATACTATACACTATTACACTTGAAACCTCTTATTTCCTAAATTTATGTAATTATTCATTCAAAAAGTACACTGTTTGTTTATACAGCGTGTCGTTACCATCGCGACAATAAATTAAAGTTGTATTAAACATTTAAATTCTTTAAACATCAATATTTACAGAGTTACTAAATTTTCCAAAACAAAGAATTTTAGAACACCCTTACCTATAAAAGCGTAACGTAAAGTTCATTTGTAAAGGTCACAAAGCATATGAATGGGTTGAATGAATTTAAAAGAGACAAAACATACTGTTAGAAGGAGAGGCTTGTAATACGACGCTGTGGCGCGAGTTGTATAGGATGTTACAAATTTTGTTTCTTTTTTACTTAATTAATTTGTTTGAAACATATTTTTTTTAATAATTTTTAAGGATTTTTTAACGTTAATATTTTTTTATGATTATTGGCAAGTAGCGTTAGACGTGTGTTAATTTATTGTCGCGATGGTAACGACACGCTGTATACCTAATCATATTACAAACCTCAAAAATTGTAATACAAACTGCTATTTATAAGAAAATTATGACCAATATAAAAAAAATATAATTTTAATCGGCCGTCCTGAACAATTACAATTTTGCAGATGTCACGTTGTTCTACGCAGGGTGCGAATTGCGTATCATTGTTGGTATGTGATACTTTACTTGCGGCAAAAACACACTTTCAATTATCTCTTCAAAGTCCTGAGAGAAAACTGGTCATAGTCTGACATACAACTGAGCTTCCCCCTTAAAACGTATATTTTTATAGGGCCTTATTCTAGAAATCTGGGCCTTTAAATAATATTACAGTTGTTTGAGTTTGTATCATAATGGTTTGCTTATTCTGCAACTAAGTAACCTTACGCACAACCTCATTAAAACATTGAATCTACTCGTATATGTCAGCATCGAATCCGTTTCACGTCCGGATTCCAGGGTGAATGCCGCTGTCCCCCAGCATGTGGTCCACTACGGGGCTGCCTCCGACGTGCAGCTGGTCTTCGTCGTAAATAGTCGGTATGTCCGCGATATCTATCTTCTCTTCGGGATATGGAGGTAGCCGCAGGGTTTGCGGTCTAACCGCCCTTCTGCCGTCCGCCGCACCTACGAAAACCTCGTTCACACACGAAACAGCGCTTTGACCCGGAACCAAGAGGTCCTGGTTGAAAATCGTGTCCACGTCCTTTATGTTAAACACTTTCTCCGCGTTAGCGTCCAAACGGTCCTCCTGGTCGGGAGTGGAACTGGTGTCAACGGGAGCGTTTCCGTCTGCAGTGCCTCCGTAGATGCAAACGTTCCCACTTGGTTCATCGTAACAGGCACACGTCTCACAATGTTTGCGATTAAAGAAGGCACTAGGCGGAGCCTCCTCCACGGGAGTGATATCAGTGCCGACATCTACGTTGTTCATGTTGATTATCAGTTTCGACTTGCCCTTCAACTGTTTGTATTCGCTGTTAATCGCCATCAAATTGTAACCTTCGAACACTGAAAACAAAGTAACGACAAGTTTGAAACTATCGTCGTATGGCCACGCAACACTCTTCGCAATGTTGCACGAACGTTTATGGGAAGTACCCCAACCTCACAGAAGAGCGTTTCGTCTACTGAGCCGGGGCCCATTTTACAAAAAGTTTGCAACGCATATGCAACCCCATGGGTGTTGCAAATTTCAAAGGATGGCAGTTGTCATTTAATAATAATAATAATATGCTTTGTAGTACATCAAAAAAGAAGAAAATATTTATCAAATATTGACCATCCACATTATTGCTACACAGCAATTTTTTCCAGCCAACCTCAGAAATTTACCAAAAGGAATTTTAAATGGGTAGGATGTACATGAAAAAAAAAATAGAAAATGGCAACAAAAATGGAAGTATATATATTTTTCTTATAAAAACACCTCTTTTGAGTGATTATCAATTTAAGAGTAAAATCAAAAAGGAAGGAGAGAAACATCGAGGGATAGAAAGGTGCCAGACAGACAGCTATGATGCTCCGTAACCTATTTTTCAAAAGATGGTTTGAGCATTTATAATAGCCAAAGGTAAAGAGTTCCAGACTTTAACAGGAACAGCAGAGAAAGATTTATATATATAGTAAAAACTAGAGGATCGCACAGTATGTTTAAGGAAGAGGTATTCATTTGAAGATAGAGGAAGGTTATGAGAGGAGCAAAGAAATTGAAAACAAATAGTGCGGACTTGAGAACAAGGTCAACAAAATTTAACATCAAGTGAGCCGTCAGTTCGTTTGCCACTTTTTAACATAAATTAAAAGTTGTGCAGCAGGTGTTTTTTTTTTAACAAGACAGACGAAACGTGAAAGCATAATAGTTCCACTTCAAGCCGGTCTTCTGTTAGCCCTGATACTTGCACGGACGAGCCTGGTCATTCATACAACAGCCGAAGCCGCCTCGTAGCCCTACCACAGTCAAAGAGAAATGGACGTTTAGAAAACAGCATTTGTGACGATATTTATAGTTGACTCCCTTTCGACTGGGCAGCCTTGTATTTGTATTTTGTGTGGCAGGAATTGGGGCAGTAATGGAAAGTCCTATGTAGTCTTGCCTTCGAAAACATTACCCCCATAGTCTATACCATAATATTATCATAAATTTCACTTGGACAAACAAATCAAACCAACATCCGAAACAACTATCTGTGGGTCACACAAATATTTGTCTCGTGTAAGAATCGAATCCACGACCCCCAGTGCCGAAGCCAATATATTGGCACCTTTTCAAGCCACTCCTGTTTCGGAACAGTTACTAGTTTTCTTGTACCATCGTTTTGGTAAAGAGAGAAAAGTTTATTGGTACATAAATAAATGAAAATTGTTAACAATGAAGAGAAATGAAATGGTACTTACATACACATATAATAACCAGCGTTCTTGACATCAACTGAAGAATTATCGCCCCGAAAATTGAAATTAATATATCAAGGGTCCAGTTGAGTATATTAATGTAGTACACAACCTTCAGTATTTTTGGCTTTTTCTGAAACAGAAAGATGCATTAAATAGTTAATGCAAATTAGAATAAAACTTGACAATGTATCTATTATGTTTCATATTAGCCCATATTTCTAATAATATATACAGAGTCAGAGTATATAACATATTTACTGGGTCCACGTAGCACCTTCTACTGTTGCACTAATAGGCAAACCCGTCCGAGGAAGTCCCACAGCCTTACAGAAGACCGGCGTGAAGTCGAAGTCTTATACTATCACGTTCCCTCTGATGAGTGAGGTAAATACGTAATGTAACCTCAGGTGTTGCAAATTTCCATGAACAGTGGTAATCACTTAACATCAGGTGAACCGCCTGCTCGCTTGACAACTTTCTACATATAAAAATACACTACTACATTACAACAGCGCATTAAGGGCGGCATGGGTTTTCTTTACCACAAAACAATTTAAGGTCCGATGCGTTCCTCTCCAAATCTGCTCTTAAATTTTTAAAGATAACTTTTACGTGCGTAATTTGATTCTTTCCCTTTAAGCGAAGGTTAAAGAAAATTGCACCCACCTTGTAAATTGCGTATATCGTTAGAAAACCACCCGTAATGTAGAAAATCTTAAACAAAATCCAGAATAGCATATAGACGACGATTGCATTATAGATCTTTTTCACCCTTTCGGCTTTGACCTCCGTGAAACTGATCCCGAGGTACTCCTCTATGTCTGAGAGGTCCATTGAATAGAGCTTCGTTCCGGTCACCAACAGGTAGTACAATATTGCCAAGTTAATGGCCAGGATAACGATATAGACTAACTGCAAATTTAACAGTGATAGTGAGTTCTAGTTTGAGGCTTTTTGTGTGAACAAATGGCAAGCCACCAGGCGCACAGCTATACGACCTGAGGCACACATAAGAGTTTTTTATTTGTAAGATAAAATCATGCCAAAAAAATAAAAATTAACACAACAAAAATAAAATCATAACATAAAATGACATTAAAGAAATATACAGTCTTTTATAATTTAATAAAATTAAAGTCAAATATTTAAATTTTTATTGTGCTAATCTCTGCACTTAACATTAAACATTAGCAAAAGCGTCAGGCCACGAATGACGAAGACGTGGGTTCGATTCACACAGCGGCGACAATCTTTTCGTACTTTATCTACAAATTTTAATAAAGTAAAATATATTTATGTAGAGTAATTCGTCGAAAATTGACGGGCCGAATACTGAAACGTTGCTTAAATATTTAAAGGCACCTTAAACATTTGAGCAACTCGTAAACACTGGGGCCGAATACTGAAACGTTCTAACAGTTCTTCGATTGTGTAATGGGAGCATGATTCCATTAAAGAATAGATTAATGTTTGACATAGACTCTTCTGCACTGACCGTTTCAAGTTCGTACGCCAAGTTAAAAACAGTACTGGTAAAAATTAATGAATAGACCGACTCAAATGTGAAAGTAGGCGGATCTCATAGAAGTAAACCATAAGTACGTAAGTAAATGATGTAGGTATGACCCAACGTCTCAATGATAAAATACACAATTCTAATTTCCTTCTTTAATTACTTAAAATCTGATGAACCTTCAGGGACACCTATACGTGTTTGCCACGCAACAGTGTTCTATGTTGCACAAATGGGCAGGTCCGTCCCGGTTAGTACTACGACCCCACAGAAATCCGGCGTGAAGTAGAGGTGTTACACTTCTGCGTTTCGTCTGGTGAGTGAGGTAGCCGGGACTCACCTTATTAAAGGGTGGCAACGCATCTGCAACGCCACGGGTGTTGCAAATGTCCATGGGCGACGATTATCACTTACAATGTGGTGAACCGCCAGCGCGTTTGCTACTTTGTAACATAAAACTAAGACCTTCCATAATATAGGCAGACAGACTGCCACATTCTTTCCCGTATTCATAACTGACGTACGTACGTAAAGCCTCAGCCTTCAAGCAATTCGATTGAACAGTTATTACCAAATGTAACATTTATCAAGTACGCTATACAGTTTAAAAGCATCCAGTAGCAGCTATTTTGTCACTACAAAAAACGCTTAACAGCTTTATAATAATTAAATGACCTGACTTCGACCTCGAACTTCTAGTCGTAGTAAGCAGTAAAACTTTTTTTCCCTTTGAATGCAGAAGCTCTCAATGAAAATGCGAATAAAACGGACAAATTGTCAAAAAGTTTTCCAACTGAGCTAAACCTATCTGCATTTAGAGTTCACAGTGCGAAATTCCAACAACTATCTACATTTTTTTTAATTCGCCACTTAGTGAGCAACTCTTCAGTATACTACCGAGGAAAACATTTTCTCGACAATTTATCTATTTGACTAACATTTAAAGATATATCCGTCAACTAGTTCTCACCACGCTGACCGCGGATCGTATGTAGAGGCCCGTCTTCAAATCGCAAATACCGCAATAAAGATGCAACTCGGGCCAGTTCCATTTTGTTTTCTTTTTATACCTGAAAAATATTTAGATACATCATTAGCGAAGTGTACATGAACGCGTTCTCATTGAATTAAGTAACCTGAACGAATTGCAACATCACCACACAGAGGAATCGAAAAATTAAATTGTGTGATTTAAGAATGCATTATTTTATAAGCATATTGTTTTTGGCTTTTGAAAAAGAAAACAAATAAAATAAAGTAAACAATTATTTTAAAGTATATGTTTTCCGCTCTTGAAAAAAAAGCAAGTAGAATAAAGTTAACGTTAAGTTAAATCACATTAAGTTACATACAAAAATAATCTATAGATAAATTTTCCTCCTATAAAGTTATTTACAAATTTCCGCGTCCCTATCTATCTCGTAAGGATGACTTGAAGTATTTTATCCACAAAATTTTGATAAAAAAGTAATGTTTATATAATTATTTTCATCATGTTAGTGTAAGACGAATAATTTTTTTTATATTATATAAAAGCGCGGAGTGCTTGGAGTCAATTGTTATAATATTTTAATGACAGTATATAAATACAGCATACTGGTAAAAGCACCCCTTTTTTTCTGCAATATTTTGTTTGTTAATCGCACTATTCATAATTTAAATTTATTAAAAAAATTTTTTTTCGGTTATCTACAAAAGCGTGTTTTTAGGTTTTTTTTTAACTATTAGTTATTTACTATTTTTTAGTTCTGCTAAACACGCTTATATACTAAGCGTGTTTTTTTATTTTTAAACATTTTGGAAATACGTACTTGGCACAAAGAAACTTTCGGGTATCGGGTTTGGAAAATAACTATTCCCAAAGGCCCTGGTCAGGATGAAGGAAAAAACCTATTTAAATTATTGCATTGTCATGGCTCTTTGACGAGTGTGCAAAGTTTGATTCGAATCTGATCGTTTAGAGTGGGGCAAAATCACGTTTAAAGATTCACAATATATATATATACATACAGGAAAAAGTAATGCGTGTTAAATAAAGCATATTTAAGATCTAACGTGGGCTAACTCAATGTCAAAACAAGGTCTTGTTACTTATCAGACAAATACGCGTCAATATTACAAAGTAATTGAATCCGATCGCAACCACGTTAGTTTTATCAAAATAGAAAATGAACATACCTGCGAATCTGTTCTTTGACGTTTCTACGAAAACGCTCAAGCATCTGTTGCATACCGTAACTTCCCATTCGCGGTGTTTCCATCTTCACAGTCAAATGAAAAGAAATCTCCAAATTATGGCATAATATAAACTGCCTAGTTCAACTATTACTACGATATTTGTTACACATTTCTCTAATACAATATCAGAGCAACGGGCATTTACGCGGAACTCACATCGCTTGTGATAATCTAGAAGTAAACATCGCAGATATCGACATGTGTCCTTATCTTATCCTGGGCGATTACTTTTTTTATATTTTCATATATTTAAACCGATACCAGTTAATATATGTTGCTAGAGTCATGGTCACCTGCTATACTTAGTTGTGGAAGAAAGATCCTAAGACTTTCGTAAAAAAGTTGTCCTTCGAACTTATATCGAATATTATTCTCAAATTAATACCAGTGTCATGGAACTATAAAAAAACTGCTGCACTGTTACTACACGTTTAATATTTTATGTTAGAAATTAAAAATAATTTAAAGAACTTAACGTTTCAGTACGTATACTGAGGAAAAATATCTGAACAAAGATTAACATTACGTTGGAATTTTCAAGACGCCTAAAAGATAAGTTTTTACGTCACATAGCAAGCTTATGAAATTACATAATAATAACGCACAAATCGTCCTTCAATATTTACAATCAAAAAATTAATCGGCAGTTGGTGGATATTATGCCAATATTTTTTTAATGCGTAACCTTCGTAAAATGACCTGATTCAAAGTCATATTCAAAGTCAATATTTCCTTATTCAATATAGGCTTATTTAGGCTGTTATTGAATGTCAAAAAAACTACAACTGGTTCACTAAACAAGACCTGTCCAGAGAAGAACCGGCAAGAAACTCTGCGGTCCTATTATTTTTTTTATTTCAATTATATAAGTACCTTTACAAAATTATGTAAGTATAAAATCAGCAGCCAGGGGACTTGCTAGTGCAGAGCAAGAGTCATTCATTCCCTCGCATTTTTGTCTTCGATTTATTTTTCGACATTATAATACTCCCTGATTAAAATTCAACCTGCTTCTCAATCAATCATACATTGAATTTCATTTATTGGTATATCAGGCAACTTGCTATATATTAACTTACCTAGTTTTTCGCTAAACATACTTAGTTCAAAAGTTAATAGACGATGATTTGATCTGTAATATAATACACTTGAATATTCTGGGCTTTACCATCCTTCTTTTTAATGTGAAAAGTTGCCAAACGAGCAGACCGTTCACCTGATGGTAAGTGAATACCGCCGCCCATGGACATCTGCTACGCCCGAGGGTTACAGATGCGTTGTTGCCCATTCGTGCAACAGCCGAGGCTGTTGCGAGGCCCTACCACCGTTAAGTCCTATCGACATTTATTTTGTTTCAACAATAACATTTATATAAAAGATACCGGACAATGTTATGAACATTGATTGATAACTTTATCGTCATATAACGTCATGTAGTATTACATTTAGCGATTAAATTCATAAAAAACGCATTTTGCCATTTTGACGTCATTCCCGGTCTGCATTCCGTCGCAAAATGTGAACTGAGTTGTGATAACATTTTCAGCCTCGCTACTTTGTATTACATTTTTATTTAAAGTGGTATCATAAATAGATTTCTAATTACCGTTCTACCGATGAAAATATTCAAAATTTTATACATATCGCAAAGTTGAAAATTATAATATATAATCCGCAAGTTTACACCGACATTATAAAAGAGAAAAAACATATTAGTATTAATTTATACATATATAAAAACTAAGTGTAGTTATTATCGTTTATGCCGCCATGCTCCAGCAGCGATCTATAAAATGCATTATTGTTTTATTTAGTACGCACTATCATTCATTTCGGCCTTTTCTAAAGTTATAACGTATATAGCAATAATTTTAAGTATTGGTATATTCTTTAATAATTGTGTTGAAGCAATTTTTAAATAAATTTTTATATAAATTTCCCGTTACAGCGTACTATCAAGAACGATTCACAGCCAAGGGGGCAATGGGCTAATTGTACGGTAAACAATATAAATTAAAACGTGTGTATATTTTAGTACCCAGCGATAAATATTGCACATTGACCGTTGGAACGAGTCAGTCGGCCAGTTTCAGTTTTGATGAGCCTTAACTCTGTCTATCTCTCTTTTCGTCCTACACGCGACAGAGGTCTCTACGAAGCCAAAACTAGCCAATTGTCTAGTTTCGGCTTCGTCTTTCCAAAGGCCGATGAGAAATATTTATCGGCGCGAACTATATCTGATTTATTGAAATTTGCATGGAACTTAGACCTTAAAGTATTATATTACATTATTTAATTAATCATAATTATCAATATTTGCAACATTAAATTACAGGTTATGTAACAAAGCTATTTCACGCGGCATGGTGCCAAGGAACGTAGCTGCATTACCTAGCTGTCATCAAAGACGCTGCAAAACACTGAAAACCATTGAGTTATAGTAAATTCATTTTTTTGATTAAAGAAAATAAACTAGGTGATCTGTAGTGTCAATTAGAGAAGTTAGTAAGCTTTGAAGTGAAAACTTCTTCAGGTGCGTTGAGCACTTTTTGGGTGAACAAAAATCATGGACTCGCGTCATTGTCACCGAACGCTTTCCATAAGCTATTTTTTTTATGTGAAAAGTTGCCAAACGAGCAGACGGTTCACCTGATCTTAAGTGAATACCACCGCCCATGGACATCTGCTACATCCGAGGGTTACAGATGCGTTGACAACCTTTTGAAAATTGGGCTCCGGCTACCTCACTCACCAGACGAAACACGAAAGTATTTTTCATACTTCCACTTTACGCTGGTCTTCTATGACGTCGTGAGACTTACCCGGACGGGCCTGCCCATTCGTGCAACAGCCGAGGCTGCAGCGTGGCCCTACCAGCGCAAAAATTGATTTTTAAAAAAGGAATACGCAAAAATATATTTGTAGTTATGGATATGATATAAATAGTGCTATTATCGTTCGAAGTGCCTATAAAGTATGTAGAATTAAATATTAAACAAATGTTTTTTTTTGTGTGGAAGTGCTCAACCAATCTGAAATCTCTGCGCACACCATTGGGTTCAGGCGAGATTTCATAACTGGTTTTTAAAGGTTCCCCAAGTACAATACTTCGACGGGATGGTAGTGGATTAGACAATAAACGCGATCAAAATATAGAAAGTTGTAAACCGTAAACGTTCAGCCAGAAATATTAAAACATTTTTTTTAAATCGGTTCATATATCACGGAGTTCTGAAGTAACAAACATGTGTGTACTGCGTGCATAACACACTTAAGCAGTTACACTTTTTTAGCGTAACTAAAGAAAAATAACTAAAAATTTTATCCCCTGTACTCTTTGTTTGCGAAAACACATTAAATACAGTTGATGACGGCGGTTTTATTAAATAACTTGGAATTATGTCGCTTTTTGGCGGTCGTAAAAATCGGCTGTCGTGGAATTATTTTGCGCGCATCGTAAAAATTTTATTCTAATATTTTTTTTCCAAACGCGCCAAAAGAACTAACTATAACCACAAAAATACAACCGAATTGAATACCGCCTCCTTTTTTGAAGTAGTTGAAATAATCCGGTGGTTTGCATACACTCATAGAATTTAATTGTATGTAATTTTAAACCTGTTTCAATTGAAGATATCAGTCGTCTTCGAAGGTTGGCATAAACAGGCTTAATTAAACGGCAGATACTTGATATTAGCATCAGTGCAACGTCAAATGTCTGCCGTTTAGTTATACTATATTATTAATGATGTCATTCTTTCGCTTTGCCTTAACCGTCCTTATTTGTGTGCCACGCAGAAGCCTCTACTGTTGCACAAACGGGCAGCAGGTCCGACTTCACAGAAGACCGACGCGAAGTGAAAGTGTTATACTTTCGCGTTTCCTCTGGTCAGTGGAGTAACCGGGGCCCACTTTTTAAAAGGTTATCAACGCACATACAAACCCTCGGGTGATGCAAAAAAAATGGATGTACTATAAGAATAAGGACAGCATACAGTACAGTCTAAATATCTAAGAAGTATAATTTACAAACCATATGCCTATTGTTGTAAACGACAAACGATGTATTATTCCACAGGGGAGGGAGTCAATGCAGGGCAATAACAAGTCCATTTTTTTTATTAACGAAAAACAAAACCGACTTCAAATATCTCGCTCTGTAAAAAAAAAGATGTTACACGTCACAGCCGGACAGAGGTGGGGCAGAGTAGGGTTATTTGTTATTCTGTTTTTATTGGCGAGCGCCGTCTGTAGTGACGGCACTTTGCTTCCGAGACTGTTCTGAAAAATCTGTTAAGAGTTAAGGGATAGTGTTAAGAGTATGGAAAAGGAAATAAATTTGAGCTTAATTCAATTTTCTTTCCTTACCATTCCGCGAAATTTTTGACCGCCCCTCGTATAGCGGAAACTGCGACCGAAATTCAATGGCATTCTGCATTATGAATATCAGGACAAAACTGAAAGAGAGCGTCATAAATATTAGGAAGTGTTTCCAGTCTGCCACCAGTGGTCTATATATATATATATATATATATATATATATATATATATATATATATAACGGAAACGGCTCCAGCGATTTTCATAAAATTTAGTATGCGCGTAGATTCGGGGGCGAAAAATCGATCTAGCTAAGTTTCATTTTTAGGCCGTGGTTCGTGTCACGATCATTTACATACTTATATTTTTTCTTTTTTTTCGATTCCAGATAATTGCTTTGTTTATTTTTTATTTTTTGTCCATCCAGATGGTTTTGTTCTTTTTTCCCTTTTTTTTTTAAGTTCTTTCTTTTGTGAAAAACACCAGTTCATATTTTCTTATTATTGCGGCTGTAAGATCGAAAAATATTATGCATATTTCATTACTATACACGATTTCCAAAAAAGCAAACCCCAGTCCTCCAGGTACCTTTTATTAAATGGCCACTGGTGGCAGAATAGAATAATTCCTAAACATTATCTGTCTGCTGCTGTCATTAATTTCAACATGTCACTTTCGTTATATATATTTCATGTGAAAACATGAGCCGCAAGAAAAATTCAATGTAGTGACAGCAGCTAAATCGAAACATTCCTAAATGTGTGTGACCGTGGAGGTTGCGCTGCCAACCATACGCACATTCCTTTTAGTGTTTTCATTGCGAACAGGATGCTTTATAATACTTTTTTGGACTTCAGTAAGTTTTTATCGCAATCAATTACCATTATCTCCTGCCGCCAGTCACTTGGGAGTATGTGAACAGCCTCGTTGATATTCCACGGGGTAGTAAATAGACTCCCAATTAGCAACGAGCCTGTCATACCGCTTCTTTCGCTCCCGTCCGTATGCCCTAATGGATCTGATAGGGTCACCTGGGCCTTGGTAACACTTTTAATTATATAATTTGAAGCAAATAAGTAAATGGGTCAATACAGAGACTATTATATGAATGGAGTTTAAAATTGCGGAGACATCCACAAGGTTTTCCGAGGCCTAAACATCCGCAGTTTTGTGCTTAGTTTCACACAAACTTGGTGTTAATAACTGCCGTGTTGGTGGTGACCTTAGTAGATGAACTTTGTGAGCCACTGTTGTTAGGTTTCCCTTAATTATATATACTATTGTAAGCATTATTTAATTTCAATTATTCACTGCTAAAATACTCTACAAAACAAACTACTTTCAGTTTCGATCATGCTTCGAAGTCCTGTTCTTCGCGTCAGCGATCCTAGAAGTGCTGGTGCGGCGCAAGTCACCCCTGGGGGCATGGATAGTGCCACGTAACAAGAAGTATTACGACGATGACAACTTTTACTCAATCTATTATTTGTACGTGGTGATGCTGGTGATTGAAGCGATTCTGCTGCTGTTCACAGTCGTGTACTTAGCATGGGGATTGTGCTGGGTGAGTTCGCAACAATGGGAAAGGACAATGACTGAAAAAGAGTGGTAGAGTCACGCAACAGTCTTCGCTGTTGCAGGAATGGGCAGGTCCGTCTGGGTAAATATCACGACCTCACAGAAGACCGGCGTAAACAGGATTTTTCTCTATACTACAATTTTTCTGTACAATACAATGAACTCCAATCTTAACTGTCACCTTAAATACCTTGACAACCTTGTTTACAAGATCACAATCTAAGTAGGTACTAAGATGGTGATCTTGTAGAGGCATTGGCTGTTAGTTTGGACGTATCGACGTTTTCTGAAGATGGGTGGATCACCTGTGCTGCTTTGTGGTTGGCAGTCGACGTGCGATTTTCATGAGTTTCTCTACCACACACGATCAATCTATGGAAAAAGTTGTCGTCAGGGGTATTTGGACCAATTTGGCTTAGGGAACTCGAAGAATTATCACTATTCCGATCTCAAATACCATCAACAAGTATGTCATTCCTCTTGTGCTGCAAATTTCCATGGGCAGTTCTGGTTGATCAATCATCATTAGGTAACCCACTGGCTCGTTTGTCATATTTTTCCAAAAACTCTACCAATATTTACTAAAGACCAAAAGAACTATTGCAGGAAAAACGCAAGCCACTCAAGCACTACCTGTGCTGCCGCATCCTCACATGGGTCATCGAAGTGAGCGTTTTGTTCACGCTCTGCATCGAGCACCAACTCCTCATCGGGTGGTACCTGGTTTTGCTTCTGTTCGTCAGTAAGTTTTGAAAACGAAATGCACAACACTAATACTGCGATAGGGCAACGCCACAGCTTCTACTGTAGCACGTATGGGCAGGTCCGTCCGGGGAAGTACCACGACCACACAGAAGACCGGGGAAGATCAAGTGTTATACTTCTGCGTTTCGTCTTGTGACTGAGAAAACCGGGACACACCATATTGAAAGGTGGCAACTCATTTGTAACCCTACTATAATCTCTGATACTGATAATCTCTTTCTTCCACAGCTTTGGAGCTGTACTCGATAATAGCCGTTTACAGTTACTACGTGAATATAACGTACATTGACGGCGACATAAATCGTAAATATTCAGAGGAGGTGCAGAACGTGTTCAGCTTCTACCCAAGTCCGTGAGTCATCGTCTTGCGTTTTGTTATTTTGAAACCATAATGTGAGTATTTGTGTCGAAATAGATCTTGTTTCATAAATGATTACAACTGTACAATATGAACTAGTACACTTTTTCAGTCTGCAAACTGTGCATAACCTTGGATTTACTGTGGTATAAGTCATCAGTAATAGTAAGAAAGTACTGCAGTAAATTCAGTAGCTGTTGACATGTTTGCGACTGTACGGGGTGGGTACTCACACACAATTTGGGTGGCAACTCTAACATTTATCCATAATTACACTATTTTAACAGCCAGCAATCGCGTATTGAAATATATATATTAATTTGGCGGATAGTTGAGGAATCTCAGTAGGTTCCTGTGTATTTTGTAATTATAAACAACCATCGTGTAACATAAATCATATAAAGAATTCCCGTTGGCACAGGAAAAGCAAGGAGAGAACTTGGACCACCAATACGCTTCTAGAGGGAATATATCGAACATAGAGACGGTAATTCTATGATTTAACATATTTATTTGAAGTTACGCAGTAGTTTCTACTGTTTCACGAATAGGCAGTCTCGTCTGAGGACTAAATAAATAAATATTTAGGACATTTTTACACAACATTCTCTAGCCCCAAAGCTCTAGCCTAAGCAACGCTTGTACTATGGGTACTATTGACTGATAAACATACTTAAAGATACAATTTTTTTGTAAATAAATACATAATATACGTATACAAACACCCAGACACAAGAAAAACATATGTTCATCGCACAACGTTGTTCTAGTAGTTGTGATCGAACCCACGCCCTCTGGCGCAGGAGACAGGTACACTACCCATTACACCATTCGGGTCGTCAAAGTACACCACAACTTCACAGAACACCGACGTGAAGTGAGTTTTTCCGTTTCATCTGATGTGAGGTAATGGGGCCCAATTTTTAACATGTTAGCCACTCGCTCGTCACACTCCTAAGCAGTTTTACGAGTAGATGTCCATAGATGGATGGGACACTGCCTACTAACTTGGCAACATCTCAGATATAGAAAAACTTCAAAAGAATTGGATTGCTCATTTGTGCAAGCGGTTCTCCTGTGTAACCGCCGCCATGCATACATCTGATGTCTCTAGTTGAAGCTACAGGTGTTTTACCGACCACTGACAGTAAGCTGCAGGTTATCTCACCAACCGTTCGTTATCAACTAGAAACAGTTATTTAAACCTTTTATAACTCTACCAAAATAACATACCTCGAGATATCAATCTCGATGACTGCGTGATTTGTAATCTGCCTGTGCATTGCCGTGATTCATATCCCTAGTTTCGTCTGTGGCGTCTGTACACGCTGATTTCAAAGAGCGTATGCACTAAAAAATTTTACAAATTCTGTAATTGATTGATCATAACATAACAGTGTATATCTGTTAATGAAAGTAAACTCGATTTTTTCTAATGGAAAATGTAAATTGAACTGTTAAAGTAAGGATTGTGATTTTTTGGTTTTTACATTTTTTTCTAATACACAGCTTTCCGAAATATCTCGAAAATTTACATATTTTTTAATATTAATACAACAATATTACTTTTGTTTCATTTTATTCTAAATATTTAATTAATACTTAATATAAACGCGTATTTGAGTAAATTTAAATTTCAACAGAAATGAAAAAAAAAAAAAACTTATATGTAGACAAAAGATCCAGTACTTAAGATAGCAGCACTAAAGGCATATTCAAACTGTTATTCTCTCCTAACCAAGCATATTTTCTATTTAAAAATTGTCCTTTCAATTTCAATAACGTTCAAATTATTTTATTTTTGTGACAAAAATATTGTGTATTTAGCAAAAACTTTCAAGTGTTTTGAAAGTTTCTTTCAAAATATTTTGTCACGTTCATATATTAGCGTTGTATCGTTGCCAAAAATAACTTTTTATGACTTCATTGGTCATTCATTATCGCTCTAAAGCCCTTTTCATATCAGATAAGCTTGCCGAGACGACGCGATAACGGTCACTGCATGACGCCTAAATAGCTCTACTTCTATTTTTCCATAAAAACTCTTTGCGAGTAGACCACATCATGTGGTAGTTGGCGGGGCGTTTTAAAAGAATATATGAACAGTCGCTATGTAGTGCTCCAGCTTTTTTAATTTGTTGACAAGAAAACAGTTCGTTTCGTGTGTACGTTCAAATGTTGTTTGAAAATATGGCGTACGAATTGCCGAGAATGTCGAAATGTTGCTGCTGCCTGAGTTTGCGGACCGGTTCTCTTATAATCGGATATGTGTCAGTTGTGAGTACGCAATTATAAAGCTATGGGTCCATATTGAAACCAAGAATATAATTTTCAATCGACTTCAAAAAAGTAGGTGATTCTCAATTCGACTGTATTTTTTTAATGTTTGTTGACCTCAGAACTTTCGACCTAGGGAACCAACCGATTTTGATGATTCTTTTTTTAATTGAAAGCTGGTGCTTCCCATGTGGTCTCATATTAATTTCATTGGTATTGGATCCCGGGCTCTGGAGATACTTAGGGATCTCCTGAAAAATCAATTATAAAATGAATACAGAGCGAGATATTTGAAGTCGGTTTTGTTTTTCGTTAATAAAAAAATGGTTTTATTGATGCCTTGTGTTTATTTTTACTTATAACACGTCTATAAAAATTATAAGCTATCAGAAAAATTAAAACCGAGTTTCTTTTTTCACAGGATAATTGTTTCGTTGAGAATATCGTTTTTTTTTTTTCATAAACTCATTCCGAATATATTAATATAGGCTGAAATATATGTATAGGCTGAAATTCTAAACTATATAATAATTATATTACACCAATTACACTAGCCTTACCCACCTTAAGATTTGAAACTTCAACACATGTTCTGTGAGAACACAAATTCTAAGTTAGGGAAATAGTTTTAAACAATGCTAGCAAAAAAAAGACCCTGATTATTAAAACAGCGCCATTGAAAATACTACCAAGGATGATGACTGTGTCCTATGGATTTTTCATAGAAATATATAACAGTCATTAAAAATAGGTCATCAGTCATTTTTATAAGAGTTATGAAACGCATAGTTTCAAAGTGAAAGTCAGAATTTATTTATTCAATATAGGCTTAATTTAAGCTCTTATTGAACGTAAAAAAAACTACTACCGGAATAGACCTGAACAGAGAACAGCCGGCAAGAAACTCTACGGTCTTGTTATCTCTTTTTTTTGTTTGTTAATACATTAAGATATTGGTTCTTATAATAGTATGTTATCAATTTATAATTGTATTCTTTGATTTTTATTTACACGATTAGCTTATTGTGTCTTATATTAATCATATGATATTAATCTGTTTAATATACACAGAGCAATAGAGACTACTCAAGTTCATTTTATGATCAGAGACGCATGCAGGTATAAAATTGACAGAGATAACTGTTTTCCAGGTAATGGCCTCCTGTTTCATCGCAATTGTGTCTTGGTCGCTTCAGAAAGTGGTGACTTTCGTCAATTCCAAAGACAGCAATATCAACCAAGAGCACACTTCCGAGGAGATGGCTCAGGTCGCGTTGGGCGTTTACATATCCCACGCCTACTTCCTTGTGGTGCTGCTGTATTACCTCGTGATCAGTGTACTTCTCTTAGTCGGCGTGCATATGGTAAGGTTAAAGGGCTGTTATTTTTAATTCAGAAGACTGTTAACCCGATGTTAAATAAATACCGCCGCCCGTGGCATCTACACCACCCGCACATGCGTTGACAACCTTAAAGTGGGCACCAGTACCCCACTCATTAGGCGATACGCGAAATTTTAATACTTCCACTTCGCTGTGAGGCCCTGGTACCCCGGAAGCGCCTGCCCATTCATGCAACAGAAGAAGCTATCGCGTGGCCGTACCACAGTGAAAATGTGGTTCGGATTTTAAGTGCGTTAAGCATGTATCACATCTGTAGGGTTACAGATGCGGATTACCAACATTTAGAAGAGTTGGCATTGAAATATGTAGAAAGAGTACGAAAAGATTGTCGCCGCTGTGGGAATCGAACCCACGTCTTCGGCATTCGCGGCCTTGGTGGTTAAAGCGTCTAACCACCAAGCTAAATGGCTGATTGCCACACCGACGAAAATCTTAACGTGTTTTATCTACATTGTTTTGTAGCATTTGAAGCAATGCTTGGCGCATCCATTGTTATATCCTTTCCAGCATACAAACTAATATAGCATAAAAATTAGGCATCTTAGTCACGAGACAAAACGCAAAAATATAATTATGGAAATAGAAATGTATTTCCAGTTCTCATGCTAAGACCAAGGGCGAGGGCGCAATACGTAGTGCCTGTAACAGATAAAGCTGCTAGTTGTTCCTATCACAGAATAAATAAACTAGAAGTTTTGTGATAGTTGTACACTTATACATAATTTTTATACACAACTTTCACCACCAGCCAATTCATGTATACTCTTGGAAATGTTAGGTGGCCCTCTGGCCACAGACCATAGCTTGATAAAAACGAATTCCTGTTTTCGTCAAAGCTTAGACAAAAAATGTTTATATGGATGTAATGACCTAAAATAAAAATACAATTTAAGGACAATGACAATAATGTAACAAAAAATATATGCGGTCGAATTGAGAAACCTCCTCCTTTTTTGAAGTCGGTTAAAAAATCAAGAAAATAATAGACAAAAATAAACTATACAGCGTGTCGTTACCATCGCGTAAATGAACACACGTCTAACGCTACTTGCCAATAATCAAAAAAAATATTAACGTTAAACAAAATCCATAATTAAAAAAAATATTTTTCAAACAAACTAATTAAGTAAAAAAGAAACAAAATTTTGTAACATCCTATACAACTCGCGCCACAGCGTCACATTACAAGCCTCCCCTTCTAACAGTATGTTTTGTCTCTTTTAAATTCATTCAACCCATTCATATGCTTTGTGACCTTTACAAATGAACTTTACGTTACGTTTTTATAGGTAAGGTGTTCTAAAATTCTTTTATTTTGGAAAATTTAATGACTCTGTAAATATTGATGTTTAAAGAATTTAAATGTTTAATACAACTTTAAAAAGTTATCCCCTATATGTGTGTTCATTTATTGTCGCGATGGTAACGACACGCTGTATAGACAAGTAATAACCAGTGACAAATAACATTTTTAAAGGGCAAACCCAGCATAATATCGTGATACTCAGGGATACTTCGAATCTGGTCTTCCGTAGACGCTTAAATACATAATGTACCATCTTTTTCTTTTGGGTTGGCAAACCTTGTGAACAATGTTGTTAAGGATATTGAAAAGGTTTTTTACGACTGGCCTCACGTTCATCTTTTTTTGGCAACCTAGATGCGGGAAATGATTTAATTATTACGTGTCGCTCGCACAAATGCTTATCCCGTGTGGAAATCTAACCCACGACTCTCGGTCTCGAAGTCGATGGCTCAGCAACAGCACCAACACGAATACATATTGCTCCGTCTGAGTTTTAATTAATAAGTAATTTAAAAGTTTTTCTAGGATTAATTTTAGTGCGAGTCTCTGCACTCAAGACGAAACTCTAAAATGTCTTTAAAAACTTTACTGCGACATCACTCGTTATAAATGTTCATCGTTTGGATATTCCTTGTAAGGTATTGCATGCTGTAAGGATGCACACTAGATGATGGCGCCATCATTCAGTTGACGCATTACAAATTAAACAATAAAAAAGAACATAGATAGATATCGAGATTTTCACGACGTAAGATCTCGGCCCCTTAGCTTAATTGATAAAGCGTCTGTGTTCGAAACGCAAGTTTTTATTCAATTATTTAAAAAATAACAATTTATAATTTACATGAATTTTATCAGTGTCAAAAATATAACTGGTATTTACTTTCCAGAACAAAACAAAATACATGAGGTATTATTTTATGGCCGGTCTATTCCTTCTGGCGCTGGCGTTAGCTCTGGTCGTAGTGACGACCATCTTTTTCGGATTACTGGCGACCATTCCGCTGTTAAAATGGAGCGGTAAGGAACATAGAGAGATTTACTGTGTATTAATGTTCATACGTTTGGCAAACGTGAAACCAACTGTTGTACAAAATTCGAGCAACTTATATGTATATAGTAAAAGAAGCAGAAAAAAATATTATCTGATTTGTATAGATTCATAGAGGTAACAACCTAGCACAAAAGTTTTTATATAAAAATAGAACAAATTATAATTCTTACATTCTTAAATTTTACGTAACCTGATTTTGATGATAACTGACATTTAACTCAGTTAACAGTACCAGTTTTATTTACTTATTTATTTACTTAAATTGCACCATTAGAGTAAAACCAAAACACAAGCTTGATGTCACCGCAATTCACATTCACTAAACAACATTCAAAATCAGCACAGCACTACAAATTAATTACTTACAAATTAATTGCTAAATAAAATTACCAATCTATACAGATAAATAAAAGAGTGTCTGTTTGTAATATTAAAATAACCGCTTTTTACTAAATGTTTTGTCTGTCTGTCTATCTGTTTGTGGCGGTTAATCTTTGAAACGGCTGGACCGATTTGGACGGGACTTTCACTGACATATAGCTCATGTAATAAGGAGTAACTTAGGCTACTTTTATTTTAGATTTTTTTATTTTAAATTCCACGCGGATGAGGTCGCGGGCGCAGCTAGTACGAAATAAAATGAATCATTGCAATAACAATATTGGATAGTAAACAATAAAAATAGAAATAGTATCCCCATGTTTATGTTCATCTTCTCTTTTCAAATTGATCATATCTTTCACTCATTACCTATTTGTTTTACTAGGATAAATACAATAATAATACAGCCTATTAAAACCAATTTACTTAATGATGTAAATAATGTTGTCAGTATACTTTTAATATATTAGGCTAACTACTTTTGCTGTGAAATGCATTAACAAAGTTCTCTGTGCACAGCTTGCAATACAGTAGATGTGTGTCATACGAATATATAAATGGAATGCGTAAGAAATGAAACTTTTCGAAGAATTAGTAGAATTACTCAGTGACATTTCCATCAAATTGTTATCTACCTAATAAGCTCCTTCTGATATCTCCTAGAAAGCGGTAATATTAGCCATACTTAGTTTTTGTTACAGACAATTAAATTAATTTATTGTAAGAGAGCGTATTTGGACTCTCTTAAAATAAATTTATTTGTGTTCACTCACTTCGTTAAGCGACATAATTCCGTCTATAAATAAATAAAACCAGCTAAGTGGGAGTCCTACTCGCGCACAAAGGATTCCGTAGATACTATTATCATTAAAAACGAAAAAAATCATGTCTGTTGTATGGGAGCCCCACTTAAACATTTTTTTATTCTGTTTTTAAGTACCGTATCTTTTGTTGTTATACGACAACAGAAAAACATCATTTGTGAAAATTTCAACCGTCTAACTATCACGGTTCATAAGATACAGCCTGGTGACAGACGGACAGATAAACAGACGGACACGCAGACAGACAGCGAGTCTTAGTAATAGGGTCCCGTTTTACCCTTTGGGTACGACGGCGGCTAATTCTTGTCCTTGTAACTATTATCTTTTAATTACAAATCGCTATAATTTGACTTTACCTTTCAGTGATACTATTCTACTGCCTGATCATTGTACGAAGCACATATTTGGAAATTGAGGAACAAAACAAGCCTCGAGTGTACGAAATGCAGCTGCTGTAGATTTACCAACAACATTAATCGTCACGACGATTATTGCATCTATAATATTTAAAAAAAAACATTAACTAATAAATGTGGATTTTACTGTGATTGCGTTTCATTGTTGAATGTAAACAATTCTTTTTACTTTGTTCATATGGTTGTGTACTCCAAAAGCAAAAAAATAAAAAAGATTTATTGATATCTTTATTTTGTCTTTATATTTCTTTTAATTATTTTTTAAATAATTCTACGACTAGCGACAACGCATCTACACGTTAGTACTTCATATTTGTCTACTATAGGCTCCAGACAAATTCTAATAAATATAATTTAAGAACATTAGAATTCTGTTTTATAAGTAAATATTATAGAATTCAAATAAGTTATCATCGTTGGGACATTCTGACGATAACATACAACTCTGGTATCTTATGTGAAATTGTTTTATAAATCTCACGATTTTGATTAAATTAAGTAACTTCTACTATCCAATACTATCCCCGACTAGATGTAGTGACGACCTGTGCAAGTGTGCGGGAAGTCAATGGATGTAGGTGGCTCGTGGCCTAGGATCGTGCTTCGTGACAGTCTGTATGGGAGGGCTATGTTCAGCAGTTAACTCAAATTGGCTGTAATGACCTGAGTTCAATCTCCGGTGCCGGCGATAATGTAAATTGTAACTTTAAGTGCTGACTTATCGCGTGCTCAGCGGTGAAGGAAAACAACGTGAAAAAACCTGCATATCTTCAAATTAATAACAAAAAATATTTTGAAGATAGGTGTCCGCCAATCCGCAGTTGGGCCGCGTGGTGTACTATGCCCTCATATAAACTGTACAGAGAAAGCCTTTGCCCAGCAGTGGGACATATATTGACTGTTACTTACGATTATGGTTGAATCCTGACACATTATGTTGATATTGCATTTAACGTTAAGCATGTGATATCCATTACATATTTTAAATAACGAACTATTTTTGTGGAGGTTTGTGCAAGCTGAGTGTTAAAGATTTTAATATATATTATTTTTTGTTTGTATTATTTAGGCTATTATATATAGCTAGCTATCCTTTGCCTACGTGCGATATCCGTCTGGTTAGGGGTGACGAAAACAACGACATTTTTATTATCATCATTATATAGTCAATACATTTTGATCCAATATAAAATAAAATATTCACTATCGAAATCGTATCAAAAAACAGCCTGTGGTGGGCCTAATAAGAAAAATAAGTATTCATTTATTATATTTAATCATCTGTTTCCAAGATACACATTTAGATTTTATTTTTCACTTTTTTGCAAATGTCGTAAATGCAACACTAATCACAGTAATTCAGTTCCATTAGATATGTCTTATTTCAGTATATATGTCTTATCTATGTTCAGCTCAGTCTGTGATGCCAGCTTAAGTCAAATGTTAATTGTCAACTATAACCATCAAAATCTATTGCAAGATTGCAAGCCAAATTGAATTGGATTTGCCAGCATTTTTTGCAGATTTTTCTCTACATATAAATATACTATATATTTATCAAATATAATATATTTTTCAGATTCATTGTTACATACTGCTAGTTTATTTTCAAAAAGTTGTTGCCGGCAGGTACTAACAATGAACAAATAATAAAAATCATTAGAATCACTTTTGTTATAGACATATTGTATTTACTGAATAAGCGTAAAAAATGTCCAGTAAATATCATCAATCCGCCCAATTAACTGCGCAAAACCAGGTCTGTGATATATATTTATTTGGCGTTATCTCTTAATTCAACTCATACACGTATACCTGAATTATTGTTTTATTATCGTTATCAATTTCAGCTAGTACAATGGATAAACGAAGCAGGAATGTCAGAAGGCAACAAAAAGGCGAATTTGTTAAGAAAAATCGTGGAAGTTATGATACATCAAGCACCACAAACAATACCCCTTTACATGGAGAATGTTTTAAGTTTTGTTAGTGACAAATCGACGGAAGTCAAAAAACAAGTTATTGCTTTTATTGAGGAATTGAGGTAAGAAATATTACGGATATATTCCTCAACAAATCCTAGAGAGCCATAGCCTTGATTTGTCTAGAGAACTACCAGTTATTTACAAATTAGATATTGTGTTTGTCATTAAAAAAAAAAAACAATGTAATAAATTAAATATTTATTAATATAATTAATTAATTGTATCATGTAATTTCAATTTTAGCAAAAAATATCCAGAGCATTTGCCAAAAATCATTGCACAATTACAGCTACTTGTAATAGATACAGTGATAGCTGTGCAAAAACGTGCAATACAGGCAGCCAGTATAGTATATCGCAATGTCCTAATATGGCTGTGTAGAAGCCAAACGGAGGTGGCAGAAATGCAATATGTTTGGGAGCATCTAACAAAGTTAAAGGTTTGTGAGATTGTTTTGACATCAAAAAAGATTAGTGTCAGTCTAATGAAGATATTAGAAGTAACTAGCTGCTGCCCGCGACTACGTCTGCGTAGAGAGGTGAAAATTTAGGGATGTATGTAGTTTTGTATGCTGTGTCATAAAAAAATAAAAACAAAAAATTTCGCCTAAAAAATAAAAAAAAAATTTAGGGGTGGACTACCCTTAACATTTAGGGGGATGAAAAATAGATGTTGGCCGATGCTCCACCCCGGCCGACAATCATGCTAAGGATCACAAAAATCGGTCGAGCCGTTTCGGAGGAGTTCAAGTTCCAACCCTGTGACACGAGAATTTTATATATTACATGGATGATGTTACAAAATTGGAAAGTCTTACTAAAGTCTAAATAAAAAAAAAATTATTATCTATTTATGTTCTCAAAGATTTGCAAGTAAAATGTGTTAGTAACCAAGTTGAGAAGTGAATATTATCTTATTATCTTTCACTAAATAAATAAGTTGTGATCTGGCAGTAATGTCGACATTTTTTATGAAGTTGTTGAGCTTGTTTTTTCACAACTGTCTCCAATTTTTTTCATTGCTTGTGTAACTAAATGTAATGTATTTTCACAATCATGGCACAGTCATGGGCAATTTCACTAATAATAAATCATTTAGAAGCAACTCACAGATAATTGTATTGGATCTAGGTGTTTGTACACAAGAAATTTATGTATGTAAAGCATCCTTACAACACAGGATAATGTTATCCTACAGTAAGGGGGCAATGTTTTTGAAGAGGAACTACAATAGATCTTCTAGGTCACAGGGGTTGTTGGGACTTACTAACCAACCAAAATCGCAATAATAGAAAATATCTCTGACTTGTATATTAGTTTACTTTGGATCATCATCATCATCAGCCACAAGACATCCACTGTTGAACATAGGACTCCCCTTTAGAATGCCACAACAAACTTTGGTCAATTTTCCCAAAATTTTATCCCTTGTGAGAATTGATTCGACACAATGGCAAGCAATGGCATTTGAGGAGCTAACTAATTAAATATTTATGTGATCAATGCAGTCAAGTATGTTTTGTGTTTCAGTTGCTGATATTGAACATGATCGACAGTGAAAATGAAGGAATCCGGACCCACTCAATAAAGTTCTTGGAAGAAGTGGTCCTACTGCAAAGCTCAAGTGAGGGGTCAGATGAAGAATTCTGTCTGGATAGTATACCTACCCATTTGCCTTTTTTGAAAAGGCGAACACTTGAAGAAGAATCTGAGTAAGTTTCTTTTGTACATCTCAGAAATTTTATGAAAATAAAGAAAAATATTACGCTTTATCCATATTCTGTGTATGTCAGAATTTTATTTATTTAAAACATATAAATGGTGTGTTAATTTTTGTTGAACAATAAATAAGTAGTAAATTATAAAGTAAGTAAAGTATTTAATATTAATAGGTATATTACTAGTGAAATAAAACTATTTTATGGATTTCATCAACCCTGGGTACAGGTCTGTCCCATATTGTCTGACACATATGTAACTGTGGGTGCCCCCCTTTTGGCAGCGCATTTGCAACTTATTACTTTAGCTATCACTTAACAACAGGTGAACCGCCATCTCATTTGCCACTTATCACATAAAAGAAAACCTACAATTTCATACAAGATGATAAGTATATGGACAAAATTATTATTTATCACTCACAGTTATTTTTAAATGAGCCGTGATAGCTCAGTGTCCGGGCGCTCGTCTTTAATTCAATATATACTCGAGCAACCTGAGTTCGATCCCCGGTGCCGGCCCCAATGAAGTTTTTAACTTTAAATGCTGAATTGTCACGTGCTCCGCGGTGAAGGAAAACATCGTGAGGAAACCTGCATATTTTCGAAATAATAACAAAAAAAATATGTATTTCGAAGATATGTGAAGTCCGCCAATCCGCAGTGGGGCCGCGTGGTGGACTATGCCCTGATACCCTCTGTATAGAGGAGGCCTTTGCCTAGCAGTGGGACATGTATAGTCTGTTACTTTACTTTACTTTTTATTTTAAAATACAACACATGTATGTATGCATAATTTAAATTCTGCAAAACTCTTTCCAACCTTATCAGGCACATCTTCGAGCTGCTGGTGAAGTTCCACAACTCTCAGCATATATCCAGCGTCAATTTGATGGCGTGCATGACGACGCTGTGCCTCCTGGCGAAATTCCGCCCCAAGTATATGCCCCGCGTGATACAAGCGTTGGGCGATCTCCACACCACACTGCCGCCCACGCTCTCCCAGTCTCAGGTCAACTCCGTACGGAAACACCTCAAGATGCTCGTGCTGAACCTGATAAAGCATCCATCCTCGAACGACATGATGCCGCACCTAACCCAGCTGCTGTCCGACATCGGAATGACCGCGCAGGAGATCCACAAGGCCGTGCCAAAAGAGAAGAGGAACAAGCGCCTGAACGAGATAAGGGGCGACGACGGCCCGGCGAAGAGGTTCAGGATCGACTCCCCGCAGAGCAACAGCCAGGGTAGCGATAGCAACAGCCGCGGTGAGTTCGTGTACGACGACGAGAACAGCCAGCACAGCGTGACGAAGCCGACGCCCACCGAAGACTCGATATACGAGGGGCTGAACAGCGTAGAGAACGTCATCGGCCTAGTGACCACAACCCTCGTCAACCACCTGCCGAACAGCATGCCCGGTGGCTTCGCGGCGGCATACAAACCCATCCCCAACTCGGGCACCAACACCCAGAAGAGGAACCTTGCGAAGATGCTGCTCGCTCTCATCAGGGATGAACCCACCCCGACACCGACAGCAATACCGCCGCCAGCGGCTCCATCCACACTGTCCGACGTGTCAACCAAAATACCTCTGTTAAGAGACGACGACGAGAAAGTGACGCTGAAGAACGCGGTAGCAAAGCTACAGGAGTCTACCAAAGAGAGGCAGATCGAGAGCGCGGTCTCCAAACTGATGGAGGAAACGAGACAGGAGCATTTGAAGGAGGAGGAAAGGAGGAACAGGGACAAAGAGAAGTTGGTGCCGCCGCCAACGCCGACGATCCCGAAGCTGAAGCACAGGGTGAAGCTGTTGAAACTGCAGGAGCTCACGCGGCCCATACCGAAGGAGATAAAGGAGAAGCTGATGCTGCAAGCCGTCGAGAGGATACTGAGGGCCGAGCAGGACTGCTCAATCGGGGGCGCGGCCCAAATCCGCACCAAGTTCATCACGATCTTCGCTTCGAGCTACACGAGCGAGATCCGGGACCTGGTGCTGAACTACATCCTGGAGGAGCCGGTCAACAGGATCGACCTGGCACTCTCCTGGCTGTACGAGGAGTACGCAATAATGCAGGGCTTCAATCGGCAACCGGCCACGCCGAAGAACATTCACGAGAAACACGGCCAGAACTACAACCAGCTCCTATGCGCGCTCGTCACTCACATCTGCGAGAGCGGCGAGCCCAATATAGAGAATAATAAGGACGTCCTGCTGCGGAAGGTCTACTTGGAGTCGCCGGTGGTGACCGAGGAGGCGGTGGACTACTTGAAGTACCTCGTCACGGAAGACAAGGTGGCGCTGCTGGCGCTGGACCTGCTGGAGGAGCTCTGCATCATGAGGCCGCCGAGGGCACATAAATATGTGCCCTCCCTGGTCCTCCATGTCTGTAAGTGTTTTACGATCTTTGTTAATGATTCAACTAAAGGCCCATTTACACGATGCCATTTTCTTGTACATACAAGAGCAATAATTGAATGCAATAAATTGCGCGCAATAATTGTTAAGACCATTTGTTGTTTAGACTATGCAACTCATTTATTGCTTCAATTTAATTGTATACAACAGGCAAGAAACTGGCACCGTGTAAATGGGCCTTAATTGTTTTAGGGGGAGTTACGGGATAGATTATCCAAAGTCACTGATTCACAATTTAGCACGTTTATTGCACATTAACCACTTATTATTTAATAATTATACAGGGCACATATTAAACTGTCGATACCTGGACGGAAGAGAGCGAATGAACGAAATGAACATATTTATTATGAATGAGATGAATGAATAATAAACAATCGTATTTTATCGTTGTTTTTAGGCGTTTAATAACCTTAAAGCGATTCCCCTGTCATATATATAACACTATCTTTTCGCTCGCGGCTACGCTCGCGTTGAAGCCCTTAAATAAATATTCAGTTAAATAAATTTCAACCCTTCATAACACTAGTTTACAAGTAAAAATTTGCCTATGTCCTTTCTCGGGCTCTAGAGTCTATCTGAGTACCAAATTTCATTTAAATCGGGTCAGTAGTTTTCGAGTGAAAGCGAGACAGACAGACAGACTTACTTTCGCATTTATAATATTACAGTATGGATATCAAGAAAGTCTCGCTAAAATTGAGTAGCGTGCATTCTTTACTCCTATGGCTTTCTCACTTAATTTCTGACACGCAAAAGTTTCCGGATATTGAGCGTATTGCCTGGGACAGCACACCGCTTCATAGAGCGCCGCTTCGAAGTAGTGCTTATACTAAAAATTACATTAAAGAGGATACCTACGGAGTTTCGATTGCTTCCTCTCTGTTAGAGAAATCTCATTACGAAACGGTGGTAGATGGTGGTTTAAAAAATGACTATCGGCAGATGAAATGTATATTTCTTACTTCGATGCTTCGATGAAAAAAGTATCAGCCTATACATGTCCCACTGCTGGGCATAGGCCTCTGTACAGAGGGCATCAGGGCATAGCCCACCACGCGGCCCCACTGCGGATTGGGGGACTTCGATGAATAAAATATTTGATTTGATACTTTTTAATATCGTCTGGCCAGTACTTGACTACACCTCGCCAGATACGTAAATATACAATAATTATAGATCAACCGATGTTACTGAGCTACTGCGTTAACGCTAGCCCAGTGACATCGGGCTAACGGCCCGCTAGCTTGCCACACCTGTAAATCTGAAGGTCGGCACTGATCGGTAACCGTTGACCGGTTTCCTGCCACACTCGTAAATCTAAAGAGCGAACAGATCGGTGACGGTTGACCGGTTTCCTGCCACACTCATCTGAACAGCGAAACCGATCGGTAACCGTGCCGGCTTCCAGTGAACGAGAGCGAGGAGATCCGCGAGGTGGCGCTGCGTGCATGCGCCAGGGTCCACCGGCTGGCGACGGAAGCGGCCAAGCGCGTCATGGAGAAGCACGCGCTGGTCCAGCTCGGCTTCATGCAGCTGCCTTCGCCGCCGCCCGAGCTGGGCCAGGGCCCAGCGTGGACCGACCACGCGTACAAGCTCTGCCTCGGCCTGGTGATGGCCCTGTTCCCGCAGAACGAAGGTTGCACTTGCACTAGATGCGAATTGTTCTTCCAATGCTTTTTTTTGACAACCTTTTGAATTTGAACCAAAATTGGGCTCCGGCTACCTCACTCACCGGACGAAACGCGAAAGTATTGTAATTCCACTTTATGCCGGTTTTCTGTGAGGTCGTGGTACTTACCCGGACGAGCCTGCCCATTCGTGCAACAGACGAGGCTGCTGCGTGGCCTCACCACCGTAAACTTCGACCTTAGACTTCGTACAAGGTTGCGTTAAACGTTTAACGCCACCGTGGAGGGGGGTATGGAAGCACTATTGCGTTGAACGTTCAACGCTCCTATGTAGGGGGAATAGAAAGAGACAGAGCGAGAGTGAATGCGTGGAAGTTTTGGCAGTGGATGGAATGAATCCAATAAATATGGAGGTTGTCAAGCGAACTGGACGGTTAACCTGATGTTAAGTGATTACCGCCGCCCTGTACTAAGGACATGGGGATGTGTAGATGCGTAGTTACCTCCTTTTAAGAACTAGGCCCCGTTTGTCTCACTCACCAGACAAAACACGAAAGTTTATTACTTCCATTTCACACTGGTTGATTTTCCATTTTTTTGAAATATCCAAATTGATGCATTAATAACCGAGTTGTGAGGTTTACAATTATTAAAAAAAAAACACCTTTTTAGAAATCAGTGGAAAAGAGGTTTTTTTCCCTTTTTTTGGCGATTTTAAATGAATACGCCACTAAACACTGTCAGTTCTCAAACACTGTTAAATATTATAGAACATAGGTAAACGAGCTAAATTAATATTATATTAATTCTGCATCACTTCAAAGGGAAAAGGAAAATATTCAAAATTCCGATAAAACACTCGTGCAAATCACGGTTTCCAGAGCTGATAGTGGAGGTGGCCCGCGTGTACGGCTGCTCGGGCGCGGAGGCGAAGCGCTGCGTGCTGCGCTGCACCGAGGGCCCGCTGCGGGCCGCCGCCGCGGCGCCCCTGCCGCCCCCTGCCCCCGACGGGGGCGGAGCGCCCCCCGCCGGCGCCCTCCGGCCCGCATTCGTGGCGCTCCTCGACGAGTGCCCCAGGGGGGCGGAGACGCTGCTGACGCGTCTGGTCCACATCCTCACGGAGAAAGGTGAACGGATACCTCTCATCGCCACCAATCAAGTTTAACACAAAGTTTAACGGCCGGTTTCAACATTCCATCTACAGATAGATCTACTGCCGATAGCTATCTTGACGTTTGCTCAATTCAAAATTCTATCGCCACTAACCAAATCTATCCGTAGATTGATTGTTGAAACCGACCGTTGGTAAATAGATTAAATTACTGATTGTTTTTGTTTCTACCAAAAGAGTTTGTTACGTTCGTTTGGTAGAAATAGAAACAATCAGTAATCTAATATATATATCATCGAAATCTCGGAAACGGCTCCAGCGATTTTCATGAAATTTAGTATGTGTGTAGATTCGGGGGCGAAAAATCGATCTAGCTAGGTTTCATTTTTAGAAAATGCCCTTTTATCCCTGTTTTCAGGGAATGAAACATATCATTCGAATATGACGTTAAATTTCACATTTACACTTATTTTTTTTACTTTTTTACCTATACCAGATCATTGCTTTCTTGATTTTTTATTTTATAATTTCCAAAATACACGATTTACCAAAAAAACCTCCAGGTCCTCCAGGTACTTTAATTTAATGCTACACATTAAGCTAAAGTTTAAATTGGGCGGACTTAATGTCTGACAGCATTCTCTACCAGTCAATCTTTGTATTAGTAGAAGATCCGAACCTAAATCGACCTTAACCAAGCTGATAATAGAATAAAATTTATTTTATAATAAATTTAGTATATTAGAAAATATATTAAAAATGGGATCCAAATTTTTTAAAAAAATGATTTTTCATGAAATGTTGCAACATCAAGATAATAAGAAAATATTATCCTGACTTGCAATATAAAACATATAGAATGTGCAGCCGTTGGTTTGTCTACTATTTACCTGGACAAACTACTGGGTTGCCAGGTGTAAACAGGTATGTCGGTATCAGTTACTTTCACTGATTGGATAATAGAAAAAAATTTATATCAACATAAGCACTGTTTTGTGTGCTGGGTTGTGTGCGAAAAATTCGGTCTCAATAAAGGTTTCCGAATTTTAATGATTTTAATTTCAACGCGTGTGGAAATTAAATAAAAACCTATTCATGAATAATGTAGTATCTGTTTTTTTTTTATTTAAAAAAAATTGACTTGAAATTGTATTATGAGAAGACGAGTATGAAAAGATATCCTAATAATGGACATTGATTTCTGCCATTTGGCACACTTTATATGTTTTGAAGTCCGCCAATCCGCAGTGGGGCCGCGTGGTGGACTATGCCCTGGTACCCTCTGTACAAAGGAGGCCTTTGCCCAGCCGTGGGACAGGTAAAGACTGATACTTTACTTTTACTTTATATGTTTGAAGGCAATAGCAATTCGTTCTCCTTCTGCAGCGCCCCCAAGCCCCGAGTTGGTGTCCAAGGTGCGCGAGTTGTACGCCACGCGGGTGTCCGACGTTCGATTCCTGATACCGGTGCTCAACGGGCTTAGCACCAGGGAGGTAAGCAGAACAACATCAGTTCAGGGCTGCATATATGTCCATGATAAGAAGAAGGGGAGCAGATAACAGACAGATAACATCTGTTCAGGGCTTGCACACAATAACATCAGTTCAGGGCTGCAAATATGTCCATGATAAGAAGAAGGGGAGCAGATAACAGACAAATAACATCTGTTCAGGGCTTGCACACAATAACATCAGTTCAGGGCTGCAAATATGTCCATGATAAGAAGAAGGGGAGCAGATAACAGACAGATAACACTTGTTCAGGGCTTGCACACAATAACATCAGTTCAGGGCTGCAAATATGTCCATGATAAGAAGAAGGGGAGCAGATAACATACAGATAACATCTGTTCAGGGCTTGCACACAATAACATCAGTTCAGGGCTGCAAATATGTCCATGATAAGAAGAAGGGGAGCAGATAACATCTGTTCAGGGCTTGCACACAATAACATCAGTTCAGGGCTGCAAATATGTCCATGATAAGAAGAAGGGGAGCAGATAACAGACAGATAACATCTGTTCAGGGCTTGCACACAATAACATCAGTTCAGGGCTGCAAATATGTCCATGATAAGAAGAAGGGGAGCAGATAACAGACAGATAACATCTGTTCAGGGCTTGCACACAATAACATCAGTTCAGGGCTGCAAATATGTCCATGATAAGAAGAAGGGGAGCAGATAACAGACAGATAACATCTGTTCAGGGCTTGCACACAATAACATCAGTTCAGGGCTGCAAATATGTCCATGATAAGAAGAAGGGGGAGCAGATAACAGACAGATAACATCTGTTCAGGGCTTGCACACAATAACATCAGTTCAGGGCTGCAAATATGTCCATGATAAGAAGAAGGGGAGCAGATAACAGACAGATAACATCTGTTCAGGGCTTGCACACAATAACATCAGTTCAGGGCTGCAAATATGTCCATGATAAGAAGAAGGGGAGCAGATAACAGACAGATAACATCTGTTCAGGGCTTGCACACAATAACATCAGTTCAGGGCTGCAAATATGTCCATGATAAGAAGAAGGGGAGCAGATAACATACAGATAACATCTGTTCAGGGCTTGCACACAATAACATCAGTTCAGGGCTGCAAATATGTCCATGATAAGAAGAAGGGGAGCAGATAACATACAGATAACATCTGTTCAGGGCTTGCACACAATAACATCAGTTCAGGGCTGCAAATATGTCCATGATAAGAAGAAGGGGAGCAGATAACATACAGATAACATCTGTTCAGGGCTTGCACACAATAACATCAGTTCAGGGCTGCAAATATGTCCATGATAAGAAGAAGGGGAGCAGATAACAACAGACAGATATAACATCTGTTCAGGGCTTGCACACAATAACATCAGTTCAGGGCTGCAAATATGTCCATGATAAGAAGAAGGGGAGCAGATAACAGACAGATAACATCTGTTCAGGGCTTGCACACAATAACATCAGTTCAGGGCTGCAAATATGTCCATGATAAGAAGAAGGGAGCAGATAATAGACAGATAACATCTGTTCAGGGCTTGCACACAATAACATCAGTTCAGGGCTGCAAATATGTCCATGATAAGAAGAAGGGGAGCAGATAACAGACAGATAACATCTGTTCAGGGCTTGCACACAATAACATCAGTTCAGGGCTGCAAATATGTCCATGATAAGAAGAAGGGAAGCAGATAACAGACAGAAAACATCTGTTCAGGGCTTGCACACAATAACATCAGTTCAGGGCTGCAAATATGTCCATGATAAGAAGAAGGGGAGCAGATAACAGACAGATAACATCTGTTCAGGGCTTGCACACAATAACATCAGTTCAGGGCTGCAAATATGTCCATGATAAGAAGAAGGGGAAGCAGATAACAGACAGAAAACATCTGTTCAGGGCTTGCACACAATAACATCAGTTCAGGGCTGCAAATATGTCCATGATAAGAAGAAGGGGAGCAGATAACAGACAGATAACATCTGTTCAGGGCTTGCACACAATAACATCAGTTCAGGGCTGCAATATGTCCATGATAAGAAGAAGGGGAGCAGATAACAGACAAATAACATCTGTTCAGGGCTTGCACACAATAACATCAGTTCAGGGCTGCAAATATGTCCATGATAAGAAGAAGGGGAGCAGATAACAGACAGATAACATCTGTTCAGGGCTTGCACACAATAACATCAGTTCAGGGCTGCAAATATGTCCATGATAAGAAGAAGGGGAGCAGATAACAGACAGATAACATCTGTTCAGGGCTTGCACACAATAACATCAGTTCAGGGCTGCAAATATGTCCATGATAAGAAGAAGGGGAGCAGATAACAGACAGATAACATCTGTTCAGGGCTTGCACACAATAACATCAGTTCAGGGCTGCAAATATGTCCATGATAAGAAGAAGGGGAGCAGATAACATACAGATAACATCTGTTCAGGGCTTGCACACAATAACATCAGTTCAGGGCTGCAAATATGTCCATGATAAGAAGAAGGGGAGCAGATAACATACAGATAACATCTGTTCAGGGCTTGCACACAATAACATCAGTTCAGGGCTGCAAATATGTCCATGATAAGAAGAAGGGGAGCAGATAATAACAGACACAATAACATCAGGGCTGTATGTCAGGGCTTGCACACAATAACATCAGTTCAGGGCTGCAGGGCTGCAAATATGTCCATGATAAGAAGAAGGGGAGCAGATAACAGACAAATAACATCTGTTCAGGGCTTGCACACAATAACATCAGTTCAGGGCTGCAAATATGTCCATGATAAGAAGAAGGGGAGCAGATAACAGACAGATAACATCTGTTCAGGGCTTGCACACAATAACATCAGTTCAGGGCTGCAAATATGTCCATGATAAGAAGAAGGGGAGCAGATAACATACAGATAACATCTGTTCAGGGCTTGCACACAATGACATCAGTTCAGGGCTGCAAATATGTCCATGATAAGAAGAAGAGAATGTTCATCGCCAATATTTTAAAAAAGTACGCCCCAGTTACCTCACTCACATGAAGAAACGCAAAAATATGACACTCAAACCTGCCACCGTGGAACTTGATTAGCATAGGAACCGTCTTACCTACCTAGCGCTATTACGTCTCACCGAGGGCAATGTTTTAATAGTATAATATGTATTTTGGTATGTCGTATCTCTCCGACGCGCTGTGAAGTCTAAACGTGTACAAGTTGCAGCTGTTTAGTGGAGAAGTAGATGCGTCACATATAACCGAATAAATGCCCATCAAAATGTATATAATAGATGTTTAATAAATGATCAGAATGGCGCTAATGTAGAATGAGAGTAAGAGCTTAAGTTAACAGTAGTAGACAGAGGGAAATTCACTCTTACATTTTTTACAATCCAATAATATGGATTGTAAAAAATGTAAAATATTGTATATATAATATTAGATAATCAATATGAGTGTAGAGCTATGAATAACTTAATTTAGCTAGGCCTTGAGAATTCACGAGTTTTGAGGAAACAGTGCTTTACAGAGCAGATATCCAATCATCTGCCTTTATTTTTCACAAAATTTGCCAAAATTTACTTGTTTGATATGTAGAATTTATCGTGTTAATATTAATCTTGTGTTTTATGGACACTTTACAATGAGATACTTCTTACCTAACAAATTTTAGCATATGAAATTTCATTATTGTCGTTCCATTTTTTTAAATAATATCACCTCTTTGCATGTGTTGTGTTATGTTAATAAAATTTGTAATTGTAAATTAACCCCAGAAATCTCAAAAGTAGAACTCATCTCAAATATGATCATTAAGGAGACAAACATATTTGTTCCAACTTTTATAGTTAAATAACTGTAAATGCTAAAAATGCTTAAGACAGTGCATATAACAATAAGAAATAAATACAAAATCTTGCTTATTAGCCCATCTCAGTAGAGATTTACTAGTTTCCTTCATCACGCCACCAGATTCTCGCTGCGCTGCCGAAACTGATCAAATTGAATCCAGCCGTCGTGAAAGAAGTGTTCAACAAACTCCTCGGACTGCAGAACCCTCATGGAGAACAGCCACCAGGTATGTTTCAGACTAATTTTGCCAGTAGCATAATTGTAAAAAATGGTATAATCAACCATTTCAGTAGTATCATAAACCTTACATTAAATTTGGCATTTTTTAAACCACCATATATTAAATATAATGCATAAGAATAAGCTTCCACGTCTTTTCACACAACAGAAAAATAAATAGTATAAAAAAAAAGTAAAAGTAATCCACAATTAATTCAGTAAGAATATTTAATAAATTCAACACTACTCTTAGAAATCAATGTAATGTATTTATTACTTACTGTCAATGTTTTATTTTCAGTTTTTGTAATTTGTAAGTATTTTTTTCCATTTGGAAAATTTCTTTATTAAAGGTCATGTTTTCATTTATGTAAGCATATTATATTACTACTGCTACGACATATTAGATGTATGTTTTAAACTATAATACTAAAACAGTCCTAATAAAACAAAATTAACAAAAATGTACTGGTTTTTAGCTTTTTTAGGCATTCTGTTCAGAACACAGGTTGGCATGGTTAGAGAGAGGTTCTGATCATGTTTGGAAATTTTTAATCAATATGACTTTAGCTCAATTATTAAATTTGTTTCTCTATCCTATTACAGTCTCTCCGGAAGATCTACTAGTGAGCCTTCATCTCATAGACCCAAACAAAGCTGACCTCAAGTACATTATCAGGGCAACTGCCATTTGCTTCGCCGAAAAGAACATATACACTCAAGATGTAAGTAATATTTCCTTGAAATGCTATGCATTTATTTTATAATGATTTTCATTTCATATGAGAGTTAAAAAAAACCGCTCATTGACAATTGCAACAAACTAAGGGTTGCAGATGCATTGCCACTTTTTAATAATGTGGCTCCCAACTATCACCAGACGAAATGCAAAGTATTACTGTTCCATTTCACACCGGTTTTCTGTGAGATTTTGGTACTTTCTGGAAGGACCTGCCCATTTGTGCAACAGAGAAGACTGTTGCGTGGCCCTACCACAGTTATATTTATTATTATTCTGTTAAGAAAAAGTGTGACATAATCCAAGCAAGATTTGTAAAATCTTGTGTGACAATTAATTTTTGCTTATTACTCATTGCCAGGTTTTGGTTGGTTCTGAAAGGCTGCCTGTGTTTTAGGAGTTCGATTCTTATGAAATCTGTTGATGTTTATACAACATAGACCTATGGTATTGTGGCATTAAACATAGACAAAATGCATGACCGCAAACATAGTTTTAGGGTCATATTAGTATTATTAGTCAGTTTTTGAAATCAACTCGCTAAGTTGGTAGACAGAGGGCTTCCAAATTTTTAAGTAAAGAATCACTTGCTACATCCCCATAGACCAAAGCCATTTGGACCCCACAACATAAGCCTGTGGTAATGTAAATATCGGTGGAGTTCTTTTGACAAAAGTGATTTGCCAATACAAATCCACCTGCGCTGCACCTAAGCTGCATGTAAATAGACAATAACTAGAAAATTCTTCCCTCCACTCAAGATTGTTCAAAAATATGTGCACATATATTTTTAAACATTGCCCTCGGATAACATTATCCTGTGTTGTAAGGACGTTTCACATACATAAATCTCACACGGTCAAACACCCAGATCAGACTTATCTTTGGGTCACACAAACATTTCTCTCGTGTTGGAATCGAACCCACGACCCCTAAGCCAATACCTTGGTGACTGCGCCATGGAGTCACATGAGCGATGACGATAATTGTCACTCGGAACCAGGTGCTATCGGCGGTGCTGCAGCGGCTCGCCGAGGAGTCGGAGATCCCGGTGCTGATGATGCGCAGCGTCCTGCAGGCCCTCACCCTGCACCCGCAACTGGCGCCCCTGGCTCTGCACATCCTCAGGCTGCTCATCGACAAGGAGGTAGTCTTTTCCTCCATGTTTATCTCCCATCAAAAGGAACTTATTAGGGCGGCATCGCATTTGTGAGCCCTCGGGTGTTGCAGGTGTTCATGGGCGGCGGTAATCACTTACCATCAGGTGAGCCTCCTGCTAGTTTGCCCCCTTTTCTACATAAAAAAAAGACTCGTTAACAGCCAACTCATACTAACTACATATAAAGTAACAGCCTATACATGTCCCACTGCTGGGCAAAGGCCTCCTCTATACAGAGGGTATCAGGGCATAGTCCACCACGCGGCCCCACTGCGGATTGGCGGACTTCACATATCTTCGAAAAATATTTTTTTTTTGCTATTATTTCGAAAGTTAAAAACTTCATTGGTGCCGGCTCCGGGGATCGAACTCAGGTTGCTCGAGTATATTTAATTAAAGGCGAGCGCCCGGACACTGAGCTATCACGGCTCTCTAAGTACATATGACATATATATAATAATATGAGTAATAAATATGTAATAATATGACTTACATATTATTACATATTTATTACTCATATTACTACATATTAACTCATCACCAGTAAGCAAATTAAGATCATTCCAGGTAATTGTAAAAGTTAATTGTCAACCTCGATTTTACAAGCGGTATGTAGACAATACTTTCCCAATTTTACCATCAGACAAAGTAAATGCATTTAAAGATCACCTCAATTCCTTGCACACCAAAAGTGTGATTTAATAGTTTTGTTAAATAAAGGGATAACCTAGTAGTAACAGTTTACCATTAAAATGGATTAATTTGTTTGCCTTAGTTAGTTTTGTTTTCATTAGGCTGAAAGGCATGCGCAGGTTAATTAATGCGTTTTTTTATAAAAATATTAATGAGGATTTTCGGAACTAGTTTACAAACACTTAAATAATGGGATATAATAAAAATTAATTCATCACGCGTTAAAAAAAATATTGAATTAAATTGAACATTTGTTTTTCAATTTAATATGGGTACTAATAACTTAGTATGTAGAGCACAGCACCATATTTAAATTTTCCACCATCCGGATTTTTAGAGCCTTTTATGTAAAATATGCAGAAGAAAAACAGGAAATAAATGACTAGAAATCGATACGGGCATAAATTCAAAGAATACTTAACAATCGATAATGACGAACAATGAATTGATTCCTCACTCTAGGTTTCGAATTGGCGATAACCCGAAATCTCTGGAAACTTCTTGGCTATTGAAATTTTATTTTTTAACTTAAAACATATTGATAAAGTCTTCGACAATTGAATCGGCACATCGTATGATTCTAAGCTTTTTTTTTTATGTGAAAAGTTTCCAAACAAGCATACAGTTCACCTAATGTTAAGTGAATACTGCCGCCCATGGACATCTGCTATACCCGAGGGTTACAGATGCGTTGACAACCTTTTGAAAATTGGACTCCGGTTACCTCACTCACCAGAGGAAACGCGAAAGTATTTGTCATACTTCTACTTTACGCTGGTCTTATGCACGGACGGGCCTGCCCATTCGTGCAACAGCCGAGGCTGCGTGGCCCAACCACCGCTATTTCAGTTATATTGGACTTGTTTTTATATTTCAAGATTTTGGGTGAGTGTGCTAAATATTGTTTACCTATATACATTAAACACAAATACAGGGTGGCTTTTCAAAAGGTGCCCAAAATCACACAGGAGGTCCAGACTCTGTAGTATAATCGTTTATTGAAACGAAAACAAACTTTTTTTTTCCCAAAAAAAATTCAATTCTATTCCCTAAAAACAGAACTTGTTGACAATGCGGTAGTCGTTCATAAATGCACCGTATACTTTTGGAACGAACTTGTAAAATAAATGAGTTGGCCACAAATCACGCACTTTTTGAGATAAGTTCAAATGAATGCAATTAATTAATTACGAGTGATTTTAAATATTTATCATTTTTATATAACATTATTTATGTATAGAATTTAATTAAAAAAATGGATACACTTAGAAAAGCCTCCCTGTATATGTATATATGTTTATTTTTTTTTATATATTATGTTTGTGTAAATATATATATTGCGTTTTATGATTTAAGCTTGATTTTTTTTTTCGAATCCATATTGTAAAGCCCTTTCTGTTTTACACCTACAATTTTTCCTAATGCCCCGTGTTTACTGGTATAGAATGTCAATAAGTATTAAGTCCACCCTTTGTAATCCTTTTTATTAAGGTTTTTCAATGAAGAGTAAATCATCACCATCATCATCATCATCATCATTTCAGCCTGTTTGAGTCCACTGCTGAACATAGGCTGCCACGAAGTACGATCCTGAGCCACCTGCATCCATCGACTGAAGAGTAAATAAAGTAATGGAGTTAAAATAATGAAATATTGCATTGTGTTGCAGGTGTGGACGCACAAAGTGGCGTGGGAGGGATGGGTGAAGTGCTGCGAGCGTGTGCAGGCCGGCGGTGGCAACAGTGGCAGCGGTGGCAAAAATACCGGCATCACCGCTTTGCTCCGCGATCTGCCACAGCATGTGCTGGCTTCTCTACCGCCGCAGCTCCGTCAACTCTGCTCGGTTTGAACTCTGTCATTTTCTGCCCTTCTTTCAAATAGGACAAGAAACCAAACAAGTGTGGATGATTTGCTCTATAAGGCTCTCTATGTGAACCTCTTCCTCTTATCGAGTTTCATGATGCTAGTTTAGCAAGAAATATTCTAAGAGTTCTGAGCTAGCCAGTATGTATCATGATATGGTGAATCAATTTGATAAGGCTAAATTACTTGGTTTCAGAAGCAAAGATTTTCTTCTTAACCACCTTTTGGTAGAGTCTACCACACCATTGTACTTAAAATTCTTACTAATTAAGGTGTGAAACTCGAATAAAAAAAAATTAAAAGTGATAGTCTATTGTAATGTTTTTTGTTCACAACTGTGGTAGCGCCACGCAACCTTTTAAACATTAACAAATTTAACTTTCACAACTATTAACAAGGCAAGCTCGTTTGCCACCTTGTCACATTAAAAAAATGTAATGTTATTTAATATTCTTCAGGAGTCTGACTATCCTCAACCCGCTAACTTGTTGGAGCCCCTGCCCCCCGGGATGGAATGACGAATACAGAACAACCCACAAGAAGGTGGCCAACCATTTTGTGGAATTGGACTCAATCCTAGTATGGCACATTTCGGCCATATGTGAACTGTGTACTTGTTATTTAGTTGCTCCGTGTTCTGTTATAAGCATGAAGTGTGACAAATTCATATTACGAATAAAGACATTGTTCACAAATGAGTCGGTTACTGTTAATTAAATAGTACTTTTAACACGCTGATTACAAGTACAATATCTTCAAAATGTAACAACTTAAATTAAAGAGTTAATTATATTTATTAAGGTATGAGCTCATTTTTCTTGCATAGTTTGAAGTTGAATATTTATAATACACAAATAACATAGTGTATACTGATTGTAATTATTGGGCTAAGTGTTTGCTGAGTTGTTAATTAAATATATTTTTATAATCCTATGTTATCTGTACACCCTTTAAGGTTCCTTGAACAAAAACTTCAATGAAAAACATTTGCTTTTAGTAAGACATCAAGTTTACTATAAATATAATAAAATAACATTGTATATGTAGTATAAAATAGTTGTGATTATAATTTGAGATTTCATTTCAGCTTGTAACTTTCTATTTTGGGCGCGATCGCTTTGATAATATTCTCGACGCTGTATGGAGTGTCTGAAAAACAAACAAAAAACAATTCAACAGGCAATTAGTATTGCAATCATATATCTAATTAATTCATTGCACATTAAGTGGCATTTATGTTATTTATTATTTATGTTATGCATAATTATACGTATTAAGACAAGTTTGCAAATAGGACTGTAAACTGTTTTTCTATTTATCCACGATTATACACTGCAATATATTTTTGTGTTTTAAATTGTATTACACAATTATTTTTACATACATTGAAATACCAAAATAAGGGAATAAATTATACTTATTCGCCTTTTTTATAACTGTCAATAAGGCTAAATAGAGGTAAGGAGAACAATCTGTAAAAGTGTCCATCTAGGTGCTAAATTCGGTGGTGCTATGGTAGCGTGTACTAAGCAATGGTGGTAAAATACCAAAATTCAAATGGTAAATAATCATACTCTCCTATAACTCTAGCATTGATTCGAGGGATTGGATATGTTATTTACCGCTTACAGATGGGCACTATTGTAGCTACTACCCCGACCGATAGATACCAGACCCTGAATAATAAAAGTTGTATTTTGTGTGGTATTTCCAACGACCAATGTTATATAGAAAGATGATGTCTTTTATTCGTAAACATTGCCACTTAATGTAGGCCAACATTATCCTGTGTTGTAAATACATTTTACATGCATAAATTTCACGACAACACCCAGATCTGAAACAATCTGTGGGTCATACGAATAGTTGTGTCGTGTGGGAATCGAACCCACGACCCCTGAAGCCAATACCTTGGCAACTGCGCCACGGAGTCATCACATAAGTGTTAGTTCATATTATCAAAATATAAGTAAACGTCTCCATTATTATTATTATCTTATTATCTTCAGACTTACCGATATGTAGCCAATCGGTGTCAACGTAACCAAACTCCTTCCTCGCCTCGAGGATGGCCTCGTGGAGGGCGAAAGTCACTGCCACAGATAACACTAGTGCGGGCTCACCCGTTGCTAAGACAGAGAAACAAGTTTTTAATACAGTAAAAAAATACCAAGACCTATTTATAATAGGCGATATGTTATAATCAACCAGTACATTGTAATATAAAGCTATCGGCTCATTTGTAATGAAATGAGATGAAGATATACATAGATATTTTTTTTTCATAGGTATATGAATACCTGTTATTGTGTTCAAAATCATTCAACTGATTTTAATAAATTTCGCGTTGGACAGATGTCCTTCTTCTGCAATCTTTTTACGCTTGATTCTAAACGAGAGATTTTGTTTTATTTATTTATTCTTGCACACAATATATACAAAAACAGACTTTAGCCATCAGTACTACTCTACTATCTATATTGTGATGGATTTTTTTTTTAAGTAAATCTTAGGATTGTCACATACAACTTGTAAATAAATACCCTTGGAGCGGATCACATAGGATTGTCAAACATACAACTTGTAAATAAATACCTTTGGAGCGGAGCACACCGGCCCTGTTGACGGAATTCCGGCGGAAGCTGACGCGGAAGTCTGCCGGGATGTCCAGGGCCCCCGGCGGCTTGTAGGTCCAAGTGCGGTCCGTCAGCAGACGTCCGGACTTCGAATACATCAGTCGCTCGCTGGTCCATAGCCCGAGGCCCATTATAAAAGCGCCCTCGATCTAAAATCCGCCATTTTTGTTTATAGCTCAACTCATTACATTCGACTTTAAAGGTTCTTAATTCGGTTCAATATTTTTATGTATGTTACCTCAAAACTTCGTTATTTATGAATTGATTTTTAAAATTATTGCTTGCATTAGGTTTAGCAATATTATAATATAAAAATAATTAGGTTCGGCTCTTCTGTTTGTTTCATCGGTACTGGACTTTGGGTTGTAGTAAACATCAGGGAACTCTTCAAGTCATAAAAGCTTTTTAACAAAAAATTTTTAACAGTAACGGTATTAGTAACCGATTGGTTATACTTAAAAAAATTAAATGATGTTTTTTTGATATGCTTCGTTCTCTTTAATCAAAAAATCTCAATAGATGGCATTATCATACATTACATTTTGAATCGAAAGTTTTGTTATGAAAACCTTTACTATATTCTACTTTTCTAATATCGTTAGTAGCGGCAAATAATTATATGATGTGGTGTTTGAATCACTAAATTTTATGAAGAATTATAAGATGTAGCATTCCGACAAAAACAACTTTGAGAAATAATATTAAGAGATTATTTTGGGATATTCAAATTTTGTTCGCCTGGTTTGCTTAAAAAATGTAATAAGCATATAGATACATAAAATACAATATATTAGATAAGTAAGATATGAATAACTACATTATTGTAGCCGTGATAGGTCAGCATCCGGGCGCTCGCTTTCAATTCAATATACTTGAGCAACCTTAGTTCAAATCAAATTGAACTTGTCAATTTAAGTGCTGAATCATCATAAGCTCAGCGGTGAATGAAACAAAACATACAAAGTAAGGAAACCAAAATATTTTAAAATTAACAACAAAAGAATATTTCGAAGATATGTGAAGTACAAAATGTGCAAAAAGTCGATAGATGCAAGTGGCTCAGGATCGTACTTCGTGGAATCCCACGAATAATATGGGACTCCCCAATAGAATGCTATGGGGAGACCAATGTTCAGCAGTGGACTCAAACAGGGTGAAATACCGATGATGATGATGTGAAGTCCGCCAATCTGCAGTGGGGTCGCGTGGTGGACTATGCCCTAATGCCCTCTGTACAGAGGAGGCCTTTGCCCAACAGTGGGATATGTTTAGTTTTACTTTACCTGTCCCACGTCCAGGTTGGGGCTGATGCTCTGTCCGGTGTCTTCCAGGAGATCGAGGCGCGTTAGTTGATGGCGCCCGGTGGCGACATCTAATAGCACCTCGGCACAACATACTCCGAAAACGTCGTAGTTGCGGAGCGCGTCCGCGGATGACGTCATCGAGCTAGTCTGCAGGTTCACGCCTGTAGATGGCGCACGTTACCTTTTTACCGCCATTCGTACGCATGTCTTTTATATGTGTCGTGGCAAGCGAGCGGGCGATTCACCTGACGTTAGGTGATAATCGCCACCCATGGACATTTGCAACACTCGTAGAGTTGCAGACTTCGAATAAAGTATGCCCCGGCTACCTCACTCATCAGACGAAATGCGAAAGTGTAACACATCCACTTCACGCCGGTCTTCTGTGAGGTTTTAGTACTTCCGGACCTGTCCATTCGCGCAACAATGAACACCTGTGTATAGCCCTACCTTATACAACATACTTCGCGTGATAAATATTTTTTATTAATTTACATGCTTGAATGATAACTAAATACATTAATAGATGGCGCCCAGCTCAATAACTACCGAATGCCATAAGTTAAAGTTGTCACTTAAGACGATAAAAACACCAATATTTATGGTTAGGGCGCTGAAATCAATAAATACGGAAAGGCTTATTATAAAATTATCATTAACGATTAACATATTTTTGTTATTGTTTGTTAATGTTTTTCAAAAAAAAAAAAAAACAAATAACATTTGTTTCGGGAATGTTTGCTAGGATGACAAAGGTTTTTTGCAGATATAGAATGCATGCGCCTGACAAGTCTATAACTGTTTCAATCGAGGGTCCAACCAGGATTCGAGAGTTCACAGTCGCGAGGAAATGCTAGTAAGCGTAGAAACTCGTGTCTGCATACGGACCGTTTTCGTGCGCCTTGCTCACGACCTCCTCCCAGGTGGGGCTGGGCAGCTGCCGGCGCGAGGGCTCCAGCCGCCGCAGCAGCTCCTCGCAGGCCTTCAGGGTCGCGAACGCCACGCTCTCGCTGGTTATGCTGCCGCTACTGGCCATCGCGTTCGGCGCCACGAAGCTGTCCGAGCCGCGCACCGCCACTTTGGCCAGGGGAATCCCCAGCTTGTGGGCGCACACCTGAGCAGGGTTGCCAACCGTCCTTCATAATAACGTACGCTACTTTATTTTTGGCAAACGTAGGTACCTGCTTTATACTTTTGCATAAAAACATAAATTATGTGATAATACCGTAATTCAGGACAGTTTTTCACTATCCCTAAATACAATTTTAGGTTTAACATTAAAACATGTAGAAAAAGTACGAAAAGATTGTCGCCGCTGTGGGAATCGAACCCACGTCTTCGGCACTCGCGGCCTGACGCTCTAGCCACTGAGCTAAACCTCTAACAGCCACAGCGACGAAAATATTAAAACACCTTCTTTCTACATTGTTATTTAGCATTTGAAGCAATGCTTGGCGCATCTATTGTTATTTCCTTTCCAGCATACAAATAATTTCGAATATCGTTTTACAACGATAATTCGAATGAGAGATGTCCTACAGGTTTTAATGTTCAATCTTAAGTGCAGAGATTAGCACTATAAAAACCTTTAAAATTTATAATTTTAGGGTCAAAAAACTGTCAAATCTCCAGAAGCACACATAAGTAAGTCTTTAAGAGAAGAAACAAGTAATAAAATTTATAATACGTAATATTTTACACTACTTCAAAAATGTGACACGTTAGTTTTTAAAGGTAGTTCGCAACCCCTGACCTGAGCGACCTTCGTGTTGATCCCCTGGCCCATCTCCACGCCGCCGTGGCCCACCAGCACCGTGCCGTCCGCGTGGTAAACATTCACCGTTACCGGAAAGCTCCCGTAGTACTCTATCGGGTAGGACATGATGCAGAGTCTTAAAGAGCGCTTCCTCCACGCGTTCTCGGCGTTGTGTTTGGCGATTTCGAGCCTTCTGTCCTCGTAGTTGGTCTCGTTTTTGAACGACACTATTATCTCCTCGAGCGGGCTGTTTTTCGCCGCCAGGTTGGCCATTCTGACGTCCGTTGGGTCCAGATTTGTGGTGTGTGCGATCCGCTCCATTATGTGCTCCGTAACAGCTGTGCCCTCTGTGGTCCCTGAAAAGCAAATAATGCTATTTGTTTGTGTTCACGGAAAACGAAATGATTAACGTCTAAATCAGTCTTTTAACGTTTAACGTTTAAACATTTATTTTCTTAAAAAATTTACAACAAATCACTATAGTATTGTACAACAAAAAATTTTGTTTCATACGTAGAACATAATAATTATTCATATACGGACGTCAAATCAAATATTCACATAAAACGTTGACAAAAGAAATGCAATGGCAAGTGACGACTTTAAATCATTGTACGATTGAAAGCATTTGATAAAAATTTAATTGGTACTACTAAATGAATGGCGTCATTGTAGACACCAATCACAGAAGGCGGCACGTGTATTAAACTATGACCTTGAATGCGGACATTAGTATAGTATATTATAGTACCAGTAACACATTTTCGGGTCTCGATTCGTGTGCGGTATGTCTTTCGCATGCCGCGATCTGTAACCGCTGTGATGAATGATGACAATCGTATCATTCATGTCCTCAATTAGTAACCTTCTGCTGGTTAGCCGGTGGTCAATCCGTTCCCTGACCGCGTTAGCGGCATTTTTTTTTTAAATGTGAAAAGGTGGTTTTTTCTTTTTTTTAAAAACATTGCCCTTACTTTAGGATAACATTAACCTGTGTTGTAAGGACGTTTTACAAACATAAATTTCACGTGGACAAACACCCAGATGCGAAACAATTATCTGTGGGTCACACAAATAGTTGTCCCGTGTGGGAATCGAACCCACGACCCACGACGCCGAAGCCAATACCTCGGCAACTGTGCCACAGAGTCATCGTTAGTGAGCTTAAGTGATAACTACCGCCCATGAACATTTGGAACACTCGTAGGGTTGCAGATGCGTTGCCAGCTTTTAATTAAGTGGGCCTCAGCTACCCCACTCATCGAAACGCTGAAGTACTTCACAGAACACTTGCACTTCACGGTCTTCTGTGAGACCGTGGACCTTCCCCAGATGGACCTGCCCATTCGTGTAACAGCGAATGGCCTTACCGCCATTATCCACACAGCGCTGAAGTTCCCTGTAGGGATGTCAAAAAAAATAACTGACTAGATAAATGATAAACATTCTTAAACATACTTTTCTTTGGTAAATTAATGCATAATATACATTAATAAACACCCAGACACTGGTAAAACACTATGTTCATCGCACAATATTTTCCAGCAGCGTGGATCGAACCCATATCCTCTAGCGCAGGAGGCAAGCGCACTACCCACTACGCCATTCGGCTCGAAAAAATATCAATATATCGATATTTTCTCTTTGATATATCGGGATCGATGTTGATATTTTTATAAACATCGATACATCGATATATTTCTTCGCTTTCGACGTTCCCAGTGCACTGGGCCTGGAACAGTATATATACAATATAATTATGTAGTATTCAGTATACATGTCTTATCTATGGCCTAGTACCTGGGGCCCGGCACCACACGTTGGCCGGCATGTCCGTGCGCACGCTGTGGCCCGCAATGGAGAAGCTTCCCGACGCGTATACATTGCGCACCGCGTCCGCGATGGTCGAACTGGACGTCTCGCCGAACGAGCAGCCGCAGTCCGTGTAGTAGGTCAAATCCAGGTGCTGGATGCGGCCGGCCAGATCCACGCCCACCTGCGGACGGTCCAGTTCCACTTGGCCCCAGCGAGTGCTATAACAGGCCTTATCCACGTGGGATATGACTCCTTGGCGCAGTTGCCGAGGTGTTGGCTTCGGCGTCGGGGGTCGTGGGTTCGATGCCCACACGGGACAACTGTTTGTGCGATCCACAGATAGTTGTTTCGCATCTGGTCGTTGATCCGCGTGAAATTTCTGTATGTAGAACGTCCTTACAACACAGGATAATGTTCTCCTAAAGTAAGGGCAATGTTTTTTAAAAGAATTAAAAAAAAAAAGAATATTCTTTTAGAGCGCCCGTACTCTGTGTAGTCGGACACCTGCTGACGGTCCAAACCAGAGCTCATGGCATGTGGTAATCGAATGAAAAAGAAGAAGAATAAGAGAATGAAAAATCTTTTGGACGACTGGACGCAGCCGTTCAGGCTCACGCCAGCCCGCGAACGGTCCAGGTCGACTTGGCCTCAGCAAGTGGTACTATAGGCCTTTTACACGTGGGAAATTCCTTTAGAGCTCCCGTAATCCGTGTATATTTAAGTTTAGTTAAGTTTCGGGTGCTGGATGCGGCTGGCCAGGTCCGCGTCCACCTGCGAACGGTCCGGCTTGACTCGGCCTCAGCAATTGGTACTACAGGCCTTTACACGTGATAGATTCCTTTAAGCCCAATTTACTCTGTTCAAGTGTTCAGTACAGTGGACACTCTGCGATTGTGAGAAACATATGGAAAGAGGTGAACGGCTAATTTCGTATTCGTAGAGCGTTGTCTCTGTCGCGCAACGTCTTCTGTCAGTGTCGATGTGCGATATTTGCCGTCGGGTACACACTACATAGTCACATGCGAAAGGTTGGAAGTACGCACCTCGTAGTGGAAGAGGCAGGGCGCGCGCTTGCCCACGGCGCGCATGTTGTGCGCCAGCGGCAGGCGCAGGGCTGCCGGGCGGCGGACGCGGTGCGCCGCGAGCGCGCAGGCGCACGCTGCCAGCGCGGAGCGCGACGCCTTCCCGCCGTACGCGCCGCCCACGCGCTCCACGCACACCTCCACGCTGAGCGCGGCATACAAGCGTGATATGACATACCAACTGACGCCTCAGTGTCTTGTTTTCGAAATTGGAAAGATGGAAGGCGGAAACATTCACGGGCGTAAAGAACAACGCAAAGTTTCGAATGATTAAAAAGTAAGAATGATTATTCCTGAATGAGCTCGCCAGAGAAGGATGGACGCAAGGAAGAAAGAAGTAAAAGTGTTGAGCGAGTGAGGCAACCGGAGCCTGTTTAACAACACGAAAGCCATCGTGAATGTATGGGCTGCGGTAATCACCTCCTGGGATTTATGTATTTAGCATCTTAACCGGTGCACTTATGAGATGGCGCGCAGTAACGTTGGGCACGTTACTGCGCTCCACACGGGCAACAATACTCAATCTAGTCTAAAAGCACATCAAAGAGGTGTAACAGTTAGGATTGCCTGATTCCTGACGCACGTTACAGTGCGTAATTGACTAGACGAAGTTAGAATATTGAGGAATATTGTCTAACGAACAGGCGGTTCACCTGATGTTAAGGGAATACCGCCGCCGATGGGAACATCTCCAACACCCGTCAGCATATAAGTTGCCAGCCTATGCGTTCACAAACATTAAAATAGTAAGGGGGGAAGGGGGAAGGATCGTTATAATTCTCATTCGAAATGTTTTGCATCCAAACAAAAGATGGCTATAATGGAGAATATGTTGATATTTGTCTTATTGTTTTATTGGAATACGGCAAACTACCCTATGGAGAGGGTTATTATGTGTGAAAACACGACAAAGATGAGTGTGGAAATGACTCTTGCTCTGCACTTCCAAGTCCCTTGGCTACTGCTGATTTTATACTTAAATAATTTGGATTCCTACTGATATAATTACAAAAAGATAAGACATCAACAGTTTATTGCCAGCCCTTATCTGGCCCTTAGTTTAATGAATCGGTGGTAGTTTTTTGACTTTTCAATTAGTACCTTGAACACAGGGTATGTACCTATGGAGGGGCATGTCTAGCATCTGCGCTACGGCCGTCTGGACGCAGTCCATCCACTGGGTGGCGCTGCGCAGTTTCATGGTCCCGGCATGGGGCTCCGCCACGCAGCACTGCGTCTCCATGGTGTAGTGGTACTGCCCCGGCACGGAGAACCACCCGCTCACCACGTACTTAGTACCACCACCACGCTCTTTAGCGTCCACCTTCACGTCTTGTCGCACCTGCCACAACATGCAAAAGATCGTGACATAGGACTACACAGCTTATGCTATTGCACCAATGGGCAGGCTCGCTCGCTTGACTGGAAGTATTTCTCGCGTTTTGTCCTGTAAGGAATTAAACGGGAGGATTTCTTTAAAGGGTGGCAACGCATCTACCACCCTTGGGGTGTTACAAATGTCAATGGGCGGTGGTTATCTCTTAATATCAGGTGAACCGCCAGCCCGTTTGCCACCTTCTCACATAAAAAAGTTAGGTGCAGTTTCTAATGATCATAATGACATGAAGGGTAGAAATGATTCCAACTCCTGTAATCTTTTTTTTTTGTTAACGCGGAATGAAAACGCATACCCGCCCTTGCGGGACAAGAGCGTTTTATGTCGGACTCGCACCGACTAAAACTCCCACGATGTCCCACCTAGGCGCATATCGACAGGGCCACGGGAACGTTTTGGCACCCTGCCAGCGCTGGCCGGCTCAGCAGCCCCCTCCCGGGGAGCACCTCCCTTAAGACGCGCTGGAACATTCAGTGCGCTTTCCCACTCGGCCCCTTTTTCGCGGTCAACGCACTCAACTACCGTAATCCCCTGCCTCCAGGTGAACGAAAAAAATCTAAATCGCCCATCCCACAAATATCTCACCCTTTTGTCCTTTTCTGGGGATCTCAGGACGTCTTCGACGGTGAGGAGTGGCTCCCGGACGTTCCTGTATTTGACCTTGACTAGGGCGGCCGCTCTGAGGGCCAGCTCCCTGGACTCGGCCGCCACCAGGCCCAGCGGCTGCCCGTTGTACAGCACCCTGGCGCTGGCGAAGAGCTCCTCCTGAATGTCCTCTGGCGCGACGAATGGAGTAAAGCTGTTCTTGCCGGGGATGTCCTTGGCGCCTAGGAAGGCAACAACGCCATCTAGTTTCTGCAAAGAAAGTATCAAATATAATTCGACGGAAATAAAAGGTATTGTATGTTGGAAAGAAATTTCTTTTCTTTTTTGTAATAGCTCAGTGTCCGGGCGCTCGCCTTTAATTGAATATACTCGAGCAACCTGAGTTCGATCCTCGGTGCCGACACAAATGAAATTGTTAATTTTAAGTGCCGACTTTATCACGTGCTCAACGGTGGAGGAAAACATCATATGGAAACCTGTATGTCTTCGAAATAATAATAAAAAAAATATTTGGAAGATATGTGAAGTTCACCAATCCGCAGTGGGGCCGCGTGGTGGACTATACCCTGTAAAAGAGGAGGCATTTGCCCAGTTGTAGAATATGTATAAGCTGTTACTTGGCTAAAGGGACTAAAAAGGGTTACGGTAATTTTAACTGTGGTGGGGACGCGCAACAGTCTTCACCGTTGCAGAAATGGGTAAACAGAATTAAAATTTTATTATTCTTGCATTTTTTGTTGCACCTACCATAAACTCTCACCACATCCTGAGTTGACTGGTAGAGAATGCCTTTGGGCATTAAGTCCGCCCTTTGTTACCTTGTTTTACTGAAGGTTGGCAATAAAGATTAAATAAATAAATAAATAAAAAAATGGGCAAGTCCGTCCGGGGAAGTACCAGAACCTCACAGAAGACCGGCGTGAATTAAAAGTGTTATACTTCTGCGTTTCATCTGCTGAGTAAAGGAGCCGAGGCCAACTTTATTAAAAATTGGCAACGCATATGCAACATTACGTACCATGAGCGGCGGTTATCACTAAACATCTGGTGAAGTAGCATCCGCCAGCTCGGTTGCCACCTTAACTCATAAAAAATGCGGCTCTTAATTTACACGTAAAGTCCCGTATATTCAGTCCTCACCAAGGCGTCGCTGGCGTCAATGGATTGGAGTTCAGCGACCGCCACGTCTGCCAGCACCAGCGCCAGATGCACCTCCCGGGGGGCCCTTCCGTCGCAACTGTACGCAGCCTCCCCGGAACACTGTTTGCGACGAGCCAATAACTGTGGCAGGACCACGCAACGGTGCTCACTGTTGCACGAATGGGCGGGTCCGTCCGGGTAAGTACCGCGACCTCACAGAAGACCGGCGCAAAGAAGAAGTGTTACACTTCTGCGTTTCCACTGGTGGGTAAGGTAGCCGGGGCCCACTTTATTTTAAGGTGGCAACGCATTTGCAACCCTACGGGTGTTGCAAATGTCCATGGGCGGCGGGTATCACTTAACACCAGGTGAACCGCCAGCTCATTTGCCACATAAAAAAAACACAAGGCGTGACTTCGCCTAGCTCGTTACATTCCCTATGGCTCAATTAATTCGTCAAAGAACGAATGAAGACTTGACCTTGAGTTGAGACCCGATCACTCACCAATTCGTCAAAGAACGAATGAAGAGTAACGCATATGGTAACTCGTTTACTTAAAAAACCATATCGTTGCCTAGGAAACGTATGGAATGGTTGACTTTATATCTACTTGTAATCAATTTACGCGGCAGTAGAGTGCGTTTCGGAATGCATTTGACGCGAGTTTTTACTCTCGATGAAATGACTTATATACTAACGCCCGGTTTCTGAAACACTGATCATCGTAGTAGTTAAGTAATCAGCTGTGAAATGGCTTTTCAAATATCACTTGAGTTGCCAAAAGGATAGTTAAACTTTCTGAATTGATCAGAATTATAATCTTAATAATCGGAAAAATCTTCTTAAAAATCTTCTTAATAATCGGAATGATCAATTCAAAGAGTTAAGAATTATTTGTGTGACCCACAGATAGTTGTTTCGCATCTGGATGTTTTTACAAATGATGTTTGTAAAACGTCCTTACAATACAGGCTAATATTATCCTAAAGTGAGGGCAATGTTTTTTAAAAAGAAATAAACAAATATGTATGTATATATGACAACATGCATGTATATTATAGCCTATAATTTATAGGGCTTACTTGAGTCAGCGCTTCTAGCTTTTGCACGGGCTGGTTCAAAGGCCAGAGTGACTTGTCCGTGTCGAAGGCCTGTCTTCCGCTGGATATCGGACGCTCGAAGGGGACGCCCCCGGATTTGTATCGGGGATTCACCGATGGACACAGAGATAGCACCGCCTAGGAATCGAATGACAAAAAGCCCGTAAGAAAACAGCCAATATGTTATATGTCCCAGTTTCTGCCCTACTATGCAACCCCATTGCGAATTGTCAGACTTCACATACCATAGAAATACTCTTCAGTAAGCATATTTCCATACACTTTCGATCTTTAGATATTTCCATAAACTTTCGATGAAGTGCATAAAAACGCATCACTCTTATTCGTATCACACATTTGCGTGTGTTCGTGCATGCGTTTTTGCTTGTGTGCGCGCGTTTTAATGCATGCGATTTAGCTTGCGTATGGCACGTTTTCTAACGTATGTTTTTCTGTGGTAGGGTCATGCAAGTCTTCCCTGTTGCAGGAATGGCCTGGTCCGCCCGGGTAAGTACCACGACCTCCAAGAAGACCGGCGTGTTTTGGAAGTGCCACACTTCTGCGTCTGGCGAGTGAGGCGGCCAGGGCCCAATTTATTAAAAGGCGGCAACGCATCTACAACCCAACGGATGTTACAAAAGTCAATGGGCGGCCATTATCATTAGATATCCACACCACAATTTATCTCCACGCCCCGGGTTGACTGGGAGAGAATGCCTAAAGGCATTAAGTTCGCCCTTTGTAATACTTGGTTAAGGTAATTGCAATAAAGTATAAATAAATAGAATAAATAAATATCAGATGAACCTCCAGCTCGTTTGCCACCTTTTCTCATAAAAAAATGTTGTAAATGCGTTGGTGTTCGTGTATGATTTTTTTGTTAGTGTATGCGTGCAAGCCCACCTGATAGAACAGGCCCAAGGCGATAGCCTTCCTGCAGTAGGGCGACGGCTCTGGCGGCATTTCCACTGCCACTATCTCCTCTTTCAGCTTGGCCAGCGCCCTCTGTAGTGTCGCGTCGTCGATCTCCGCGCCGGCGAGTAGATGCTCCGTCTCGCTCGCACGCGTGGGCTTTGGGCCCATGTTGCCGAATAGGATGCGGCATGACGTCACAGTCCGCGGCCCGCCCATGTCGAAGAGGAAGCCGGCGTTGACTACCGCGTGCGCGTTTTGCGCCCGCGCCATAACCTGGACTCGTCATCCGTCTCTTTAATCGTGAATTTGCGTTGATGAAATTGAACGAAAACTATCGACGTTGCGGATTCGAACCCGCATCTTCCGTATCGCGCCCGGACGCTTTACCAACTAAGCTAAGCAGCGCATGACTTTACCGCGCGAATACCGCGACATCTATCTATGTTCTAATTCAAAATTTATAGTTTAATCTTGTATGCAGAGACTAACACTAAAATTGATCCATAAAATCGGTTTACTAGTTTTGTCTATGTTCATTTAGTGGACAATTTTCAATACAAAAGCTATCTTATTTTTACAGAAAGATGTTCACTGTTACTTGTGATGATATTGTTACGCAAAATTATTCGTTCTCAAACTCCCTAAATTTCAGTGGATCCGTGGTCTGTTCCGTGATAATAGTTGATTGTAAAAGGTCGGTGCAATTTGAATCTTCATCTAACACAAGGATTATAACAAAAAATTCATTTCTTTAGATTCAATTCCTATTTATAGGCTAAAATAGGTCCTAGGATTTTTTTATCAAACTACAATATAGAACTAAAAGTAAGAATATCGGCGTGAAGTATGCGTTAAAGAATTAAAGCTTTTCTTGCTTCTTTTAGCTTTTCTGCAATAGAACTTCTAGGTCGCAGTCGATATATCGATATTTTTAGCCGACACATTTGGATCCGTTATTTCGATACAAAATATTCAATATCGAAATCAAAAATTTCATAAATGAAATTCGAATCCGACACAGAGTCCGTAAATGTTAAATATTTAATACGTGACATACCTATTTTTTGGACAACGGGTCCTAAACAGAAAATATCGCTACATCGATATATTTCTTCACTTTCGACATCCCTAACCCAACATCTTCCAAACGAACAGCACAGCTCTTCTGCAAATATCTGTTGTTTGAGTATTTAAAGATGTTACTATATTATGAGGTAAACCGCACGCATTAATTTCTAATACGATAAAGACCGACCCATACCTTGTACGTGCGTACAATGTTGCTCGTGGACAATGGCGGTAGTTTAACGTCCATTATAAGTTTGTCCCTGAGGTCCAGTTTCACGAAGTCCTCCATTTTCACTTCTGTCTTGCGCAAGTCCCTGACCACTGAAATTGATTTAAGAATATAGATTATCCAGTCCGTGTATTAACGTAGTCTGAATGTCTCCTTTTATCGTTTCGGTCTCATTTTACTTATTCATTTAACTTGTAACTTATGAACGTGGTAGATTGAATGTCGTAAGTAAGTATATCAAGTTTATTACGTGATAACTCGAGTTTTTTACTATAATATATGCATGCGCAAATGTTAAGAGCCCATTTTACCTTGACGCATTAAGTTTGGGGCAACTGATATGATATTATTTTGTTTGTATACTGTGACACTGTACTTATACTATACGTACTATACGTTCTAAGGATGTTTCAAAAAGGTGTAGTAATATTGATAGGTGTGCATTTTTCAGATTACAAATGGTATACTTAAATATATAAGTGTGTCTGTATTTCCGATTTCAGATATACCTATAGTACATATAAAATACTAGTTACTAACGTATTGTGACCATAGCTCCCACGGTTTCCAGCAGCAAGAATATATCGGACGGGAAATCGTTATGTGCGTTCTTCAAGGCGAGATTACCACCTATAGTACCAATCTGCAATAGAGTGACGTGGTGTTAAATAGAAGTGACGTGGTCTTAAATACTAAGAGACCTGTCTTATTGTCTGTAGTTGGTAAAAAAATTTTGTCTACGGCAGACGAAGACCACATACGTTGCGCACAGGAACGTGAGCCACCAGCTCCAAATGCCGGTGGAACTGCTCCAAGTAGCTGAAGTCCTGGTTAGTGCTCGAATGCTCCTTGCACTCCCTCATCAGGTCCGTCAGGGACAAACCAGCGCCGAGGATAAGGTTGGCCGCCCTGGCCACCTCCTTGAGGGACCCGATAGACGATATGTCTATATAGACACGCGGCTCAAGTTCGACAGGATATACGCCTGGAAGGAGAATCCTTTAAGCCACTATAAATATTAACTTTACGATAATCGGACTAAGCATCCATGAATTTGTAACAATTACTAAATTTGAACTGAACTTGAATAAATTACTAATTTGTAACATTAATTTATCGATTCTAATTTACTGACTGGACACACTGGAATAGGAGAGAAAGAAGTGGATATTTGGGATTATGGTAGCATGTATATAGATGTATGTCAGTCTTTTCATCACTTTGTAGCCTAAAGGATTTGATTGTTTTAAATTTAAATATGTCAAAACGTATGGTCAGTTTCAATATTCTATCTACAGATAGATTAGTTACTAGCGATAGGAAGTTATTGAATTTAAACGAAAAATTAAAAGTAAACTTATGGCTAAAGCCTATTATACTAATGCCGAATATCTTGACGACGCCAATGTGTGGGGTTAATACTGTTGATACTCACGTAGGCTAAAACAAGACTATTGTACCTGTACTATTATATTGTAAACTGATTTTTTAAAAAAGAGCAACTGTTGAGTTTCTTGCCGGTTTCTTCTCAACAGAAACTGCTTTCCGAACCGGTGGTAACTTACGAACGTGTTAATTTCTTGTAAAATTTTGACGTTTCATAAGAACGCGCAAGCGTCTATGTGAATAAAGATATTTTATTATTATTATTTATTATTGATATTAGATCAACGATGCTTACATACGTCAAAATTCTCTCTCCAATAACCAAATCTCTCTCAAGATAGAATGTTGAAACCGGCCGATAGACTGTAAAATACATAAGATTATTTTGAAAGATTTTTAATGTTTGTCATAATTCAAAAACCTTGTTATAATGCTTAATATAGTTAACATCAATCAAAAGAGAAGTAATAATAAAGAAAAAAATTAAACGAAAAACCAATTTAGAAAATTTAGAACACGTATTTAAAATAATATTGAACAAATATCCGTTTACCTTTTCCAGTGTTGCCAGCAACAAATCTGTAGCTGTCCGAGCCCTCTCTTGCTATTATCTAATTTAAAAAAAAACTTTAATGTATTTATGCGACACTCCATAAAGTAATAATACTAAAAATATCGTCATCACGTAATATAATAAAAGGTATCAATCCAATTTAAAGTCCCAAAAATTATTTTCAATTCCATAAAAGAAATTTACAATAAGAATAAGAAGAGCCGTGATAGCTCAGTGTCCGGGCGCTCGCCTTTAATTCAATATACTCGAACAACCTGAGTTCGATCCCCGGTGCCGGCACCAATGAAGTTTTTAACTTTAAATGCTGAATTGTCACGTGCACCGCGGTGAAGGAAAACATCGTGAGGAAACCTGCATATTTTCGAAATAATAACAAAAAAAAATTTTTTTCGAAGATATGTGCCAATCCGCAGTGAGGCCGCGTGGTGGACTATGCCCTGATACCCTCTGTATAGAGGAGGCCTTTGCCCAGCAGTGGGACATATATAGGCTGTTACTTAATTTACAATAAAAGATATAGGCAATTTATCAGAATATTCACCTTAAACACGTCTTCCACCTTATATGGTTTGTACCAGCGACTCCCAACGGTCTCCATTCGAAGCATTGACTCCTCCGCATTCTCTTTCTCGATTACGCACCACTCCCCGTCTAGCAGACTGCATTTTTGGAGCGATCTTCTAACGCATTTCATTTGGTGCAGATCCTCCATGTCCTGGAACAGAACAATATGCTATCAGCGTAATAAACTCAATCTTGAAAGGTTTGTAATACGCTGCAATTGTATTATATTTTGGATTTGGTATTACTGGGTGATTCGGAAGGCGTCAGTTATATTTACAACTTTTTTAAATTTCCGCTCAAGTCCAGAGACTAGCACTGAATCAAAATTAAATTTCAATAGCAAAGGCGATATAACTAATTTTCAAACATGCATTTTAAAAACTCAATAGTGTTCATAACACACACGGTATTAACGATCAACGACGCCAAGCGTTGCTTAATAATTAATGCTCATCTTCACATTTTAAATATTGCACCACCCACTTGTATGTTCGCGACCTGGTGCTCCCCCACGTCTGTTGCGAAACTCTTGAAGGCGTCCAGGATCGGGCGGTAGCCGGTGCACCGGCACATGTTCCCGCCGAAGGAGTTCTCGATCCCCCGCGTAGTCAATCTTCCGCGCGACCCTTCGTACAAACTGTGGGGCGAGAGAGCGGGAGCGAATAGTTATATATAACTACATAATAGTTTAAATGCTTTGTTGGAAGTAATTGTACAATCAAGCGTATTTAAATTCTAAGATACAAAACTAAAATCGAGTTGTATGTATCTGTACAATCGCCAATATTTTTTTTTGGAGAAAAGGGGCAAACGAGCAGGACGCTCATCTGATGGTAAGCGTTTGCCGCTGCCCATGAACACCTGCAACACCCGAGGGCTCACAAATGCGTTGCCGGCCTTTTAAGAAAGAGTATGTTCTCTTGAAGGTTCCCAGGTCGTAACCGTTCGGAAAGACCGCCTGCGGCAGTTGGTTTCACAGAGTGGTTGTGCGAGGCAAGAAATGCCTTAAAATCGCGCTGTTGTGGAACGCTGGACATCGAGGTGGTGTGGATGAAATTTTTGGTTCTGGCGCGATGTCCGATGGTGGAATTCAGCCGCCGGGATCAATCTAAACAATTCCTCGGAACACTCCCCGTGATAAATGCGGTAGAAGATGCAGAGTGATCCAATATATCTACGCAGAGCCAAAGGATCAAGCCGATCGGCAAGACTTTGATGGTCGATAACTCTAGCCGCCCTACGTGAACACACACGAAAGAGTATATACTAGGATATATAATGATAATCAAATGGAACGTAACTATATACTCACACACATAATAATTAAGTTCTAGATGGCAAAACGATAATGGAGTTGGACACAGTATATTCAAGCTTATAATATTATGAGGACTAGTACAATATACAAAATGATAGTAGAGTTTAACACATCTGTACAATTACTTAATTGATAGTTTGAGTACTGGGAAACAAAGAAAATTTAATTACATAGTTACAAGTATGTCTTACTAATACGTCATGTATAATCGCGCAATTAAACTTGCCGCACATTCACGCACACAATAGAAGTACTCGGATAAAATAAGCGATCAAATTGTACGCGCCTGTACCTATTCATGATCCCGTCATGTACAATCGCGCAATTAAACTTAGCCGCACAGTCATGAACACAATAGAAATACTCGGATAAAATAAGGGATCAAATTGTACGCGCCTGTACATGTTCATTATCCAGCCGGGAGTGCAGTAGCCGCACTGAGTTCCGTTGAACGCAGCGAGACGCGTCTGCAGAGGGTGGTAGCCCTGGCCGCAGTTGCCAACGCCCTCTACAGTCGTGATCTCCCACGTGTGACATGACAGGATGTCAACTAAACACTGTAACGTAATATGGACTATACATGCGAGTTGAATAGATTATCGAATATTTTCGAAATTCGATAATTTATCGGCAATTTGGTTATATACTGTATACAGCAACTAAGAGAGTCGAGTGGGAGTAGGAGAAGCGTGACGGAGGTCTCGTAACATTTCAAAGTGATGACGTCACGCGTTCTGTCGATTAACCCTCATATGTCATATCAGTTCGCGTTCTTTCCGCGTAAAGAAGTTTCACCTAAAAATGATCGAATTCACAAATCAAAATCATTTATTCATCGACATAAGAAAAATACATTTCAATGGTATTCATTCATTATCGATGGTAATGTTTTTAATCTACCACCGTTTCGCAATGAGGAAGAAACTGGCGAAAGAAACTCCGTAGGTATCCTCTTTTTTGTCTTTTTTTTCTCAACAAAATTAAAATATTATACAACAAAATATTCTCTTAGGCTTGGGTGCGATCAAAAAGGCATTAAATAATATAACTTCTTGTGTCGACGACTGTACTCACAGAGTTGACGGCGATGACTTGCTTCTCCTTGGTTATCGGATCCAGTTGGCGGACGGTGACCACGCAAGCGCCGCAGCCGCCCTCGTAGCACATAGACTTGGTTCCATATAAGCCCAGGTGATCACGGAGGTAGCTGTTCAGCGTCGTACCCTGGCCCACGTCCGAGCCAGCTGAAAGGACCACATTTTCAATCGACAACGACACGATTTCCAATCTGCCTCCCGGTGTCTCGAACAAACGAGGTCCCTACCTCCAAATTATGTGAAATATTTTAATATCCTGATCATTTTTGAAACAGAAGCTGGTGTTGCGGGTTATTCAATAAAATGCAGAACTTCGAAACAGTGACGCGGCAATATTTTACGTATTTTGCATTTCGTATGCTAAATGAGCCCGGCCCTGTTTTAGCGTCCAGATGCTTTACCTTACCTCCTAAGGTAAGTGGCCGATGACCTCACTCACGGCACGAAAATCTCATTTATATACGTTCCAGAATTTTTTAGCATTGTTTGGCGCCATCTAGTGTCTAAACTTTACAGTATGAAACACCTCGCAAAGAAATTTAACGATGAACAGGATAAATTTTTATTGTTGTGGTAGTCTCTGCTCTCCCGATGAATTTTAATCACACTTATGTCAGTGGTTAAAACATCTGGACGCAAATGATTGTCAAATAATGTTGGGCACTGGACTCAAAAATTTAAAACTCTAACGGCAATAGGTATTGAATAGACCTAATAAAGTCAATTTATCTGACGTATTCTATGTTTAACTAAATTGTAATTTATATTAAATCAATCTCACATAAAGAGTACCGTTGACCGTTCACGAAGAAAGATATTTTGTCCATTGTTTTGGGGTTATCAACAAAACGAGCCGCTACATTACAGCCTCTGGAAAAATAAAATAACTTATTCATATAAAACAACCAATATCCCGTAAGAGCGCGCAAAACGACATGAGCATAAGTTCTTGCAGAACTTCTCTCCAGCGTTGCAGGGCTGTTCTCACCGCCCCGAGCCACCGATTAATTAAATACAGTCAACGGCGATCGGAGCCACGGTCCGAATCTCGGTCAATAGGTGACATATTGTCAGGTTTAAAATAATGCATAAACGAGTACATGCTCCTTACCTAGCCCGGTTAACGTCATTCCTTGCTAGCCCACGAGTCCTGCATTCGATAAGTTTTAACAGACAGACTGAAAGCTAAAAACATCAATTAAAGTAAACATAACCATAAGAATATTGACTATTTAAACTTAAATCTAAAACTTAAACCCCTACAGGTGTTGCAGATGTCCATGGGCGGCGGGTATCCCTTAACATGAAGTGACTCGTTTGCCACCTTCTAATATTAAAAAAAAGCATTTTTTATATGAGAAGGGACTTGAATTTAGGTTTTATTAATTTTATAAATATTTTTGACCATTATACAGCGTGTCGTTACCATCGCGACACTAAATGAACACACGTCTAACGCTACTTGCCAATAATCATAAAAAAATATTAACGTTAAACAAAATCCATAATTAAAAAAAAAATTTCAAACAAACTAATTAAGTAAAAAAGAAACAAAATTTGTATCATCCTATACAACTTGCGCCACAGCATGACAAGCTTCTCCTTCTAACAGTATGTTTTGTCTCTTTTAAATTCATTCAACCCATTCATATGCTTTGTGACCTTTACAAATGAACTTTACGTTACAGTTTTATACGTAAATTCTCCAAAACAAACAATTTTAGAACACCCTAAAATTGTTTGTTTTGGAGAATTTAATAACTGGGTTAATACTGATGTTTAAAAAATGTAAATGTTTAATACAATTTTAAAAAGTTATCCTCTATATGTGTGTTCATTTATTGTTGCGGTGGTAACGACATGCTGTATATATATTTTTTAATTTTATGTGTAAAGTTGCCAAGCGAGCAGACGGTTCACCTGATGATGACGTCTGCTACACCTAAGGGTTCCAGATGAGTTGACAACCTTTTGAAAATTGGGCTCCGGCCACCTCACTCACCAGACGAAACGCAAAAGTATTATACTTCCACTTTACGCTGGTCTATGCAACATCTCAATAAAATACTGTTGACAAAATAAGATTTTTTTATTCAAAGATAGCAAACTAGTTTCACTTCAAGATAAGGTTCGTGTAAACAAGGTTAACGACCTTTAAAAGAGTTCTGCCGGTTACCTCAAACAAACAAAACGCAAATTACTTCTACTCTACGCTGGTCGCTGATAACTAAACTGATGATGACGTAGGAGATAATGGTGCATGCGGGATCGGGAGCTGACGTGCGATTCTACTGAATAAAGTTTATATATTCTGTTCCATTCCTCTTAGCTAATTTATTCTTGGTTTCTAATCTGCCAGGTCTTTCGAACATACGAGGTCCCTAATAATTTCTTGTGTTTGATTAAACTCTTTGAGTTGATCAGTTTGATCATTAAGACAAACGAAATGTCGGGAATTAAAACTAAAAGTAAACGTTAATTCCGTAAACATAGTTTCACTTAGTAATACGAGGTTCCTACCTCCTAATTATGTGATGATCATATTCTGATCATGTTCTGATTTTTCAAACAGAAAGTACTGTTGCTCGAGGGTCAGGTTACTCAAGGTCTGCATTTAGTATGCTAAATAAGGTAACCGGGCGCAGATTTTTTTAAGCTGCGAACTTGTCTCCTTTTGCACCGTTGTGCAGTAGAAGACGAGTTGGCAGTGTGAGCCCTAACTACCTCATTCAACGGACGAGAGCAAAAGCATAACACTTCAACTTCACACCGGTCCACTGTTAGATCCTGGTACTTACCCGGACGGACCTGCCCCACCACAGCACTTCAATTATTCATGGTCGGCGGTAAACACCGAACCACCGCCTCATTTTTTCACTTCTAAAACAAGTTACGCAAACATCTCCCTCGAGGCAACAACGGGGTTGCACAAGTATCTTAAACACGAAAAACGACGATATGAAAACATATAACTATAATCACCAACGTACGTATGTTTGGAGCGACGATAAATAACACAATTACGTATCCCGGTGCGAACGAAGATACAAATCACTGCCGCGCGATCGTCAATGGTCTAACGCGTCCATCCGTCCGAATAACAGACGTAAGAGTGCTAACAGTTTGGTAAGCACAAAACTGTCTGGCGATAAAATGGGGCTCCGCGCAGAACGTCAAGGTTACGTAAAACGTTGTTATATGAAGTTTCGTAAAGAACATCACTGTTGACGAACGCTATACAAAGATTTTGGCAAAACACAGTTATAGCATTAATACAACGAACATACCTCGGCATTGTCTTCGATCAAATGAGCACGATATCATTTCTAGAACGATATTTAAAATCGGTGTTATTCACCGATAGGACCACATGGGAAGCACCAGCTTTCAAATAAAAAATAGAATCATTAAGATCGGTTTATTCCGTCGAAAGTTCTGAGGTAACAAACATAAAAAAAAATTAAACGAATTGCGAACCTCTTCTTTTTTGATGTCGGTTAATGAGCTAAACCCTTAGTTGCTACATGTGCTGACATTTCATTCTATATGAGTGTTTAGCCAGTTCATAGAAGTTCGATTTTTTCGGCCAGTCCTCGTCTTTCATTCTTCAAAGCTTCGTGGCAGCCGTCGTATGTTTTCGACAAACTAATGGCTAAATAAGCAAGAGTGAAAAGACGATGAGGAAACAATTCAGTTATTATCCTAGAACATTAAAATCATCCTCATCATCATCCGGAAGACATCCTCTGTTGAACAAAGGCCTCCCCTTACAACGCCACAACAAACAGCACTGCCATTTCCATCCACCGGTTGCCCGCGAAACTTAAGATGTCTTCGGTACATAGAGGGAGGGTTTCCAGTAATACATTAAAATAAAACAGATAAAGAAAGTAAACACAGACTTTAAACACGCATGCGGGGATATTTAGAATCGGACTTTGGACGCCTGCTAAGATAACAATGGATTAAATTTCTTTTTAAATATGTCATCGCTTTATCGACAACTGAGGACATAACCTGATTAAGCAACCTTAATCAATATGTAAATGTTTTAATGAACCGTTTTTTACCATCAATTGCATGTATGAAATCTATTCATTAGGCGATAATATACATAATTTTGAATTTCCAAAACACATTCTAAAGTTAGGGTTACTAACTTTCTTAAATTGGTACAAAATTTTCAATCTGAAGGATCATCGTGTAATGACAAATCATTACTTCATGTCTTATAAATATATACCTAATAATAATTATACACAACAGAGATAAAATCTTAGTTCGGCAGAATATTCGTATTCGGTATATTCGGCGTATTTTTTGTTCGTATTTGGCCGAATATTCAGTTTTTTTTGCCGAATAATAACCTATTAGGCTAATTAATAACCTATTATAAAAAGATTTTGAATGGCATTATTTTGATATTTATGTACAAAAAAAGGTTTTGTTCCGAGAACCGTACCGTACCTTGTGTAGTTATCAACTAATTATTCACACAATTAAAAATCAACACCATTCAGGTTTTCCTTAAAATAATGAACATTTATCAACAAACGGATATTAAATAAAATAAAATGTGCGGTTCAATAAAACCCACGATTTTAAAATACATTATAATCATTTAACGGTGGTAGGGCCACGCAGCAGCCTCGGCTGTTGCACGAATGGGCAGGCCCGTCCGGGTAAGTACTACGACCTCACAGAAGACCAGCGTAATGGAAGTATGAAAAATATTTCGCGTTTCGCCTGGTAAGTGAGGCAGCCGGAGCCATATTTTTAAAAGGTTGTCAACGCATCTGTAACCCTCGGGTGTAGCAGCTGTCCATGGACGGCGGTATTCACTCACCATCAGGTGAACCGTCTGCTAATTTTGGAAACTTTTTACATAAAAAAATTACATTCGTATAGCCATAGAAATTATTAAAAAATAAACACAATTCAAGATTTATTTCAAATCAATGTCCGCAAAACAAAATTTGCAAGTAGTTGAAATCAACAAGTTTATAAAATAAGTATTTTATATACTTCTACTACGACTATGTCGTTATACATAGCCGTTACTTTATCCAAACAAATCAACATAAACATAATTATAGAGAACGGGAGAGGTGGTTTGGAATGCCGATGCCATCAAAGGATCATTACTTACTCAAATGCTACTTATTTGATTTTCAACCGATTTCAAAAAGGGAGGAGGCTCTCAATTCGCTTGTATTCTTTTTATGTTTCTAAATATTTCGTCATTTATAAATTGATATTGGAACAAGTACCGAGTACATACTTGTATCAAATAATCTTTACTGCATAGTGCCTCGTGATCCTGTATGACTCTTTTGGACCGAATTATTTGGCCGAATATTCGGTTCGATACCTACATTTTGGGCAGAATATTGGATCAAATATTAGGCATTCGGTTGAACGCGTATTCGGCGGATCTCTAATAGACTCTACCAAAGCTGTTGTAGTATCTGTTCTATAAAATTACGTACGAAAATATGTCATTAAACACTTACAGCACGTAATCTTTGAGACCTTATATATTACATGCCTCATATTAAACATCTTTATATTAAACACCAGTTTAGTGCTTTTTTTTAATTCAAAAACTAGCTAGCACTTGACTGCCATCCCACCTGATGGTAAGTGGCGATGCAGCCGTTGACGGTAAGCGCGCTAGCTCAATAGAAACCTATATACTCTTGCCTTGAAGATGCCAACGTTGTATTCGGACGGAAAGATGGACGCCGGCAGGTTTTCGCGGGTTAGTATCCTACCGAGGAAGGGATTTGTACGACAGGTAAAATCTCTTTTCGATATTTATCTGTCTAACTTATTTTTGTAATAATACGTCTCTATATTATATAGCGCCTACGAGCTTCGAGTCTTCAAAATCTTTAAGAATGGAAATCCCTAAGATCCAACAGTACAAATATGCAGAAATACATTTTGTATTCGGTGTGTTAAAGCTTATTTTCCAATAGCTCATCTTAGATGATAATTCACGATGGAGATCATAATTAAACGTGGTGAGAATACAATATCCATTTTAAATGATTATAGACCATAACAAGGCCACTCCTAATTGGTTGTATTCACTTATAAATAATTGAATAAAATTGATGTATTTTTCAACGTAGATTATATGTAAATGAATCGTCGAATGTGATATTCATAGCTCAATTTCAAGTACAATGAATTATATGAATAATATTAAACATAAGCAGACTGTACTCAGTTTTGTGATTGGGCATATGGCCTTTGCACGATTTTATTCATTTTCACGATGAACATAAAGTTCTAAATTCTGTAACAACTGGCCCCCGAATTCCAGCGGTGTTCCAAAAATTACTTGAACTAGGCAGAAAGGAAAAGGGGCTCGTTTTCAACACTCGATGTCGTTACTACTACTATCTACATCTTTACGCTGACGACACCCAATTATATATACATTCACCCTTAACTACTGATGGCATGTTAACAGTTGTATCTAACTTAAATAAAGATCTCGAAGCAATTGTAGCCTGGGCGGAACGACATGACTTAATCCTTAATCCGAAAAAAAAGCACTTCGATCATATACGGAACCAAGCATCAAACAGACTTTCTAAAGCAGAACAACCCTTGTGTTAAAATTATGGGTTCCTTGGTACCCCGACAGAATTGTGTGCGTAATTTGGGTCTTCTGATTGATGAAAACCTACGGTTCCATGAACATGTTTTGTGTAAAATTAGGATATGTTTTGCATCACTTAGATCACTTTATAAAATTAGAAATTTCATTGATGAAAAATTACGTTTACAGTTATGTAATACTTTAGTCTTACCAAACTTGTGCTATTGTGATATTGTATATGGTCCTTGTCTATTCCAAAAAACTATAATAGCTATACAACGGGTTCAGAATGCTTGCATGCGTTATTTGTTGCTCGATACCTAAACGACACCATGTGTTACCATACATAAATCAGAGCGGTTTGTTAAAAATGGATAACAGGAGACGCTTGAGACTGGCTTGCTTTCTGCATTCATTATTAAAATTCAAAGCACCAGCTTATTTATATAATAAATTGAGCTGGTCAAAAGACTTCTCGCGGTTCAATCCAAGGCTGAAAGCCCCTCCGCTTATCCTACCAAAACACACTCTTGTGCAAACTCGGGACAGTTTTAAGTTTGCTGCGTCTAAATGTTGGAATGACTTGCCCCCTCCACTTCGTAACAGCTATTCCTTAAGTGCCTTCAAAATGAAATGTCGAAAATGGCTTTTGATGCAGCAATTATTGGCTTCGAGTACCCAGTCTTTTAAATATAATAGTAAATAGTTATTAATTGGATAGCAATATTAATATAAATAGTTAATGTACAATATTTTAGTACGTACCTATTGTGTTGTTCTTTATGTAAATTATGTCTGGCTAGGACAGAATATCAAAGTTGGTATACCTTCCGTGCTACCACTTTGAGTCCTTGACCCTTTTGTCTAAATAATTGTTATTTTTTTTCTATTTATGTTACTCTTTAAATATTTTGTGCAGTGTTTGTATATTTAGACAAATAAACGATTATTATTATTATTATTATTATTATTATAGCGGGGTATTCATTTGTTTTCTCGTCTGGTTGGGTTTATAAATAAAAATAAAAATATAGATATATATTGCATATATAAAATAAATATTATGGATAAAAATAAATATATATATATATATATATATATATATATATATATATATATATATATATATATATATATATATATATATATATATTTTTATATAATACATATATAAATAGGACCCAACCAGACGGAAGCCCTCGGCAGGGGAGACCAAACGGCCGAGGGTTAGGGCGAAAGGGAGAGAAACCGGCGGACGATGCGGGCGGTATCGAGGAGCACCGCCTTCTGCATTTGAGCTTGGAGCGATCCGTCCCGGAGTCCCAGTCGCCTCAGATGTTTAGAGAGGCTGACTGGGATTAACCCATTGGCAGAAACGACTATCGGGATAATTTCAGTCGGCACACCACCCCACATGTCGGTCACCTCGTGAGCCAGGTCCAGATACTTTGTCTTCTTATCTGTTTCGGCTTTCACGAGGTTCTCGTCATATGGAATGGTAATGTCGACCAAAAATACCCGCGACTGTGCCCGGTCCATCACCACGATGTCAGGTTTGTTCGCGACAATCGTCCTGTCCGTGATGATGGGCCGGTCCCAATAGAGCCTGGCGCGGTCATTTTCGAGCACGGCCTCCGGAGAGTACTTATAGTACGGCAGTTTCCGATCCACGAGGCCGTATTTCATGCGGGAGCGAGCTCCTGGTGTAGGA